CCAATATGCTATTGTACATCTCTGTTCAGAGCACATTGTAGAATTAAAATTTGACCAAGTAAGTTTAAATTGCAGACACAGGGAGAATGTGCAAACTCCACACAGACAGTCACCCAAGGGTGGAATCAAACCTGGGTCCCTGGCACTGTGAGGCAGGAGTGAGCCACTGTGCCGTAACCATTGCTGTAACTGATAGTATTTGCCAGTGATGGACTTGGACATGCAGATCCCCTATCATCTCAAAACTCTACAAACTCTAATCATTTGGGCAATAAGCTTTTCCTATTTTTCCTGCCAAAATTGACAATTGCACTTTTTCTCACATTATAGTCGATCCGTCAGATCTTTTCCTACTCATTTAATCTATCTATTTTCATCCATTCTAACATAGTGTTAGAACAGATTTGTCTAACCTTTTTGTGTGAGGAGCCACGTTTCAATAATTTTCTCACTCAAGGGGCCAATGCTCAAATTTCAGCACTTACATTCTTTCTTTCAAAGTTATTCTTATCACTCTCATTCACTCTCACTCTCTCAGTCACACCCTCACACATACACACATACCTTTGCTCATATACATTTAACTCACTCACACGCTCTTGTTTGCTCATACACACTTTCTCAAAAACACACTCTCCTTCAAACTTCCTCTCTTTTTCTCACACACATTTATACACACTTGCTTGCATACACTTCCTCAAGCACACTCTTTACACATTTATACACACTATCTCTCAAACGTGCTTCATCCAAATTTTCCAATGGCCAGATAATCGTCTCTAAAGCGTCGATGGGAGATGTGTATGGGGACCCTGCAGAATTCCGAGTGTAGCGGACTCCAAGGGAACTGTCTGGCAAGTTGAAGATTCCACTGGACAATTCACCTACACCTGGAACTATCCAAACATATCCATTTAAATTGGAGTATTCATAACGTTCTGCTGCAGTAAAGTAAGTAGTTATTCAGAAATGTTAGACTATTAATTACCTCGTCTAACTCCTGAGTAATGATTCAACTCACCCCCAACTTATCAAGCAGCTCTCCAAGCTCCCTTACATCCCACAGACTCTGACTTGACAAGCTATAAATCAACAAATAATAGGAGCATATATAAAGAAGACAGCAATAATTATGGGTGACTTTAATCTTCATGTTGATTGAGTCAATCAAATTGTAAAAGATAGCTACATCAACAAATTCATAGAATGCATTAGGGATAATTTCCTAGATCAGTATTTCACGGAGCCAACCAGGGAGCAGGTTATCTTGGATCTGGCAATGGGTAATGAGGCAGATTTAACAAATGACCTTCAGAGTAGAAGATCCCCGGGAAGTAGTGATCACAACATGATAGAATTTAATATTTAGTTCAAGAGTGAGAAACTTGGGTTGGTAACAACTGTGATTAACTTAATGAGGATAGAGTTTGCTTAAATGGACTGGGTAGATAGATAATCAGAAAAACAGTAAGCGATCAGTGGCAAACATTTAAGGAGGTAATTGACGACTCTCAAAAAAGTATATGTTAGTGGGGATGAAAGATTCTGAGAAGGGGATCAACCAACTACGGCTAACTGAAGAAGTTAAGGAGATTAATAATTTGAAAGTAAAAGCATATAAGGAATCAAAATTCAGTAATAGCCCCAAAGACAGATAAATTTAGAATCCAGAAAAGGAGAACTAACAAGAAAACAGAGAAAATAAACTGCAAGGGCAAAATAGCGAAGAATCTAAAAACTGACAATAAGAGCTTCTTTAAAAGTACAAAAAGGACAAAAGAGGTCAAAATGAACATAGGCCCCTTAGGAACTGAATCTGGGGAGACGGTTATGGGAAAGAAGGGAATAAGAGGAGTTATTTAAGGAAAGATATCAGTTTGTTGGAGGCAGTTCAGAGAGGATTCATGAGGATCATCCCTGTTATGGAGGGACTTATGAGCAAAGCCTAAACGGGTTGGGACTTTATTCACTGGATATAAAAGAATATATGAAAGAATAAGAGATGATCTCATTGAAACACATAGGAGGCTTGACAGTGTAAATGCTGAGAGGATACTTCCTATCATAGAAAAATCTAGGAATAGAGGTCATTGCCTCAGAATAAAGGGGCACCAATTTAAAACTGAGATGAGGAGGAATTTCTTCTCTCAGAGGGCTGATTGTCTTTGGAACTCCTTGCCACAGAAAGCTGTGGGGGCTGAATCCTTGTGTATATTTAATGAGATAGACAGATTTTTGATCAGTCAGGGAATCAAGGGTATAGGGAAAACACAGGAAAGTGGATATGAGGAATATCAGATCAGCTATGATCTTATTGAATGATGGAGCAGGCTCGAGGGGCTGAGCAGGCTATTCCTGTACCTAATTCTTATGGTCTTATTGGTATAGACAGGTTAATTGAGTGGGCAGAAATTTGGAAGATTGAGTATAATGTGGAAAAATGTGAGGTTTTACACTTTGGCTGGAAGAATAGAGAAAGTCAATATTATTTAAAAAGAAAATGACTGCAGAAGTCTGCAGCACAGAGGGATTTTATGGTTATCATGCACAATTCACAATTAGTTAGTATCCACGTTCAGTGGGTAATTGGGAGAGCAAATGGACTGTTAGCCTTTATTTCAAAGAGAATGGATATAAAAATAGGGAAGTCTTGCTAAATTTATGCAAGTCAGTAATTAGACCTCACCTGGAATACTGTGAACAGTTTTGGTCCCCAAGTATAGTGAAAGACAGATGGCATAAAGAACATAACGCAGGAACAGGCCCTTTGGCCAACCATGTTGGCATCGAACATGATGCCATTTTAAACTAATTCCATCTGCCTGCACATGGTCCATATTTCTTTATTCCCTGCTCGTCCATATGTCTATCTAAATGCCTCTTAAATGTTGCTATCGTATCTGCTTCTATCACCTCTCTGGCAGCGCATTCCAGGCACCTACCACCCTCTGCATTAAAAAACTTGCTTTGCACATCTTCTTTAGACTTTCTCCTCTCTCACCTTAAACCTATGGCCCTTAGTATTTCACATTTCCAACCTGGGAAAAAGACTGTCCATATCTCCCATAATTTTATATACTCCTATCAAGTCGCCTCTCAGCCTCTGACACCCTAGCTTTGGAGATAGTCCCAAGAAGGTTCACTTGGTTGATTGCTAGTATACAAGGATTTTCTTATGAAGAGAGGTTGAGTAGGTGGGCCTATACTCCAGGAGAGACAATGGCCTAGTGATATTATCGCTGGGTCTTGTTAATCCAGAAACCCAGATAATGTTCTGGGGACCCAGGTTCGAATCCCACCATGGCAAATGATGGAATTTGAATTCAATAAATATCTGGAATTAAGAATCTAATGATGACCTTGAATCCATTGCCAATTGTCGGGAAAAACCGATCTGGTTCACTATTGTCCTTTAAGGAAGGAAACTGCCATCCTTATCGGGTCTGGCCTACATGTGACTCCAGACCCACAGCAATGTGGTTGACCCTTAACTGCCCTCTGGGCAATTAGGGATGGGCAATAAATGCTGCCTTACCAGCGATGCCTTCATCCCATTAATGAATAAAAGAAACTCATTGGGATTTAGAAGGATGAGAGGCAATATTATTAAAACCATAATATTCTTCAGGTGGTTGACAGGGTAGATGCTGAGAGGTTGCTTTCCCTTGTGGGAGAATCTGGAAACCAGAGACCAATAATATCAGACTAAGACTGAAATAGAGTCAGAGTCATACAGCACCGAAACCGACCCTTCGGTCCAACTCGTCTGTTCCAATCTGACCTCGTTCCATTTGCCAGCATTTGGCCCATAGCCCTCTAAACCCTTCATCTTACTTAAATTTACTCCTTTTACATTTTATAATTCTTCCAGGTTTGGATAGGTCTAATCTACATTCCAGCAGAGAGCTTGATAAGATTAACTCATTAAGTAATTGGTCTAAATGGAGGAATGTCTTTTCTCTGATGATAGTAAATCTTTACTGCAGAGGGCTGTCAAGGCTTGGTCATTAAGTACATTCAAGGCTAAGGCAGACAAATCAGTAAGAGAATCAAGGGTTACGAGAAAAAAGCAGGAGGGTGGAATTGAGGATTTTCAGATCAGCTATGATTTCGTTGAATAGCAGAACAGACTCACTGAGGCAAATGGCCTACATCTCACTGCTGAGTATTATGGTCTTATGGAAATGTTTGACTTCTGCCTGAAAACGTACAATGTTGGTGGAGTTGAAAAGTATGGCCTATGCTTTTTGATGCAGGCTGTGACTGGAGCTATTTATTTGTTGTGAGAGGATGGGAATTTTTCTGGAGCACAAGCACTGACCTGTCCGTTGTGGAGACCTTAGGCAATTTTCGCTTGGAACCTCAGAAGTTTCATATGTCTTTTGTTATATTTGAGCCAATCTTCCCTTTACAAACTGAGGGCAGTCTGTTCAAACCTAGTTTCATAATGTTGCACTGGGAAAACTTTGGGTGTCAGTGGAGCTGCATGGATTCCTGCCCAGAATTTCAATCGGTGGTCGCCCTTTGTCTAGATGAGAAATGGATGGCCAGTTTTTGGCTTTAAAAGTAACGATTAAAGATTATCAATTGATCACTGGGGACTATTACTAAAAGTTAAGTTAAAAATAATCATTGCAGTGGAGCCAGGAGGAGATGGGTTGGTCTCAGGCCTGACTCTACAGTATCTCAATATGCCACCATTGTGCCTGAAACCAATTTCTGATGGATTTCTGCAGCTGTTCTTTAAAATAAAATTACTGGATCTAAAAACAATTCACATTTGCTTTGTATTTCCCTTATTGGGCAAATTTACGTATATTATCTATTGTGACCGTGAATCTTATGGATGTTTATGAAATAAGTGTTATGCGTCCTTGCTGATAGCCTCCAATGAATAAACAGACTAACAGATGTAGCAATTCTCGAATAGCTGAACACAGTTTATAAATCATTTCTATTTAAGTATCAGTATCAGCATGTATTCAAGGTTAATGCAGATGTATAAAACCTAGTTGGCAGCCTGCAGGACAGTAAGAGTTTTGATTCAAGATTCAGTTCACAACACTTATAGTACATTCTGTATTAACATGATGCTTGCTGATGGCGAGATCTACCTAGTTACAGGAGGCAATGGATTTCTTGGTCAAGAAATCATAAAACTTCTGATTGAAGAAAATTATGATCTATCAGAAATCAGGATATTGGATAAAGTGATAGACCAAGTATTTGTAGAAGATTTGCAAGGTATGTGACATGAACTCTGCTGTTAAATACATTTATTACTCATTGTAATAATATTTGCTGGCACAAAAAGTGCTATAACGTGCAAATTGCTATGAAATCCTGTAAAATTATGGACAATTTATGTTAGATTATTTAATATAAAGTCTACCAAAGTAAAGTCTTTGTCTTGAAAAAGACTGAAAATAATTCATATAAGTTAGAGTTTTAATGGCAGGGTTTGCTGTATTTCTGAATAGTCTGAAGGATTTTGGTTCTAGTTTAAGTAATTCTTTGCTGGGCATTCTGCTTATGTTTTAGAACTGTGAGGTGTCAACTAATCAGCTCTTTAGCACTGGAAAGACCTAAGTGATATTTAAAATTCCCTCAAAAAACAGGAGAATTTGGAAAAACTTGTAAAAGCAGAGAAACTGTTTATTTATTGTAATCAAAAATGAACTTTAAAATTTGATTGAGGGCAGTAGCGTTTGTGGCAGATCTGCATTGCATTCTGTTGCTTGGATTATGCAGAATGTACAGAATTCAAAGCTGCTACTGCTGCTATCCTGATGGTCCTTAGCAAATCCTCTGTCCAACATGTTAAATACATATAAATGAAAGAAGAGCTAGATCATTGCCAGGTTTATGTTTTAGTGAGCACAAGGCACTGAAACAGTAGGCTTTAGGGGCAGTGTAACTGGTCCTGGCAACCCTGAGCTCCAGAGGGAAAATCATGCAGAGTTCTTGTTCCTGATTAGACTCCATCAAGCGCAAGTGGAAAACGTGGATATTTGATAAGCGCAGGAATTAGATTTTGAATAACCCGTCGAAACTCACTGGCTGAACCTACACTTTACATTGTTGTAGAAGTGGACATAATGGGCCAAATGATTTTTTTTTGGGCAATAAATTTTTCCATATTCCTTCAGCATGGAAACGTATTTCACTATGAGTTTGTGCTTCAGGAGAGGAGAAACAATCAAAAACAAATGCAGTCATTTCCATTGGTACAACTTGAGGATTGTTTTGCCCCAAAAGTAGGGCAATTCAGAGTTTATCCCAAACATTTTTTCTGAGAGCAATTGATCTGATAAGAAATGTTTCTTATATTCATACAGAAAATGGAGGTTGGTTAATGGCTGTATTTCAATTGAAATGTATCTGTAGCATTCATTCTGGTGTTTCTGTGACTGAAAAGTAGCAATTCAACTTGAATACAAGAAGTACATCTTAACTTACTCTTCCCTGAACAACTAATCTGCAGCACTCAATCAAAAGTAGAGGCGAAACTACTAAAGATGATAGTACCCTAAATTCTAATCCTGCTGTTCATATCCTACTTCCCCCATTTCCATATTCTCTTATGATTTATTAGCTGCAAATGGTGTAAACATGCACTGCTTTTGATTTTGCCCTCCACACATCACCTTAACCTCCTGTCTTTTTCCATTTAAATAGCTGAGAATAGCAACTCGGCTGGGGAGTGAAAGAACAGCAAAAAGGCAGTGATAAAGAAGATACATTCTCACCACGTCACTCATATCTATCAACTCAGATATTGGCACTACATGCAATTTAAAGGATATCTTAGAAGTGGAGAGACATTGGCACAAGTGGTCTACAGTCAGGGCAGGTCACAAGGTTGGCATGAGTGCCAGTTCACTGAAGGGTGATGCTACATGAGAGTTTCAATTCAGATTAACACTTTAATGAAACAATCTACAGAATGGTGTTGTTGTGTTTGCATAACAAAGTGTGTGTTGTGTTGTGTTGTGCAACTGATTAGAAAACCTCAATCATATGCAACTTGTAAAAGGTGGCCAACTCCATTTGCCTATGTGTGGGCTGAAACATGATGCGCAGTTAGATGGCTAGTGTTGCAGCTTTCATTGCAACACAAACAGTGGTTTCCCAATGTCTAAGTGCTAAGTCCATGAAATCTCAGCTCTGTGCCTTCCAAGCTTAGTTTCAGGCCAACTAAGCTCAGGCTGCTGCTTTAAGAGCTGCGGATCCCAGTATGTAAAGAAGATTGTGGGTTGTCGCGGCAGTCCAGCAATCTATCCTAAATCAAAATACTTGGATTGCTGTCACAAGGGTGTGGCAGTGACCCCATCTTCATCATGACAACGGCTTTTTTCTCATGATGACAGAATTTGTCCTTCCACTGTGCCAGCAACTTCTAGTTGCCTGTCAGTCAGACCAGGCTGCAATTGCTAATGCTGAGATGGTGCAGTCTGCAGCCCGCATCGAGGTCTTTCAAGACCTAGATCTTCATGGCCATCTTCACACACATTGACCATGTTTCTTATTGATTGTGCAATGCAAATATCCCTTTCTTATATAGATCTGCTCAGAGTTACTTCTTAGCAACAGAAATTTGCACCTAATTTCAACAAAGGATCTGCCTACTCTGCATGCTTTGTGTAGTTTCTCTGCCCATGCGCTAAATCGTTCAGAAACACCAGATCAGTGTAATCTCACCCAAAAGATCATGCGCACACATGACATAGACACCATTTTAAAATCTAAGCCACCTAGAACAACCAGAAATGGGAGGAAAATATTGCATTTTGCATCCATTGTGTTTCTAGTCCTTCCATGACTATAGTATAAATACCTTTTTCTGGAAGATTCAGTCAATAAGCTAACTCACTTAACTTTAAAAGCTATAAGATTGTTTTAGGTATGTCATTTCTAATCTGGTAGAATTTGAAGTGGAGGCAATTGTTTTTAAACATTGTGATTTTGGTCGAATGTTTAGTTGTTTTCTGTTTTTCCAACTGCCTTAGCCCCATACATAATCCCATATTGAGTGCATGCTTTCTGTCAGATCTCTGCTAATGATCTTGCTGGTGCTAAATGATAGATTAGCTTCTCACTGGGCAATATGTGGGAAGAGGGGAGGTAAATATTGGGAAAATCACAAAGAAAATAAGTAATAATGTTGGGAGATTTGAGAGAACCAAGAAGGTAAATGCCAAATTACATATGAGCCAATTAAATGAGTCTCATCCTGATTTCTTTTCCCTCTTGATTCTTCAGTTCTGTTAATTGTCTTTCAGAGCAGCTTGAGGAAATTCAAGTTCTAATGTCTAAACAACAAGGTGTGAATATGATTTCAATAAAGCTAATGATTCATCTTTGTTTCTTTTTTAAAAAAATTGTTTCTCAGCATTGGCTGGAGGTCGAATTAAGGTGACGGATTTCATAGGAGATGTGAGAGATAAAGAGGTCCTGCAAAAAGCCTGTCAAGGAGTGACATGTGTTATTCACACTGCCTCTGCGATTGACATCTGGGGATACATCAGCAATGAAGAGCTAGAAGCCATCAATGTTAAAGGTACAACTTGAGTTAAAGAAAACCAAGGCATTGAATAATGCAGGATATCACTGCAAAGAAGAATGAACTGAAATCTAATTACTGACATGTGCTTAGGTGACACAAGGACAAGCTGAGGGCAAAAACGTCAAAAGTCCTGGTGGGTGGGCATGGGGTAGAGGGTGGTTCTGAGAAGTTGAGAGTGGTTTGCTCTAAATTTATCTTTGGTCTGGATTTCCTCTCCAGCCAACTAATTTTAAATATTTGAGAAGGATGTTTTGTGCTTTTATTGCGCAAATTTAGATGGTTTATGTTATTAGCATGGCATCATTGCTGTGCGTTTGTAAAATCTAGAATACAATCCATTCCTACAGGTGCACAGCCAACAGAAACACTCTTAAAGCCTGATTCTTTTGAGGTGATATATGCAACCTCATTCTTAGGCTTTTGTTGAGCTGGTTAAATTGCACTTTTGTTCTCAGAACTTCTCTGGAGTGGATCATTAATTTGTTACCTTTCATTGGCTAGAATTTAAGCATGGCATTTTCCAAATAAAGGGAGTGAGAGCTGAGGAACTATGTTTTAACGGGATGCAGCCATGGAACTCTCCTGTATCTTGCAGCTGAATCCAGGCACTCCGGAAGATGAAGAAATAATTGAGTTTAAGCTAGTTAGCATTCTCTCAGAGATAGTGGTCAGGGAAGCGGACAGATTGCGGGTGTTGCGACACGGAATGTGCTTTCTGGTAAACTTTTTGAGCTTGAAGGAAAGTCTCCTCTTTCTTGCCTACAGCAGTGTCGTAAACACACTTACCTCAGACATTTCACACTTTTCACCTGAGTTATATGAACCATGGAAATCAAGCTATAATTAAAAATAAAGTTACTTTAAATTTAAGGCTGCACTTATTGAAATAAACTGTGATCTTCTTCAGTAGTCCCTCAGAGTTGAGGATAACATGCTTCCACTCTGGGGCATTTGGAGCGGGGATGGGTTCTGCAGTGGATGATTGATCCAATGCTGAAGATGTAGACTCTGCCACACTTAGGGAAGGTGGTGGTGAGGAGGCAGGTGAGTGGGATGCTCCAGATTCTGCACACTCTTTCTGCTGCTTGTGTTTGGCCTCTATATACTCCACTTGGTGACGCCAGTTTGTGCGTTCCAGGGCAAGCGACTCCTGTCTGTTGGTGGGGATTTTGCATCTGTTTAGAGAGGCTTTCAGAGTGTCCTCGTAGCATTTCCTCTGGCCTCCTAGTGATTGCTTACCATTGTGAGCTCAGAGTAGAGCACTTATTTAGGGAGTCTTGTGTCAGGCGTGATGACAATGTGAACTGATCATGCGTGATCAATATCTAAATGTTGGAGCTATTGTACTGGGAGAGGATGCTAACATGGGTTTGCATATCCTGCTAGTGCATTTGCAGAATTTTGCAAAGCCAGTACTGGTAATAACTCTCCAGGGATTTGAGGTGTCTGCTGTACATGGTCCATGTTTTTGATGCACACAAGAGGGTGGGGACCATGGCTGCTCTACAGACCATAAGCTGGGCACTGGGTTTGACTTCAAACAGACTATTTCTGAGGTGCCCGAAGGTTGCACTGGCACATTGGAGTCAATGTTGGATTTCATAGCCAATGTTTGCTCACATGGAGAGGAGGTTCCTGAGGTAAGAAAAATGATCCACGTTTTTTGGGAGCTTACGTGAATTTTGAGGTTTGGGGAAGCAGTATTGTGTGATGAGCAGGTTGGTACTGAACCTTTGTTTTCCAGGTGTTCTGGCCTCTGAATGTACTCATCCCAGTCTGCCTCACTGCAATGGTGACTGCAGGCCACTCTTCCCAGTCTGCCTCACTGCAATAGTGACTGCACGCCGCTTTTCCCAGTCTGCGTCACTGTGATGGTGACTGCACGCCGCTCTTCCCAGTCACCATCATGGAAAGCTCAGTGTTTGCTAGACTAAAGACTTGGAGAAGAAAGACCTACTCAGGTGGTGCCTTCCAGTCCACCTGGCAATGAGCAACATCCAGAGCCACAGAATGACAACAGTCTACCCTACAAGCCACCATAGTCAGCACGTGTGGGAATGATCAGGAGATCCAGGATCTCCTAGACTGCCAAAGCAAGACGTTCCTAAATTAGCAGCTTCATCAAAAGTCAAGTAAGAGGATACAAGCCTACAGGCAACCGAAGGCCAAGGTGCAACAAAGAACCAATGGCCTAAAGAATAGATGGTGGGTGGAAAGGAGATTCAGCAACTCACCGATGACCACGATGTGGATGGCTTCTTCAGCACAATCAAAGTCATCCTCTGTCCAGGGACCTACCCCACTGACTTCCAAAATGGAGAGTCGCTTATCAAAGACCGAGGGGCAGTCAAAGGTCGCTGGAGAGAGCACTTTAAGGACATCCTAAACCAAGATGCAGCTTTTGACACCATCCTGCAATGTACATTACCATCTCAACACGCCTCCAACCCACCATGAGGTTAAAAAGCCATCTGACAGCTGACAAACAACAAGCCCTCTGGCACAGATAGAACCCCATTAAAGCACTAAAATATGGCAGACAGGTACTCTTGACATGAATGTATGACCTCATTGCCCTTGTCTGAAAGGAAGAGAGCATACTGGGAGATTTCAAAGACACTGAAATTGTAACCATCTTCAAAAAAGGAGACAGGTCGGACAGTGGAAAATACAGAGGTTTCCCTACTGTCCACCACAGGAAAGGTTATTGCGAGAATCATCATCAACTGCCTCCTCTCAGAGGCTGAAGGGTTCCTCCCTGAGCCTCAATGCAGCTTTCATCTGTCAAGAGACACAATGGACATGATTTTCAGTGTGCGGCAAATGCAAAAAAAGTACAGGGAACAGCATCAACTTCTGTAAATAGACTTCTTCGATCTCACAAAGTCCTTTGACTCTGTCAGCCATGAGGGATTGTGGAATATTATCTTTTAGATTCGGCTGCCTGCAGAAATTCGTCACCATTCACAGCAGTTTCAAAATGGCATGCAAGCTGTGATCCTCACCAACAATTCATCAAAGATCAGATACTAGTGCAAACTGGGGTCAAAAACCACATTACTCGCTGTAACATTCCACCCCATCTCCATGAAACTTCCCATTAGAGTGGAACTAACCTGCAGGATGAGCAGAAATTGTTCGACCTATAGTACCTCGAGGCCAGAACCAAAACACCCAAACATTTGTCATTGAGCTGCAGTGTGCAGCCAATCCTTGCATGTGAGTATAAAAACTAACCCTCTTTTTGACAAGCAGATTAGTCATCTGATGATTGTCCTACCTCCATAAGAGTGAAAATCGGCTAATTCGGATCCTGTTTCATATTTTTGTTTATTTAACCTTCCATCTGAACTCAACCAACCCACTCTGGGAGGCTGAAGTTATCTCCCTACGATTCTATATGATGGATTGTAAAATCACGGCCATTGATTTTTCTGTTCCCACTAATTTTGTTTTTGTGTGGACCTCCAAGGTTTGTGCGTGGCAGAGACTTCAGGAACCAGAATTCAATGCTGAGAATGGTGTCAGTTGCCTTGTGTCGACCTTTGGAGTGGCCATGCAGCTTAGAACATTAGTTGTGATGTGAATTCAAAGTATATTGGATCAAATTATACTCTAGATTTGATAACACCTTAAATTCTAACAACATTATGCATGGAATTTTATAGAGGCCTGAACGAGATGGGCTATCGTGAGAAATGAGGGAGAATCAAATGAGAAGGCCAGTGAGACCTACCTCAATGTCAGGAGCAACAAGTTGCATTTTCCAACAGACTTCCAATTGGTGAGACAAGATGTTTGCTGAACAGCAGCGACATACCTATTAACAGTGATTATTACTTGTTACCAGCCTCATTGACAGCAAATCTCACTTCATTAATATAAAACTTTTTATCCTACACCTGCTGCAAGGAAAATAGACATTTACAATTACTGACATGAAAGTCTGAATGGATACGTGGAGACTCCAGTTCGCCACTTGCTGCTCTGGGCGCGCATCTTAGATTCATAGATGCTGGCATCTGACACCTGCCAGCCTAAAAGAAATTTCATGGAATCTCTCTGATCCATTTATAGGATGCTTTTATACCTTAAAGCTATATTCAATGTATGTCAGCAACTGGCAATGCTGCAGTAACGACAGGGATGTGTGCAAGGATGGACAAGGCTGCATCTCAGGGCTGTTCGCTCACCCACTCATTCGCTTTGAGCCTACCTAGATGCACCTTTTTGACTGTTTGGTTCCTCTGCCAGAGCTAACAAACTCTCTTTACTTCTTGTATTGCCATTAACTGCAGACACAAATCCAGGGAACTTGTCACAGTTGTCAACAGTCATCAGTCATATTAAGCCCTTCAGTGGCAGGGGTGGGGGTGGGGGTGGGGGGGCGGTGGGTGCGCTGTTGTTCCCAGCACAGTAAGTCAAGAGCAGGCCTTCACACCAGTTTAGGGCCTTGGACTGGATCACTTAGACTTGGCTGGTCAGAATCTGACTCCTGACCTTGTAAGGGATGAGGAGCCGAATGTCACACAGCCCACAACTCATCTTGGCTCTTACCTCCATATTGTGTGCTGTTTTCTCCTTGAATTAGAGAAAGGGAAGGGTTGAGTGAGATCTAACTGGCCATTACAACTGTTAGTGCTGAAAAGTAGTCGGTTGGCCTGAATGATTGAGTAGGCAGCTGTAGGGTTAATGGGAGGTCTGGGTGGTATCAGAGATGGCAGATAGGGAGCAGGGAGAAGATGGTGGCTTTCCTGCAATGCTGGGTTTTTTTCCAGCCTGAGACTGCAATGAACTGGGTGGCAACCTCAGCCCAGGCTGCCAAGTTTTTGCAGCCTCCTCTGACCATCCTGGGGGAAGAGGACGCCCTCATCTGCATCACACTGTGCACACTGACTTTCAGGTTCCTCCTAAAAAGCAAGGCTCCAATTTCCCCTTCTCTGCCATGTCACTGTACAGGTAAACTCCAGGTTGACAATGCACATGGCCTTTTAAAGAAAGTACTGGTGCCAGGGATGATGGTCTATTCAGAGATATCCCAGCAATGTTGAGTTCTTTCAAGTATGGTGAGGAGGAGAATTGAACTAGCGTTGAACAAGAGCGTGGCCGTAGGGACAGGGTAAGTAGTTAAAGAGGTGAGTTTGCAATGATATTGTGAGAAATCTCAATGGGCCTTGCAGAGGAGGCCCTCAGTGAAACCCGGCAAAGTTGAGACTTTGCTAAAATATATGAAGATTCAGCCTTTATTTCTATGTCAATTAAAATGATGATATAGGATGCTTCTCACTTTCATTTCTGACCATGGTGAACGGTGTATTTTTTTTATAATTATGTAATGGTATGATTTCTATCAGTTCTTATGATATTGTTTCATTTTAATTTGGCAGGAACTCATCTTTTGATAGAAACCTCTATTCAACAGAACGTGAAGTGTTTTATCTACACCAGTAGTATAGAGGTGGTAGGACCAAATGCAAGAGGTGATTCTATCTGTAATGGTGATGAAGACTCAGTCTACCTTGGCAAACTAAAATTTCACTACAGCAGAACAAAACTTGCAGCAGAACAATTAGTGCTGACATCAAATGGATGTCTCCTACCTAATGGTGAACAAATGGTAACATGTGCTTTACGGCCCACGTATATCTACGGAGAAAACTCCCGTTTTCTGGTAGGACACTTGGATGAAGGAATCATCAATGGAAATGTTCTGAAGAGATCTTCTAGGAAGCAGGCGCTTGTGAATCCTGTTTATGTTGGCAATGTAGCTTGGGCTCATATTTTAGTGGCTAGAGCTATGAAAGACAAGGACAGGAAGAAAGTAGTTGGTGGAAAATTCTATTATATCACAGATGACACCCCGCATATGAGTTACTCAGATTTTAACTATGAGATGATGGGCCCTCTAGGGTTTACAATTCCAGAAAAGCTTCATATGCCTCTGCTGCTTATGTACTTCACCACTTTCATAATGGAGATGCTGCAGTTTTTGCTAAGGCCATTTATCAGATATGTTCCCAAAACAAACCGACACCTTATTACAATGCTCAACACAAAGTTTACCTTTACTAGCCACAAAGCCTTCAATGATTTTGACTACATACCACGTTACAGTTGGGACGTAGCAAAAAAGCAGACCACTGCCTGGCTGGCTTCAATTGTACAACACCAGAGAGATATTTTAAATAAAAAGTAACACTGAAGCTACAAAAATAAAAGCCTAAATCTTAGGGGAGAAAAGTTTGAAATTCTGAATGTTTATTTTGGTGCAGTACTTAATGCTTTTATTCAAAATTCCTGAGGCTGAAATTGGCCTAATTATTGCCTCATTTTGGGTGTTACCAGAGTCCATAAAGTTCCAAAATGAGGTCTGGCCTGCTTTGTGCACAAACACTTAGAGATTAGTGGGATGCTATAATATTGAGGATGTTATCATAGGTTCACAGATTGTTCCCAGAAGTACCCTGTGTGGGCACATTCTTTTTTACTTATCTGTTCACAGGACGTGGGCCTCATTGCCTAGACCAGCATTTATTGCCTTCGAGATCATGACATCAGTCAGCAGATTGGACTGATTTGACCTAGTGGTGCTCTTTTCAGCTCACTACTTCAATTAATATCATTTTTTAACTTACATATTTGAATGCATAGTGTTAAAAAGGACCCCATTCAGCTGCAATAGTTAAAGGACTCCAATTACATTTGGGTTAGTTATTGATTGCTTAGGGCCGTTGTTTTGTCTTTAAGAATGTGTTTTCTAAAGTTGTTTCAAGCTCCACAAGTCTAAAAGTGATGTTATGGCAGGTATTTCAAGATTTTCTGCTGACGACGCAGTTACTCATAACATGGATACACTAAGTTGGCAATTCCATTCTAATATGATTTGACTTTGGGAATAAAGTGGCTATACAGAGCAGCTCAAGTTGTAAGATGAGATGAGGAGGAGGAGGAGGATAAGGGCTGTCAACAAGAGGCCAGATTAACTCAAGATGTTCAGAGCAATTCTTTTATCTGAATATCAGTGAGGAACAGTATGTGAAAGACTATCGTACTGTTTCAAAGAGTTGACTGAAATCTGCCAAATGTTGCAGCCACAACGGTAAACTCAGAGCAGGGCAAGGACTGCGTCTGTGAAAGTGATATGACAATGAACTTCTATTTGCTTAACTCATTGTAGTCTGCACCTGGACTTATTTATAACATTTTGCAGTTTGCTGTCCAGTGATGCATAAGAAAATGTCACTGAAGATTTCATTCAGTGACAGTTGACAACATATTATTTCTACCTGGTCAGGGATCAATAGCTGGCAGAGTGTACAAGCTGAGAGATGTTGGCTTAAGACTTGCAGGGTGGATGAAGTTATGAATCCTGATTTATAACAATTGCCAGTCGGGGAGCAAAAGGATGTAATGAATTGAACAGTAGCTGAGGCTGGGTGCAGTTAATATAATACATTCATCCATTTGAAGACAAATTCACTGACTTGACTGCTCACGTGAGGTCCTTGAACATATCGTTGCACTGTCTGTTTCTTTTGGACATGAATCCTGGCATGTATTTCCATGACTGTCTGCTCCCTTGACATTTTGCCATCTCTGGGTTCAGGACACCTTTCCCACTTTTCACCTCCTCCAACAAGGCTCATGGTTCAGCATCTGAAAACTTTGGAGCCTGCTAAGTTGTTCCATTTTTCATCCTTTCCCAGGTGAGTTCCTGCATGACTGCCAATAAGTCCTCCTGCCACAATGCATCTTCCATTTAAGAAGAGTAAGTTAGCTTTTAATGGTCCTGACTAGTTACAACGTTGGGATCCTTGCTGATAAACACAGCCAATGAAAAGCACGCTTAGTGCTTGCTGCATACAGCCATAATTCAAATGACCAGGCATCATGCAGTTTATGTGCTGCTTGTAAAATGCTAAACAAATGTGTTTTAACCATACATCATGTTCCCTGTTTTTAAGGAATTAATTCTCCAAAGTAATTGGCATGCCTTGAGTACAAAGGGTTAAAATATATAAATTGTCAAACAAAAAGTTAACCACTGCACTACAAATAGCATTCAGCAGAAGTATTGCATTTGCACAAACATATATGTAGTAAATCACAGTTCACTGAAAATAACAGATTTAGTTCATCATCTATCAGTAAGCTTGATTGGTCTAACATTTTTTCATCTCTGTGAGGAAGCTGTTTGCGGTGATGCTACTTTTATTGTGCCCCTACAAGTAGCTGAAACTTTTTCCTTCCTCTGGATGCAGTGTAGAGACTGAAAACAGCCAGCTTATGTTGTACAAGAGGAATGGAACTCTTAAAAATTACAGCAACCAGAAACACAGCAACAGAAAATACTCAGCAAAGTGTATTGATCATTAAAAAGAAGGAACCCCGATATTGTGATTCTGAAGATTTTCAAAATGATATATACTTTTCTGTAATCATCAACATCAAACTTATGTAGCACAGCATAATGAATGTTCTGAATGCAATTAAAATGATTTCATTTCCTCTTCATTTCCAGTTGACTGTGACATTTACACCTTAAACACATTTAAATTTCAATACATAATGCAATGAAAATCGAATAATGATGGGTCAAATTGACTTAATATTACACTTTTTGCTGGTTTCCTTACTGCATAAAGAGAATTGAGCTTTGCATTTGGTAGGTTAGAACAGTATTTTAGAAAGTAGCACAAAGAAGAAAGGAAACATAGGGGATCCAGGCATTAGGACAGATGAGGTGGGCATGGACCAACACTGTGGTTGTTTTTACTCCACAAGGATAGAAGGTAGCTCACCATCACCTTTTGAGAACAATTAAGGATAAGCAATAAATGCTGGCTGAGCCAGTGACATCCACATCTCATGAACAAACAAAATGACCATAAGATGTAGGAGCAGAAGTAGGCTTTTCAGCCTATTGAGTCTGCTCTGCCATTTAATGAGATCATGTCCGATATGGTAATCCTCAACTCCACTTTCCCTCTTTATCCCCCATTGCCCTTGGGAAAAAATGTGCTCTCATTGGTTCATTCTTTCTATGATTTGAAGAAACTTTAAAAAACATTTAAAATAATGGAACCCATATTAACCCTTTGAGACTCTCAACCTTTGCCAGCCAGGGATTCTGAGCTTTCTCCAGATGTTAACCAGTTTGAAAATGATCACAGATAATCACTGACCAGGAGTAATTAAATACACACAAAACCCATCAGAAGTCAACTTTTTCTGGTTTTGTGCCCTGTTTTATTATGCATTTGCATTGTTATCTGAAGCTGAGGTACTTTAGGTGCTTCTTGCTGTGGACTGAGTATTACCTCTGAAACTGAGTTTCATCAATGGAATGTAGCAGCCAATGAATTAGGTTTAGTTTTGCTTTTATTCATTTTATTTTACAATACAGCAAGTTATAAAAATAATCATAAAAGTATATGCAGTCTTCGTTGGAATTTACTTATTGATATTTTAAAATCAGTGGAATTTACTTAGGGTTTCTCGGTGCAATTGATGCTGTAGAAACATCACCAAAATAAATTTCATGCAAATATTACAGGCCTTTGAATCTTTTTTTCTTCTGTGTCCTTTCTTTGATTTATAAATTTTATAAATATCACTACAATTTAGAAAGCACATTATTTTATTTGGGTCTTGATATTATCACAATACTCCACCAGGGCAACAAGATTTGAAAACTGGACAACTATCCCATGATCCAATGTCATGTGATTAAGATTCAGAACAAGCGATGTCTTATGATTGAATGTCACATGATTGAATCTCCAGGAATACATCAATTTGGAGTTGGCAACACTAACACAAACATGGTCAAAACATTTTAAAAGATTCAAGGATCAACTCTGGAAAGGCAGTGGTGTAATGCTGCTGGACTGGTAATTCAGAGCACAGATTTAATTCTCTGGGGAAGAAACTCTAATCACACCATGGTAGTTTGTGGAATTTCAATGCAATAAATTAATCAGTCTGGAATTGAAAGTTAGTTACACATTTATCATTACTAAAACTATTGTTGAGTGTATTAGAAAACAATGTAATTTCTTCACAGAAATGTCACTTTTACGTCATCTTACCTCAGTGACTCCAGATTTACAATAACATGGTTGACTCTTCAATGGCCCAGCAAGTGTCAGGGTCATTAAGGATGGGCAGCAATTGCTGCCTTGACAGTGACATCTACATCATGTGAAAAAACAAGTAGAACTGAGTAGACAAGGATTATCTGTGAAATATAATAAACTTGGTAAGAAAAGATTAAGATTCATTGAATTAATGGTTTATTGATAATAAATTGACTATAATTGCTGGTGTAAGTCAAACCTGATAACTAAAACATTGTTACTTTTAAAGGTGCAGGAAAGAACCTTATCCGGTCAAGGCCCAGAATTATCTGACTGATTGAAATTGTTAATTTATACTAATTATTTTGTTTGTAAATCCTGACATATTTACCTGGCAGAGATTGAGGACCTGGCTTTGCCTGTGGAAAGGCCTGTATCAGTAGAGAAACACACAACAACATCTTTCTCCCATGTTAGCATTTCAGCATGCTGAGTTGGAATCCATGATGAAAATTGATCCAATTATTTCAATCAGTATTTTCTTAGAGAGTCTAATGAATCATGTTTCTGACTTGCTTCCTTTTGGAGGGTTTAAAATGGCTGAGTCTGGGAAGATAGTTTTGAAGTGGAAATTGTGTGGTGGGATCTGAAATTGCAGGAGGATCGAGCTGCGTTGGGATTTTGCAGTTTTTCTTCTGTTGCAGATGAGGCAGATGCTTTGTAACTTCATTCCAGGTACAGATTTCAGGGAAGATCGGATGAAGTAATTTGCCAGAAATCCTGTCAATCACTATGCATTCTCCCAAATATTAGATGCAGGCAAACCTACACTGCATGAGAACCTACTGGTGGGAATGGGACTCACGATGCTTGTTGACTGCAGCAACCTCAAAATCGAACAGTTCTTAACAAATTAATTACTCTTTGTTTACAATGAGCAATGCTGAAGGCACTGGAAGCTACTGCTGTTAAATTGCTACGCTCTGTGAATTGCCACTTAGGAGGTGCTGGAATTAATGTTGGGCATTTTAATACAAATGACCTTGAGATTTGTCAACTGTGGCAGACTGGCTGGTGGAAATTTTGCCTCACTGCATTTCAGCTGGTGGAATGGGCATGGAAGAATCCAGGATCAAGTATATTTACACTGATCATACCTCATTTTCTCTGTTGATAAATCACTAGCTAAAACATTTACAATACAGCTCTGTGATATTGACATTGAACAATATCACCAGACATTGTCATTGTTTGAAGTAGTAGTCAAAGAAAATTCATATAGAAGAAGCCAGAAGTATTATTTTATCTGACAACAAAAACTTAATCATAAGTTCAAAGCTGAGTATTTGGTGGTGAGGAATAACAGTGGAGTTGAAGACTATAATTAGATTCTGGCAGTGGTACCAAACAAGCAAATTTTTGCAATAAAAATATCAAAGACTTCACTAGGGAACAAAACAAACTTTGCTATCAAATTATTTTCTCTTGACCAACAAGTCAGCATTAGTTTTGGCTATTCTACAAAGATACTTGAATATCTAGGTTGGAAGACCACCAAAGGAACAGGATATTGCTTATCCAAAACAAAAAATGCTGGAAATCTCAGTGGGTCAGGCAACATCCATGGAGAGAGAGCAAGCTAACATTTCAAGTCTAGATGAAGAGTCTGTGATTTCCAGCATTTCTTGTTTTCAGTACAGATTTTAGCATCTGCAGTAATTTGCTCCTATATTGCTTATCCAAGTTTAAACAGTCTCATCAATGGCATCATTCTTGCAAACCATTAAAAATGTTGAATTAACGTGCTATTTTCTCCTTATTTTGGCTAATTAGGCAAACTATTAAATTATTTTTTGAAATATGAAGCCTTGGAAGACCAACAGGCTCAAGAACCTAAATGAATATAATAATTGTTGTTGTTAAAATGCATTTGTGCTAATGTTAATTTGACTCCTCAAAGAAATGGGAGAGATTGAAGATCAGTTCAGTCAAACAGTTCTTTTTGTGAATAATGATGCAAAAAGCATAACATATAAATGACCTTATTGTAGATCACAGGAGTTTAATGTATTTAATGTGGAGATTCACAAGTTCAGACCTTTATTAATGCTCAGACCCACTTTAGGAAATCAGTTGAGTTACTTATAGATGTGAAAACACTGCTTATAGGCTTCCATTCTGTTTTAACTGTCCAGCTTATTCTTTAATGGTATGTACTCAATGCTTCCCAATCATTAGGCTTGGAGACCATTTTATTCTTGCTTCTTCAAAAGAACCTGAAATACAAAGGCTGGCATTGTTTTCCACTCCAGCTTCCAGAAATGCTGATAAAGTGCTGCAGTAGGTCATGCAGATAACCTGCTCACCAAGTTAAAGCATTATAGGACCAAACCTGGAACGGTAAAATGTACATTGGATAATGCTGAATCTTGGAAAATGACACCAAAAAACTCCAAACATTAGAGAAGCAGAAAGAACAGGTAATATTAAAAATGTTCAGCAGTTGAGTCAGCGTCCGTTTAGAGAAGATAAGTTGATGTTTTACGTCTAAAAGCAAATAGTGCAAATGTTAAAAATAGGAAACTAAAAAGAAAATTATTAAAATACTTAGGTCTAACAGTAGTTGTAGTGAGAGAAACAGACTTTGAAGCACTCTCCTTTGAAGGTAACATAGGTGTAGGATCCAATTTATGAAAGGTTGATTTATTTAAAGGGTATCATTAAACAGGAGTAGGTTCATAATAGATTTACCAGGATGTTGCCAGGAATGGAGAGTTTGAGTTATAAGGAGAGGCTGGATAGGCTGGGCATTTTTTCATTAGAGCATGGGAGGTTGAGGGGTGACCTTATAGAGGTTTACAAAATCATGAGGGGCATAGATAAAAGCAAAGGTCTTTTCCCTAGGGTGGAAGATTTCAAGACCCGGGGGCATATTTTTAAGGTGAGAGGAGAAAGACTTAGAAAAAAGACATGAGGGACATTTTTTTTTACACAGTAGTTTGTGTATGGAATGAACTTCCAGAGGAAGTGATGGATGCAGGTACAATTACAATGTTTAATAGACATTTAGTTAAGTACATGAATAAGAAATGTTTGGAGGGATATGGGCCAAGCGTATTCCTTCTGCTTGAGAAAACACCACGCAAAGCCATGCTACTGGAAAAGAATGCAAACAACTGGCACGTGACACTATACTCTGGGGAAGCATAGGCAATAACTGGCTTCCATTTTGAGCTAACAGTTAAGGGATAGGGATGTGAGAATCTCTGTGTTCTCAATGGATGCTTGAGCAAATCTATCTTTTACTTTTGAATGTTTCTACATATTCTGTGATATCTTCACCAGTTAACATTTCCTTTTAAGATATCATAGAATTTAGAACAGTACAGCACAGTACAGGCCCTTCGGCCCACAATGTTGTGCCGAACTTTTACCCTAATCCTAAGGTCTATCTAACCTCCACCCCTACTCTCCTATACTCTCACCCATATGCCTATCAAATAGCCGCTTAAATACCCCTAATGAGGCTGACTCCACTACCCTCTCCAGCAATGCGTTCCACACCCCTACCACTCTCTGAGTAAAGAACCTACCTCTGACGTCTCCCCTGTATCTACCTCTGCTCACTTTAAAACTATGCCCCCTCATAATAGCTACCTCCACCCTAGGAAAAGGTCTCTGGCTGTCCACTCTATCTATACCTCTGATCATTTTGTACACCTCTATCAAGTCACCTCTCATCCTTCGTTGTTCTAAAGAGAAAAGCCCTAGCTCTCTCAACCTTTCCTCGTAAGACCTTCCCTCCATTCCAGGCAACATCCTGGTAAATCTCCACTGCACCTTTTCCAACACTTCCACATCTTTCCTGTAATGAGGCGACCAGAACTGGACACAATACTCCAGATGTGGCCGAATCAGGCTTTTGTATAGCTGGAGCATAACTTCACGGCTTTTGAAGTCAATCCCTCTGTTAATGAAAGCTAACACACCATACGCCTTCTTAACATCTCTATCCACCTGGGTGGCAGCTTTCAGGGAACTGTGAACATGAACCCCAAGATCTCTCTGCTCCTCCACACTGCCAAGAATCTTTCTGTTAACCCTGTATTCTGCTTTCAAGTTTGTCCTTCCAAAATGAATCACCTCACACTTTTCAGGGTTAAACTCCATCTGCCACTTCTCAGCCCAGCTCTGCATCCTATCAATGTCCCTTTGTAACCTAGAACAGCCCTCTGCACTGCCCACAACGTGACCCACCTTCGTATTGTCCACGAACTTGCTAATCCACCCTTCCACTCCTTCATCCAAATCAGTTACAAACAAGTAATGATAGAGCATTGCTCCAACACACCAACATTAAATGTATTGTTAATAGAAGAGAATCTTGGTAACAGTATCTCAAATACAGGAGAGTGGCTAAGGCTGTGATAAGGACAGCTAAGAGGAAGCATGAGGAAAGGATGACAGGCTGCTCTAATACAAATAGTAAAATGTTCTTCAGACATATTAATAGTAAAAGATACATTCTGGATTTCTGAGAGAGATAAGGGAGCACATTGTGGAGCCGTTGACAGAAATTTTCCAGGCCTCTCTGAACACGGGACTAATCCTGGGGGACTGCAGGTTTGCAAATGTGATGGTATTGTTGAAGAAAGGGAAAAAGGATAAATCAGGAAACTACAGACTTGCCAGCTTGACATCAAGGCCTGAATACAGGTTAAAATAAATATACACTTGGAGAAAAATAAGTTAGTACTAGACAGTCAACTTGGCTTTGTCAAGGGCAAGTTATATCTGACAAATTTATTTGAGTTCTTTCATGAGGTGACACAGGTAGTGGATGAAGATAGTGCTGTGGAAGTTGTGTTCTTGGCCTTTCAGAAAGCATTTAATATGGTGACACAGGGAAGATTGGTGAGTAAATTAGAAATGTTTTGGATTGATGGATTCTTGGCAGCATGGATTAGAAGTTGGTTAAAAAATAGGAAACAGAAGCTAGGTCTAGATGGGCATTTCACAGACTGGAGACAAGTTGAAAGTGGTGTTCACCAAGGACTAGTGTTGGAACCCTTGCTTTTTCTGATTTATGTAAGTGATTTGGAGATGGTGTTGAGGGCAATATCTCCAAATTTGCAGAGAGAAGCTAGGGAAAATAATGAATTGTGTAGTTGACACTCAGCAAGTTCAGAGAGACATTGATAAGTTGGCTAAATGGGCAGACACCTGGCATATGTATTTCAATGCTGAAAAATATGGGGTAATACATTTTGGCAGAAGAAACATGGAGAGACAATATAGGCTCAATGGTACAACTTTAAGGGGAGTACAGAAGCAGAAGGACCTCGGGGTTCAGGTGCCAAATTCTCTGAAAGTGGCCAGGCAAGTTAAAACAGTTGTTAAGAAGTATTTTAGGATCCTTGGGTTTAGAAAATAGAGGCATAGAATATAAAAGCAAGGAAGTGATGCTACACCTCTACAAATCATTGGTCAGACCACATTTGAGTATTGTGTTCAGTTTTGCACACCTTATTGGAAGAAGAATGTTAAAGCCCTTGAAAGAGGAAAGAAATTTCCTCGAATTATACCAGGAATGAGAGATTTTAGACAAAAGAAAAAATTTGAGAAATTGGGCTTATTCTTCTCGGAACAGGGAAGATCAAGAGGTGACCTTATTGAGGTGTTAAAAAATTATGAACATGAAAGTGGTGGAGGAGGATTGCATAGGAGGTTTATATATATTTGAAAGTGATGAATTTAGGGGCTATGGAAATAAGGCTGGAGAATGGGACTAGCCAGGTAGCTCTTTTGAAGCCGGTACAGACACATTGGGTTGATTGGCCTCCTGCTATACTGTAAAATTCTATGTTTGTTAATTTCCTCCTAATACAAACCAGATTACAGCAGAGATTATTTCTGAAGATCTTGCAGTCTTCTTTACAGCTGGAAATACTAGCTTCCATTCAACTACCCAACCATGAACCATCTCCTGTACACTGGACTGTCCAGAACCCCACTACAACAAGTGTACATGGCAGATAAGAAATTCACATGTCGTGAGAAACACAGTACAAGGAAGATATTGAATCTTGCAGCGATGCCTGACAGAGTTTGGTGGAGGCATAAGACGTGTCAACTCTTGCCTTCTGAGCAACTAGATGTCGTCAGTGGGCATACTATGCAAAATTAACACTGCAAGATGATTAGATTTAAAGGTAGGTTCTGCGTGATTTCCTTCCAAAATGTGAAATCAATGGCTGAAGCAGTGATGCAAACTAATCAATTAACCTGGAGACATTGAATGAAGAATGATAAGTTTTAGAGAATTGTCTGAAAAGCTTATTGTTTTTCAGATTGCAATGTATACAGATCAGTATCTACAAGGGATTAAAGAATATTTGGTTGACTCTTGTTCAAGGATTTAAGGATCTTTGATTCCTTGTATTCTGTTATTCCAATGAGCGCTAAGTAATCTGACAACTGTTCCTGGCTGCAGTGAAGATGCTAATAATCTTTTGAAACAGTGTAGAAATATTAGACACATATATGCAAATAAAGCGACCATTTGGATCTTGGATCTGTTAAAATATAGTGGAAGCACTGTCGGATGAAATGCAAAAGTATCATGATAACTTCCTGAATACCACAGATCAAATTGCAAGAAACTGTCTGTAATCATAAATAAGCTGTGAGAAATCGGGAGTTTTCCATTTGAGACATGCAAAACCCCATGTAGGCAGCCCTGGCAAATCTACAATGGCTCACTCAGTCATCTGCAAGAATAAAAGTTTAAAACAGTGGTGTCTAGTGAGATCCAACATAAATTGGTTCATCACAAATTTCTGTTTGAAAAAGACATAAACCTCAAGTGAGGCACTTCCCTAACCCAGGAATTTTACAGCTGGAAGCTGCTGATTATGTAATACATGCAACATAGAAAACAATCCCAAGGAACTTTCGGGAAGGAGAAAATAAAGAAATAGGCACTGAACCAAGAGAAAAAGTTAGGAGCAGGTGATGTCAAAATGGATTGAAAAGATTAGTTTTGAGCGTTTTATGAAAGTACGGAGCATAATGCAAGAGGCTTATGTTGGAAATTCCAGAGGTTAGATCTGAGGCAGCTAAAGATTCAGGCGAATTAAAGGATGAAATGTTATTATTACAGGGAGAAAATTGTGGTGATGGTTTGAGACAAAACCATTGGGAGATTTGGAGACGAGGTAAAAAGTTTGTAAATTTCTTAGGATTAAGGTCATGACCCAATTAAGGTTTCAAGAATACAAGCAGATTTTAATGAAACCCAGAATAAGAATGGACTGGGTTTGAGTTTGACAGCTGGAAGATTTCAGTTTTCTCCCTTTTAAGTTATTCATGGTGTAAAAACTAAACCAAGAGCCTCTGCTTTCTTTAAAATAAAGTCAATAGCCTCAGTTAGATATTATTAGTTTTATTGTCATCATTGCAACATTAAAGCTACAAAACAAATTCTTCAAAAATGTGTATTAGAAAGTTTGATGTAAAAGCACTTTTTGTTATTACAAGAAAATTATTTTATCAAAATCATAAATTCTTGGTTTGAATCAATGGCAACTCGCAAAAATAAAGAAAAATTGACTAGTGCTGGAATTGTCTGTTTCACGATAGATTGGAGCTTTAAGATCCACACAGGAGGAAGGTATTGACTGAGCCTAGAAAAGAGATAAAGAATGTTATTTATTGTTGAATAAATAGGGATGCCTGAAAGAGTTACAGAATAAGCATTTACAAAAACTAATAACAGCACCAATTGCCAACATCTTGAATTTCAGTAAGTTTATGCAGATAGCCAATCAGCACTTCCCTAACTGGGGGTCGTAAATCCTAGTGGGGCTGGTTGATGAAATTTGGGGGTCATGACTCCCATACCTTTAATGACAGCTGTGGAAGCAGCATAACCCAGGACAGCAGTTGCAGAAGTGCTGAACTTCATGGCTTGACTAATTTGTCAACTGCTCTGCTAACTGAAATTGTAAACATCTAAAACAGCCAATCAGGTACAGACAATTTCTGTTATTCTGAACCCCAACGGCAATCATTGGCCCATTAGGAGTGGCCAGAAGCATTGATATTCCTCTGTTCTTTCTTGCCTGTCTTATGGCTCAGATGGTTCTCTTGGAAGGTGTTGGAGTCTGTTCGACCCGGTGAGTTCCAATTGGCTGCACGTGGCTTTTCTATCACCTTGTGACCCTACTGGAGGATTTGAGTTATAAGCAGAGGCTTGATAGGCTGGGACTTTTTTCACTGTAGTGTAGGAGGTTGTGGGTGGGGATGACCTTATCAAGGTTTATAAAATCATGAGGAGCATAGATAAGGTGAATAATGTTAAGTCTGAATGACTCTTGAACGCAATTCTGAAGAAGAGTCATACCAAACTTGAAATGTTAATTCTGTTTCTCTCTCTACAGACCTGCTAAGCTTCTTCAGCATTCTGAGCTTCTCCTAGTCTCTCTTTTCTTGACTTTATAAGGCAGTGGAAATATCATGCATTGAAGTAAAACAGGCTGGGATCCAGGCTTAGTCTACCACTACGTGTTTGCATACATTGGGCAGAGAAGACATGTCTCCAAGCTTTCCCAGATAGAGGGGAAGGGTGGGGTAGTTTGGAGAAGGAAAATTTAGTTTGGAATGTTTTGAGGTGGCAACAAACCTCACCGATAATTTTGCTTCCTTCTGCCACAACTGAGGCAAAGGCAGCAGAGGGAACTGTGATCTGTGACTTTATTCTTCTGTTTACTATCCAATATTTTTATTGTACATTTTTCTTTATCTGGATCTTTTGAGGACGTTTCTTCTCTGCATGATTTGAATGCAGTGTTTCTAACACATGTGAATGTTGCACAGTTGTAACCTGAAGGTACTATATAATAACATCCTCTTTTCTGTCAGAAATACCTCTAAACTTTTTGCAGTTGGTAGAGTAGAGCTACTTAATGTCGAGACATTTCCATAAGCATTAAAAAGTTCATATCTTAGCCAACAATTAGGTACATTGATGGATATTTTACAGAGATAAATTTAAGTGTAGCAGTGAACTAGCAAAAGACTGTGCTTAATGCATTTGATTGATCACCAAAAGAATGTTAACTTTTATATAATTTGTACCTTCTGCTGGAGGTTTGCGAGGCCTTATGATGTCCATGTGGGAGGTAGGGTCAGTGCTGATCAGACGCACTCCTGCAGCTTTTCCACCTTTTGGAAAGTCTTTTGGTCTGTTCTTGTAAACACTTTCCGTTAAAACTGGTGCATCTGGTTAAGGATTTAAAAATTCCCTTGTCATGTATCTGGAGAACAACAATACTCAAGAAGCTTGGCACCATTTAGGACAAAGTAGCCTACTGGATTGACATTTCATTTACCATCTTAAGCATTTACTCCCTCCACCAGTGATGCACAGTAGCCAGCATGTACTACCGCAACTCATTAAGCCTCCTCTGACAGCACCTTCCAATTCTCTTCCACCTAAAACAGCAAGGCAGCAGGCAACCGGGAACACTTTCACTTGCAGAGTCCCTCCCAGGTCACACATTATTTCTACTTGGAAATAAATGGTCAATCTTTCATTTTCACTGGGTCAAAGCCCTGGAGTACCATTCCTTGTAGATGTACCTCAGAATGTGAACTGCAGAGATTCAAGAAGGTAGCTCAACAGCACCTTGTAGAGGGCATTTAGGAACAGGCAACTGGCCAAGGTGGTATGCTGAATTTCCTTGAACTTCTGTTGCTTCAGTTCTCTGGAAGGGTTTTTACTTAATGATTTTGCTTTGAAGTAAAGCCCTGGGAGTTTTGAAAACAATGCCAATACCACACCCCATCCAGAAATATTGGTTATACTCACAAAGGAATATTTTCTCCTTTGGCATGTGGGAATTTTTATTGAAGATAAAAAACAAGTAGAAATTCTGAGTTTCTTTGGATCTGTATGAAGAAATGTTCTCTTTCTCCTATTTGCAAAGATGACCATAGTTTCTGTAAACATCAATAACCTAAGAAACAATCATACATCTACTTGCAGCCTTTTCACAAAGTTTTCCAAATCATGGAAAGTCATTATCCATCACTGGTCATCTGCTGGCCTAACCAGATTATAATTCCAAGTTCACCTCCAGGGATGATGGCAGAGACATGAGGTTCCAACTATAAAATCATGAGTCACAATGCTATTTCTGTTCCTGACGAGGACCCAATTGAGGAAACCATGACCAGTTGTGATGCTGCTGGCTGTGGAGCAATGCAAAATTTGTAGAATATGTTGGCATTCCATTTCAGCAAAGGAGAATCCACAAAATGACATGTGATAAAGGACACGCTAGTGTGACACTGCCAATACATACCTAGAGGTAACGTCACCCACATTTAAAGTCGTAACAGATGAGTTGGAGAGCTGCTATTTAGCTAAGATAACACTCTTAGTTGGAGGTAAAAGAGGCAGAACTTTCTCTCTCTGCAATGTAGGGGTAACAATCTTCATGATGAGTGTGATAGTTGATATGATTAAGTGAGTGAACGTTTCAGTGATTACTCAGAGTCTGATGAAGGATGTAACGTTGAGTCAGACCAAACTAGTGGTAGGGTCCACTGCAGTGACATGCAGAGCCTACACCACACCAGAGGTTGTTGCTAGATCCTTCACAAAGCACAGCTTTAAATGATTATGCATCAGTCTACTCCTGTGGATGCCATATATGAAGTGTAATATTGTAAATAATATTAGAAGCATTTGAGATGTAGCCACGTACAGAATAGGAAATTGCAATGTACTTGAGGTTACAGGTCGTAATGCATTGATGTAAGGGATTTGAAAGGAAAGGAGAGGTGCTATCTGAGCCCCTTGTCCATATCTTCAATAGCTCAAGAGAGTCCTGAATTATTTCTTTAAATCAGAAGATCACTTATTTAGTTCAAAAAATGGGACAAATCAGCCCAGGAAAAACATTTTGGCCTGTATTTATTGCAGGAAAGATGCTTGAAGGGATCCTAAGTGATACGTTTTATGATTACTGGGAAAGTTAGGACCATTAGTGATACTCAATACAGTCTCCTAGGAACAAATTTTTATGGTGCAGAAGGAGTCTATTCAGCCACCATGTCTGCACAGGCTCAGTTATCTCCTGCTTTTTCCCAATATTCCTGATATCCAAATAACTATTGAAAGCCCTCTTGAATTACCTTAATTAAACCTACCCCCACCACATTTCCAGGCAGTGTTTTACATACCCTAAAAACTGGCTGTGTGAACACATTTCTTTCTCATATCACCCTTGCTTCATTTGCACATCACTTTAAATTCATGCCCTCTCATTTTTGTTTCGTTTTCAAGCGAAAAGGGTTTCACCCTATCTAGTCTGTCCATCCCAGTCATGATGTTGAAAACCTCAATCAGATCTCTTCCTTGCCTTCTTCTCTCCAGGGAGAATATTCCCAACTTTATCAATCTATCCTCCTAAGTTTCTCAAACCTGGAATGATTCTCATAAATGGCTTCTCTATCCTGTCCAATGCATCTTGATCTTTCCTATAATGTGGCATGGTCGCTCAGTGGTTAGCACTGCTGCCTCACAGCGCCAGGGAATCCGGGTTCGATTCCACCCTTGGGTGACTGTCTGTGTGGAGTTTGCACATTCTCCCCTTGTCTGCGTGGGTTTCCATCGGGTGCTCCGGTTTCCTTCCACAGTCCAAAGATGTGCAGGCTATGCTAAATTGCCCATAATGCTCAGGGAAGTGTAGATTAGGTGCGTTACAGGGGTTGGGTCTGGGTGAGATACTCTGAGGGTCAGTGTGGACTTGTTGGGCCAAAGGGCCTGTTTCCACACTGTAGGGATTCTATGAACTGTACACAATACCTATTATCTAATCTAGGCAAAGCCTGTATGACTGAGGACAGTAGAACCAATTCAGAATAGTGGACATTAATTTCCAGGGAATGATGCTGAAAACAGCTGAGAAAGAAAGTGACCTAGGAGTAACTGTGTCTACCACTCAACAATCAGAAGCAATACAAAGAAGCCAAAGCCAAAGTAAACAGAGTGGTGTGCTGTATTATTAGAACCATGCTTTGCAAACTTAAGGCAACTATTATGTCATTGTAGAGCCTAGTTCGATTACATCTAGGTTTCTCAAAGATGGGTGATTCCAGTGGCCTCAGAAAGATTTAAAGGAGACTGTCCAGAATCCTTTATAGATTAAAGAGTCACTCAGGTAAGCTTATAGAACTGGGATGGTTTAGAGCAGACAGAGTTAGTGATCTGGGAAGTACATAAAATAAAGGACTAGAGTGATTGACTATTGATATGTTATTTCAGTTTGAGATTATTTGTTTGACAGATTGGGAAGGAAAGGGAACATTGTTTTAACGCGGTCAAGAATATGAATAGGTTAAATGTTGGTGGTTCTTTTTTCTGACATCCATCTGTAGTGTTTGCTGACTCTGTCTAAAGCATAAAAACCACAATTTATCAGCCCCTTTCAGTCCTGAAGAAGTGTTAATTGGACTCGAAAATTAACTCTGTTTCTCTGTTCATACATGCTGCCAGACCTGCTGAGTTTCTCCAGTACTTGGTTTTTATCTCAGATTTCCAGCATCAGTGTATTTTGCTTCCATCTTCAAAATCTAGTCCTGACAAAAGGCTAAATACTTGAGAATTATCATTCTTCCCTGGGGCAGCAGTGTCACTGATTTTGTTAGAGTAGAAGAGAGTGGAACAGATTGTCAGGGTATCCACAGCAAAAGACAAAGGGAGCAAATAGGTGTTGACAATGTATGAGAAAAAGAGAAAATGAATCTGTTCTGCTGAAAGCAAAGTCAACCGCAATTATTTACAATTTATATAGACGATTTGGAGTTGGGGACCACGTGTAGGGTGTCAAAGTTTGCAGATGACACTAAGATGAGTGGCAGAGCAAAGTGTGCAGAGGACTGTGAAACTTTGCAGAGGAACATAGATACATTGAGTGAGTGGGCAAAGGTCTGGCAGATGGAATACAATGTAAATAAATGTGAAGTCATACATTTTGGTAGGAGTAATAGTAAAAAGGATTATTACTTGAATGGTAAAAAGTTGCAGCATGCTGCTATGCAGAGGGACCTGGGTGTCCTTGTGCATGAATCACAGAAGGTAGGTCTGCAGGTACAACAAGTAATTAGGAAGGCAAATGGAATTTTGTCCTTCATTGCTAAAGGGATTGAAATTAAAAGCAGAGAGGTTATGTTGCAGCTGTACAAGGTGCTGGTGAGGCCACACCTGGAGTAGTGTGTGCAGTTTTGGTCTCCATACTTGAGAAAGTATTGGCACTGGAGGGAGTGCAAAGGAGGTTCACTAGGTTGATTCCGGAGTTGAGGGAGTTGGCTTATGAGGAGAGATTGAGTAGATTGGGATTATATTCATTGGAATTCAGAAGATTGAGGGGGGATCTTATAGAAACATATAAAATTATGAAGGGAATAGATAAGATAGAAGTAGAGAGGATGTTTCCACTGGCAGGTGAAGCCAGGACAAGAGGGCATAGCCTCAAGATTAGAGGGAGCAGATTTAGGACTGAATTGAGAAGGAATTTCTTCACCCAGAGGGTTGTTAATCTATGGAATTCCTTGCCCAGTGAAGTAGTTGACGCTACTTCAGTAAATGTTTTTAAAGAAAAAGTAGATTTTTTTTGAACAATAAAGGAATTAAGGGTTACGGTGAGAATGCGGGTAAGTGGATCTGAGTCCATGAAAAGATCAGCCATGATCTTATTGAATGGCGGAGCAGGCTCGAAGGGCCAGACAGCCTACTCCTGCTCCTAGTTCTTATGTAATAAGACATTAACTAGAGATAGCAAAAACTGCAGATGCTGGAGTTAGACGTAACACAGTGTGGAGCTGGAGGAACACAGCAGGCCAAGCAGCATCAGAGGAGCAGGAAAGTTGACGTTTCTGGTCAGGACCCTTCTTAAGAAATGGGGAGGGGGAAGGGAGCTCAAAAACAAATAGAGGGAGAAGGGGTGAGGCTGGGGAGAGGTTGGTGGGATGGTGGTAGGTGAGTGCAGGAGTGCTGGGGATGGGGAAATTTTAAAACTGGTGAAATCCAGGTTTAGGCCGTCGGGCTGTAGGCTCCCAAGGCGGAATATGAGGCGCTGCTCCTCCAGTTTGCGGGTGGCATCATTGTGACACTGAAGGAGGCCCAGGATGGACAGGTCACCCAGGGAGTGGGAGGGTGAGTTAAAATGTTTGGCGAACGGAAGGTGTTTGCTGTGTCCAGAGTGCAGATGCTCTACAAAATGGTCCCCAAGTCTATGCTTGGCCTCATCAACATAGAGGAGGCCACATCGGGAGCAGTGGATGCAGTAGACCAAGTTGATGGATGTGCAGGTGAACCCCTATCTAATATGGAAGGTTTGTTTTGTGCCTTGGATGGAGGTGAGGTGGGAGGTACAGGGGCAGGTGTAGCACTTCCTATGGTTGCAGGAAAGGTGCCAGGGGTGGTGGGCTTAGTGGGGAGTGTGGATCGGACGAAGGAGTCGTGGAGAGAGCAGTCCCTATGAAAGGCAGATAGGGGTGGGGTCGGATTGTAGGTGTTGGAAGTGGCGGAGAATAATACGTTGGATGCGGAGGTTGGTGGGGTGATGTGAGGACAAAGGAGATTCTGTCTTTATTTTTGTTAGGGGGAGGAGATGTGAGGGCAGAGGTGAGGAAAATGCAAGAGATGCAGTTGAGGGCATTTTCGATCACTGGATGGGGGAGATTAAGGTCCTTGAAATAGAAGGACAACTGGCATGTGTTGGGAGTGGACACCCCATCTTGGGAGCAGATGCAGCGGAGGCAGAGGAATTGGGAGTAGGGGATTGCATTCTTGCAGGAAGGTGGGTGAGAGGAGGTGCAGTTTAGGTAGCTGTGGGAGGTGGTAGGCTTGAAGTAGATGCCAGTTTTGAGGTGGTCACCAGAGATGGAGACAGAGAGGTTCAGGAAGGAGAAGGAGGTATCAGTGATGGTTCAGGTGAATTTGACGTTGGGGTGGAAGGTGTTAGTAAAGTTGGTGAACATAACTAAACATAGGGTTGTTGGGGGATGGTCGCAAGAAGAGCAATGCAAAAAAAAATGAAGGACAGAGGTCATGCTCAAGATTAGCATTTATGATGGTTGGGATCTCAGGAGACCATGGTGGATCACAGACTCCATACTTTTAGTTGAAGATGGTGGCAACTTCTGCAGCTTCGTCTTTTGAATTTCTGTGCTGGGCTTCAGCATCATTGTGCATGGGAATATTTGTGGAGCCTCCTTCCTCTTCCTAATCTCAGTTATTTTATTAAATATTTTCGCATGACTGTGTATAGTAGGATAACAGAGGTTTGATCAGATCAATTGGTTCTAGGTTAAATGTAAATGCCTGTATTGACTGGTTAGGTTGAATGAACTGCTTCTCTGCCTCCTATCCTTTATCCAATAAAGGAATCTGATGTACCCCATTTCATTATGGGCCTAGAGACTATACTTGACTTAATTGTTACTTGTACTTATTAGCCGTGTTTCTCTCAGCCATAACGCAGACTGACAAATATTTCACATCCACCTTAATGCTTTATAAAGAAAAGAACAAGATTTTGTCTTTTTCAGTTACTTACCTTTACGCTTCAACTGCTAAAAGTTTCTTCTTGGCTAAAGGTATAGATATGACTTTATTTCAGCAAAACTATTTATATGTTTTGAAACAAAAACTCTGTCCACTACTGCATAAAGTATTACCTTCTTTTCAAATTCTTATCTTACATAGGCTATTCTAGCTGGTAGGGAAAAATGTTTGTTTCGCAAAGATGCTATGTGCTTAGTCAAAAGATTCTATGTGATTGTAGTGTAGAAAGATTTTTGGGACAGTTTTTACCTTACTTCTTTGCTCATTCCTCAAAATTGAGACCTACAACAATATGCATTGTCCATCAGTCCTAGCATAAGAAAATAATGACAATTAAAAGATATTTGCGATAATGGGAAGGAACAATTCTTCTGCTTCGGTCTGGATTTCTAGGTGATGACAAACGTGCCCTGCTCCTTCAGTACTTTCCAAGCCAATCGCTATGGCATAAAGCACAATTTCCAACTCAGTCGCCAGCCCTGCCGCCACCTGCAGGAAATAGAGATTTGAACTGGTAGGAATCAGTTAGGTCTTTGTACAATTTATCTCATTACAGGCCTACTTTGTTAAGAACGAAATGAAATATTATGGAGTGAGACAGACTGTCAGCTTGATTTTGCAGCCCTTCGCTTTTGAATGAAGGCAATAAAATGTCAGGTGACTATGGATTAGCCTTCTGCCTTCCTGCTCACCCATTCCCACAATCTGGTTCCTTTTAAATGACAGGGGTGGGCAAGGCAACCATTAGGTCTCTGCTCTAAGGTCCATTGAAGCCAAAGTTTGCCCACTTAAGGCTCCCAATCTGTCTTCACTGCCATAACACATTGGGCAGTGGAAGGTGCGCAAGAATTTTTTAAAAAATACGTCTGTTTAAAAAGGAGGGAAGGAATGGGGTTATGTCTTCAGGGATGCCCTGTATACTTTCATCCAAGATCTTTCCCCCACTCCTTACCCCATCCCTCACCCTTCTAGTCAGCAAAACCCAAAATCCCACCACCCTCACCCTTCTTTCTCGGGTGCCCAATACCTCCTTGTCTGAAAAGCCCAGGACACTGTGCTCTCCTTCGCTACTCTTTGTGGAGGGAATTGTAATTCCAGCAGTTCCTATAACCAAGTTCTGGCACTGTTGGGATTGCTGCACCTGCCAGTCAATCTGATTGGTTGATAGCTCGAGGGTTGGACTTTTTCCTACTAAAGGCAGAAGTTTGACCATCACCACATTAAGGCCACCCAGTGGGTGTTATTCCTGCAGGGCAGCCTTGTTTAATGTGTGTCTGTTCAAATCCAACTTTTCTTCCGGAGGACGTATAACAAGTTAACAAGACTAGAACAAAACTGTCTATCAGTCAAGAAGCTGAAAGTAAAGGATGTGAGCTTAAAGAGGAAGTTATAGGAATTTATAAGGACAAACAAAAATGACAGGACTATTGAAGGTGAGTTGATATTTTTGAAAGGATACAAATGGAAATTAAACAAATTGTAAGGAGAGGATAGAAAATACTTTGAACAACTACATCTCAGTTTTTGTAAGGAATGGCACAAACAACGTGCTTTATTCAAACAGAGATAACCTAAGCAATATTAACCATTTGTATCTAATCGGAATGCAGGATAAAATATCTCAATATAATTTCCTCAAGATAATTATTCATCTCAAATGCTGAATGACACTGGGATGGAGGAGCTTGTGATGAACTGCAGTTAAGCAAGAGGAAGATAGTTTATCTGCGAAATAATGATAAAGAACCTGCAAATATGGAGGATATTGAAGTTGAAAAGCCAAATTATGAATGGATTGATTCAAAGTCCGTTAAATTTCATAAATGAATAATAATGAGAAATCTCTTTCTACTACCAAGAAAATGGTTTCTCATAAACATATGAAGAACAAAAGACATTGCAAGAAAAACAATTGTAATTTCCTATTAGTTTACAATTCCTGGTTACAAATTCAGCAACAAAATATTGTCAAGAACCAAGAACAAAGAACTGCACAGTACAGGAACAGGGCCTTCAGTCCACCAATACTGCACCGATAACTGATGCCTTTTAAACTAAAAACCTTTTGCCTCTACGTGATCCGTATCCCTCTATTCCCTGCCTATTCATATATCTGTCATACAATAACGTTATTGTATCTTCCTCCACCATTTTCTCTGACAGCACATTCCAGTCATTTACTACCTTCTTTGTAAAAAATGTTCCTCTCACATCTCCTTTGAACTTAACCCTTTTTAAATCTATATCCCATAGTAACTGACATTTATACCCTGGGAAAAAGACTTCCCATCTATCCATGCCTCTCATAATTTTGTAAACTTCCATCACATCATCCCTCATCCCTCGTCCTTCGACATTCAAGTGAAAAGAAACCAATCTTTTCCAATCTCTCCTCATTGCCAATACCTTCCAAACTAGGCAGCATCCTGCTATACTGTTTCTGTACCCTCTCCAAAGCCTCCACATCCTTCTGGTAGTGTGGCAACCAGAATTGTACACAATATTCCAACTGTGGTCTAACTAAACTTCTATACAGCTGCAATATAACTTCCAATTTTTATACGCTATGCCCCAATTGATGAAAGCAAGCATGCCATATGTCTTCTTGACCACCTTATCCACTTGTTTTGCCACTTTCAGGAAAGTGTGGATCTATACACCTAGATCCCTCTGTATGTTGATGCCACTTAGGGTTCTGCCATTTACTGTATACATCCCTCTTGCTTTAGAGTTCCCAAAATGAATCCCTTTGCGTTTGCCTGATTTAAACTCCATCTGTCACTTCTCTGCCCAAGTCTCCAGCCTATCTATATCCTGATGTATCCTCGGGCAATCCTCCTCAATCTTCGTGTCCTTCACAAACTTATTAATCAGGCAACCTACATTCTCCTCCAAATCATTCATACATATATTACAAACAACAGGGGTCCCAGTTTTGATTCTTATGGAACACCACTGGTCACAGATCTCCAGTCTGAAAAACATCTTTCCACTGCTACTCTATGACCAAGCCAATTTTGTATCTATCACCAGATATCGCTGGGAAAACTCAGCAAGTCTGGCAGCATCTGTTCTATAAAGGTTCTGTTCTTCAGAATAGGCTCTGAAGAAGTGTCACTGGACCTGAAATGTTAATTCTGCTTTCTTTCCACAGATATTGCCAAACCTGCTGAGCTTTTCCAGCAATTTCTGATTTTGTTTCTGATTTCCAGCATCTGCAGTTCTTTATTTTGTTTTGTTTTTAGTATCCAACCAACAGCTCACCACGGATCCGATATGACTTACGTTTTGTGTCAGTCTGTCTTGAGGGACCATGTCAAAGGCCTTGCTAAAGTTCATACAGACATCTAGTGCCCTGCCCTCATCACTTACCTGTGTCAATTCCCCAAAAAAACTCAATTAAGTTTGTCAACATAGAGGGATTTGCGGAACATGGGACTAGTGTGTGGATTGCATAAGATGAGATAATTGTTAAAATATGCAATATGTTGTAACTTGTTGCATTTCATATGGTAGGAATGAAAATCTGATCACTATAGAGATGTGCTTTCATTTTTTTCTCTTCGTAGGTGTTGCAAATATGTAATTTTATGATTCTTATGTTTTACAAATAAATGTTTAGCTCAGGAAGTGTAAGATAAATTGAAGCTCCTACTTTGAAAAATTGGTAAACAGATCTTGAGCAATTGCGATTGAAAGACTGGCTTATTTTATTTAATAAGGTCAGAATTTGAGTGAAAAAAACAATAAACAATGGGTGACTCTTCTTTGAATATTTTGGTGGAGATGGGTGTGCACAGCTGTCTCCATAAGGGGTTTAAGGAGATTTGGAGGGTTGCAATGATAGGTACTAATGGAAGGACTGAAAGAAATCACATCCCTGAGAGAGAACACTGAGAGAATTACAGTGCATTCCCAAGAGCGATGTCCTGCAAAAAGGGAACGAACTCTCAGGATTGTGTGAGACATAGGCAAACTCTTAGGAATTAAAAGTAGAACAAGGAGTGTGCTATCAAGATATTCAGCTGTAAAGTACTAGTGCTAATGTAATGTAGTGTTACTTGCTTCAGCTTTCATACAGTAAATGGTGTCATTCTTCCAGTGAATAACTAGAAAATTGAAATTATTTTAAAAAGTTATTGGTCTTCATGGAGGTGATAATGCTAGTAACACTGCAGAAGCAACTCATCTCACCATCCATATTGTAGCATTTCAAGAGCTCACTACCATCTTCACAGTAGCACCTACAGATTGGCAAAGATGGCATTTAATGTAATAAACTAAATTAAAACAAAATAAAGAACTGTGAATTAGAAATAAAAACAGAAATTGCTGGCGAAACTCAGCAGGTCTGGCAGCATCAATGGGAAGAAAGCAGGGTTAATGTTTTGAGTCTGGTGACTCTTCATTAGAACTGGCAGTTATTATCTATGTTGCCTATATCCTGAGAAGTCAAGTATAATACAACCCAAATTGTACTGTTATTAAGTTAGATAACACATGGTGTGCTCTGCTCAATTCTGATTACTGAGCTCCAAAGAAGATACTATATTCAAAAATTGGAAGCACTGAAGAGAGGAGACAAAAAACTTAGTGCTTTAGTCAGAGTAACAAAAACAATCTAGATGAATGGAATATACAGGGTTGATGTGAAGAAAACTAAATCTAGGTAGTTATAAAAACAGATAGTTATAAAAAATCCAATAGGTAAATAAGCAGAAACATTTGGACTTGGTACTTATAAAGTTGAAGTGATTGAGGTAAATAGTTTAGACCCTTTCAAAAGGAAATTCAAGAAGTAAATGGGAAATAATGGAATAGAGTTATGCTAAAAAGTGAGATTAGGTAAATGGAATAGAGGAAATTCACATGGAGGATAAAAACTAGCACAGATAAGGTGGATCTGTTTAGTTGCTATACATTCTCCTTATTATTATATAATTGATGGAACAGGTTATATCTGTGGAACAGTTTACTTTAAAATAATTAAGATTAAATTCAAATAGTAGAGTAGAAGGACAGGTTCAAACTAGAAAGTGACACATTAATGACTGATATCAATAAGCTTTTCTTCATATGTAATTACTGTATGGACATGGGTTTTATGGTTTTCAAAAACAGAGTTGCAGACTTGAAATCCCAGAAACAATCAAGAAGTAACTGGATACTGCAAACGGAGGTAGGGAAGGAGGATATAGTGATTTTTCATCCATCATCATCTTCTGAACCAAGCAGCTGCATTTAAATGATTCCAGCTGATATTCAGAATTATTTGACCTACTGACTGTTTTAAAAAGAGATGGTAAGCAATTATTACTATACCGAGACATTTTTGAGATAAAGTGAATACTTACAGGTCCCGGTTTAAAACACACTCTGAGTCCAGTGCTGGGTGGAGGCTGCTTCACTCGAAATCTAGACAAAAATGATAATTCCTTTTGAAGATAAATACTGCACCAAGTAGGTTACTCCATTTTATATCAAGACTCTGAGGTATTTCCAATACATTTTGTAGAATTGTAATCATTCTTAAAGGAGTGGAGCAAATAATTCTAGCAAAAAGGAAGAATACACAGATTTTGAAGTTTATATTTGGTTCATTGTCCCCCTAACCACTCTTCTAAATAGATCTTCACCCTTATCAATTGTTTAGTACTTAGTTTATCATTATTATTATTTGGTGACCTTGCTAGACAGACAAGCACGGGGTCAAACTGCAAACCAAAAGATGATGTCCATAACTTGGCCGAGGTATCATGAACAAACTATAATACCGAACCATAAAGGCAGACATTTGATTGAGGAAGTAGGATTTCAGAGAGCAGAATCACAGAATGATTACTGTGTCAGCTCTCTGTAGGAGCAATTCAGCTAGTCTGACCGCCCTGTCTTCCTCCCAGATGCCTGCAAATTCTTTTCTCTTCAGATAATTATTCAATTCAAATTGCTTCTCATTTTCTGAACTCCATGCGCAGTCCCAGTTCTCCTAAGAGTAGAATGTCTCATCTCAGAAATCAAATAATCAGAAGAAGAGCAGAGGGAATTCCAGTGTCTAATACTGAAGCAGCTGAAATCACAACCACCAATAGGGCAGCAATGAAAATGAGAGATGCAAGAATTAGGTTACCAGACATTTAGAAGGGTGTGAGACAAGTGGAGATTACCATGATCAGCTAAGGGAAGGCAGGACATACCCAGGTGATGTTACTGAGGTGAAATAAAATCTTTGTCATGGTGACCATGTATGTTTGGAAGTTCATCTCAGGTTCAAATAAGCTTCAGTTTCCAGAGATAGACATAGAGACAATAGTTACACAGCAAACTTTGTACTGGGACTGAAAACAATGGCTTCAGTCTTCCCAATATTTAATTGAAGGAAATTTCTGCTCAAACAAATTAGAAATAGCAATTAAGCAGTCTGATGATTTAACAAGAGTCGAGGAATTAAGAAATGTGTTGGTGAGATGGAGATAGGTGTCAATGCACAAATATAAAAAGAACAAAGAACAAAGAAAATTACAGTACAGGAACAGGTCCTTCGACCCTCCAAGCCTGCACTGACATGCTGCCCGTCACAACTAAAACCCCCTACCCTTCCTGAGGCCGTATCCCTCTATTCCCATCCTATTCATGTATTTGTCAAGACGCCCTTTAAAAGTCACTATAGTATCTGCTTCCACTACCTCCCCCGACAGTGAGTTCCAGGCACCTACCACCCTCTGTGTAAAAACTTGCCTCGTACATCAATGATGCTATGTTTTTGATGTTGCTAAGATGTAGCTGAGAAACAGGAGACACCAAGGATTGATCCTTGAGACTACCACAGGCAATGGTCTGGGAGTAGGAAGAGAAGCCATTGCAGGTTCTACTCTGGTTTCAATTTCCTAAGAAAAGGACGAGGCGAGTTTGGTTCCAATCACCTGGACGATGGTGCGGAGATGTTAGATGAGAAGTGTGGAATCAGCTGTACCAAACAAAGGCTGTAGATAGGTCGAGAGCAAAGGAAAGGACAGTTTGAATTTGTCACTGTCATATTGAATTTTGTGACTTTGTTAAGAACTCGCTCAGTACTAATATTTCTGATTGAAGGCATTCAAGTATGGAACCTTGAGAAAGCTGACTTGGATTTGGGTGGCAACTAAATAGTCAACAGCTTTGGAGGAAAGGGAGATGGAAAAGATTGGTGAGGTTATGGTTATTTGTTTGAGAAGGGGAATGGGGTCAAATTTTGAAAGGGAGAGATACAATGCCTGAAAAGAAAGAACAGTGGACAATATTAGCTTATTTGGGAGGAAGGGACGGAAATCACATGATCAACAATGTAAGTGGAACTAGACTGAGGAACAGGAGGTAAGACTTACGGGGAAGATGAATGTGAATTACGCATAAAGACAGATAGGAGAGAAACTAGAGAAAGATCCAAGAACAGGGCTGGATAAGATGGAAACTTTAGAGGAAGTAAGACGATTGGATAGCTACTGTAATCAGTTACCAAATGAGTTACTTCAATAGAAATGATAATGACACTTTTCCTGAGCTATTTATGAATAGTTAAAAATGGTGGTTTCTCTTTTTTAAGTAATGAAAATATGTCATTGACTAACAGATAAATGAAATCACTGAGTTGGTTACAGACTCATTGATGCGTGAGTAGCCTGAGATAAGACGGTACGTAGAAACACTGGCTCACAGAACTGTCCTTGAAAAGGAATGCAAAGAATGAATCATCATGTACTTTCTTAAAGGTCAGACCCAGGTTATTAGCTCAGATAAGGCTTTCAATAAAGAATTATTACCCAAGGATGACTTGATTTATTCATCTAGATAATGTCAACTGCTCAACATCCTGTAAAGATAGCTCTGAACCAAGGACATTGAAAAGCTATATGTCCAATTGCTATGATGGATTGAGACTTTCAAACAAAACCTTCATAAGATACATGCAATATTCAGACTAAGTCTGACTTGAATGACAGTTATTTGCTGCAGTAACCATCCAACTGTCACTTACAAATTGATCACCCACCCCAAAATGTCAATGTTTCCTCAATTCTGGGATATTACACATCCAAACTTTTCATCCCTCCAAGTTGGTGGCTATATCTTAGCTGCCTAGGCTCTAAATAGCGGAATTTTGTTCCTAAACCTATTCACAATAGTACTGCTCTTCTAAGCTGGTCCTTAAATTGTACCTCATTGAGCAGGTTTTGGTCAACTGTCCTATTACAATCCTACAAAGAAATGTAGTAGATCTTTACCCACAACAATAGATTTTTTAAAAATGTATTTGTCCATGGAATGTAAGTGTTGCTGGCTAGGCCAGTATTTACTGCCCATCCCCAACTGTCCTTGAGAAGGTGATACTGAACTGTCTTCTTGAATTCCTGAAGTCCATGTGGTGTGGGAAAGAAGTTCAAGAATTTTGAGCTAGGGACAGTGAAGTGCCAAACCAGAATGAGGTGAGGCTTGGAGTGGAACTTGCAGCTGGTGGCAGACTCGTGCATCTATTACCCCAGTCTTTCAAGTTGGTTCAGGTTATGGGTTTGAAAGATTCTGTTTGAAAAATGGAGCATTGGTGAGTTTCTGAAGTGCATCCGGCAGGCTGTACACATGCCAATAACAGTGTGCTGGGGGCAGAGGAAATTAATGCTTAAGATCGTGGAGGGGGTTCAAGAGGACTGCTTTGTTCGGTTGAACATCTTGAGTGCCGTTGGAGCTGAACTCATTCAAGCAAGTGGAGACTGTTCCATCACACTCCTAACGTTTGCTTTGTAGGTGGCAGACAGCATTTGAGTTACTTAACACAGAATTTCCACGCACTGACCTGTTTGTGCAGTCACAATAATTAATATGGCTGGTTCAGTTTAGTTTTGGTGAATGGTATTAATAAATAGGCTATTAATAATGGGGGATATATTGATGAGGATGTTATTGAATTTCAACAGGTAGTAGTCAGAATTACTTTTGTTGGACATAGTCATTACCTCGCACTTGCGTGGCACAAATTTTACCTGCTATTTATCACCTTAAGCCTGAATATTGTCCAGGTCTTGCTGCTTTTGGACATGGACTACTTTGGTATCTGAGGAGTTGCAAATGGTATTGGACATTGATAATTGCAGAATGAATATCTCAGTTCTGCCATTATGATGGAGGAAATGTGATTAATAAAACAACTGAAGAACCCTTGCGGTGGTGTCTGGGGATTGAGATAATTGTCTTCCAACCATGACAATCATCTACCTTAGTGCTAGATGTAACTCCAATCAGTGGAGAATATTCTGTCAGATTCCCAGTGACTTCTGATTTACTATGGCTCCTTGATACAAATCTCTGTCAAATGCTGCCTTGATGTCAAGGGTTCAAGGGCAATCACTTCTCTGGAATTCAGCTCTTTTGACCATGTTTGGACCAAGAATGTAAAGAGGTCAGGAGCTGAGTGGCCCTGGTGGAACCAAGCGAAGAAATTCCTTCTCATTTCTGTCTTAAAGGGGCAAACCCATTCTCTGATAGTCTAGACTGTCTCAGAAGCAAAAACAATTTCTCTTCATCTATGCTGTCAAGCCCCTTAAGAATCTTGTAAATTCCAATATGGTCTCCTGTCATTCTTCTAAACTTCAATGAGCATAAGCTCAACATGCTCAATTTCTCCTCCTATGACAATCCCTTCACATTTGGAATCAACTTCATGAACATTCTCCAAATCCAAGCTTCAAGGAAGTGAGCTTATCACTTTAAGATCATTATCACTTTAAGAAGACACAGTCAGCAATTGAAAGATGATTACTGGCAGAGAGAGAGACAGAAAGAGACAGTAACATTTGGGGAAGCAGAAAAAAAGGCAAGCTCAGAAATTGAAACACAGATATTGGGGAGATTTATAGTGGCACAGCTAAAGAGATTTTAAAACATTGTGTGAAGGAAAGTGCTTGATATCTTTGACCATGAAAGACAGGACAAACAACATTTTATCTGGAAGTAGCAGAAAAACTTCATTTCAGTTATAGAAGGTGAGAAAACTCTGAAAGAGGTGAGTAGCCAACATTTTGACAGTTAAGGAGGGTGGGGAGGCAGTACACAAATAAACATTTAAAAATCTTGACAACAGTAACTTACTACAGAACAGCTGGTAATACAATTTGCAGAACTGAAGACCTGAATACAATATTACACAAAAAACAGGGTTAAAGTGACTGGGAAATAAAGGAATTACTGCAATTATGCTTTGAACCAGAGTTTAATGAGCTCTATACGCTGTTCAATTTAAAACTGCATTGGTGAATATAAGCTTAAAGAATAGCAGATTTAAAGCAATATTGAAATGATACAGATTTAAAACAATTTTATAGCAATAATATTTATTAGCTAATTGAGAAGAAATAAAAAAAATATAAAGCTGCCTAGCTGATACAAGGTCAGAGAAGGACCATGCAGGAAACAAGAGTGGACTACATAGAAGTGATAGTACCTAAGATACAGTAATGGCTCAAAATTAAACTCTAAACTCTAAGACTGAAGCTGAGCAACGTTATAAACTATAATACTCAGTGGGTCTGATTGTGAACGATATTAATAGATAAAATATTAACAGATATTAACAAATGGGAGGCATGGTGGCTCAGTAGTTAGCATTGCTGTATCATAGTGCTAGGGTCCCCACTTTGATTCCAGCCTTGGGTGATTGTCTGCGTGGAGTTCGCACATTTTCCTAGTGTCTGCATGAATTTATGCCAGGTGCTCTGGTTTCCTCCCACAGTCAAAAGATATGCTGGTTAGATGGATTTACCATACTGAATTGTCCATAGTGACCATGGTTGTGTAGGCTAGGTGGATTAGCTATGGTAATGCAGGGTTATGGGGATAGGTTAGGGGCTGGATCTGGGTGGGATGCTCTTTGGAGGACTGGTGTAGACTCAATGGGCTGAATGGCCTCTTTCCACACTGTCGGAATTCTATGATTCTAAACAGGTTAAAAAGTAAGCAAAATGAAGGGTTTTTTTTGTCATTCGAGTTTGACAAGTGTACATAAGATACAGAATAAAATACCTGCAAGTGTCTATTCCAACGTTCTTCAGCTTGACGGTGTACGCATAGGTAAAACCCTCTTGAAGGACACCAAAGTTCATCTTTCTTGGAAACAGTTCAAAGCCTCGAGTTGGTTTTGCTAATATACCACCTGCTATGGGAGCAGCAATTGATACTGTATTGACTTTTCTTCTGACTGGTTCTTCAATAACAGTAAACTGTGAGAAATAAATGTAGAATTTTTAGGAGCATTTAATACTAATGCTGTGCAGAAATGGTCACTTAGGTTGACATTGTCAAATGACTTAATAGAAGACATACTTCCTTGATCTCAATTTTAATGTGCTCTACTAAACAGACAACGATGGTACCCGCATGAAACCAATGGGGTCTGTCTTTAAATATGAAAAGTTGGATTTTTGTTGGTGCTGAACTGCAATTTTAACTGTGTCCAGAGGGGAAGTCATTGTATGGAAACCTGGTGAAGACATTGGGAAGATGTTCCATAGCCAAAACAAGCCAGTTAATCTAAGATTCTTGTCTTGAAGGGTCTAGGAAGAGTAGGAATCCTCCAAACACCCACAGGAATGTGTAGACCTCCCTATTCCTGGTACCTAGTCTTTCCTTTCACAGAGATTCTCCCAAACGTCTTCACTCACAGCTGGAGTACCTCGCAGCCATTCAATTTGAAAATTATACACATTGCAGGATGTGAGAACAAAATTGACAATGTGTTATCGTGACTGATGAAGGAAGATGGAGATTTTCAGTGGCGGGTGTAAGTGGACTGAAATAGAATGTAGTAGTGAATGTTTGCATGCTTAGAGTCAATGTAATGTATAAGTATTCTAATGTACTAATAGAGTAAGACTAAGGGTTTTAAAATGAAGCCATCTTTGTACATTGATGCCTCATTTTTTTAAGAGGAGGGTTTGTGATGATGCTGTCACTTTAAAAAAGTTATTTTGTCCTGGGTTTTTTTTGAAGAGAGGTTGTAAAGGCAGAGGTACAAAATTGGCTACTTAAAACGACTTAAGTAAATACCTTAGAAGGCCTTTAGGTTTTTTCTTTAGAACCTGTTAGATATCCTATATAAATCTAGTCCCATTTGCCAGCATTTGGCCCATATCCTGGCAAATGGGACTAGATTTATGTAGGATATCTGTTGGCATGGATGAGTTGGACTGAAGGGTCTGTTTCCATGCTGTGCAGCTGTATGAAAAGAAGTTGAAACAGTGGAAGGGGAGTGGCCAGCTCCGACAGACCAGGCTTTCTAGTTTTTTTTTAGCTGTAGCAGTCAGAAGCTGTTTGGGATCCCAGAAGCGTTGGAAACTTCAGTAAATGATTCTTAGCTGCTACTTTCTCTGAAATCTCTCTTGATGTTGTTTCTTCTTGGATTGGAGAACTGCCTGTAAGAAACTGTGTCTGAATTTACCTTTTTTCCAAGGGATATGTTTATTTGATGTTACCATATTTGAACATTTAATTTGTAAAAGGTACTGTATCTAATATTTGGTTAAGTTTTCCAATAGTTAAGTTATTCTAAATTCCTGTTTCTTTTGTTTGTGTTTTAACTACAGTGTTTAAATAAATTAGGTTTTGCTTAACATCGAGTAATTTGACCAGTCATATCGCATCTGGAACACGCACTTCACCTCTACCTTTAAAATAAGAAAATGTTAGGGTCTAGGCTACCTTCTTAAAATATTTTGAGGGGGGTTTCTGGTCTGGGCCATAACACACTTTATCCACAGAAGATAATATCTCTTCAAAGAGCTACAGTAAACTGGTTAAACATGATTTCCCTTCCACAAAACCACAGTGACTCCATAAGATATAGCAGAATTAGACCATTCAGCCCATTCAGTCTGCTTTACTATTCGATCATGGCTGATACGTTTCTTAAACCCATTCTCCTGCCTTCTCCCAGTAACCCCTGACTAATCAAGAACTTATCTATCTCTGTCTTAAATACACACAATCACTTGGCCTCCAGACTGAGACCCAGTAACCTCAACTGCTCCTCATATGATAAACCCTTCATCCCCAGGATCATTCTTGCAAATCTCCTCTGGACCCCCTCCAATGCCAGCACATCTTTCCTTAGATATGGGGCCCAAAACTGCTCACAATATTCCAAACACGGTCCAGCCAGAGTCTTATACAGCCTCAGCAGTACAGTTCTGCTCTTGTGTTCTAGACCACTTGAAATGACTGCTCACATTGCATTTGCCTTCCTAACTGCCAACTGAATGCTTACCTTATGAGATTCCTGAATTAGGGCCCCTAAGTCCCTTTGTGCTTCAGATTTCTGAAGCCTTTTCCCATTTAGAAAATAGTCTACGCCTCTATTCTTCCTCCCAGAGTACAGAATCTCACATTTTCCCATACAGTACTGTATTCCATCTGCCACTTCTTTGCCAGTCTCCTTACCAGTCCAAGTCCTTCTGCAGTCTCCTCACTTCCTCAGAACTACCTGTCCCTCCATCTAGCTTTATGTCATCTGAAAACTTAGCAACAGTGCCCTCAGTTCCTTCGTCAAGACCATTGATGTATAACATGAATAGTTATGGTCCCAATACTGACCCCTGCGGAACTCCACTAGTCACTAGATGCTACCTTTAAAAAGACCCCTCTATCTCCTGCCTTTTGCGAGTAGGCCAATCCTTTATCCATGCTGGTAACCTTCCCATAACACCATGCGCTCTTATTTAGCAGCATCCTGTGCAGCACCTTGTCAAAGGCTGTCTGAAATCCAAATAGATCATGTCTACCTGGCTCTCCTTTGTCTAATTTGCTCATTACCTCCTCAAAGAACTCTAACAGATTTGTCAGGCATGAACTCCTCTTAACAAAGCCTTGCTGACTAAGCCTATTTTATCATGCACTTCTAAGTACTCTGCAAGCTCATCGTTAATCATCCTCAGCTTGACTACCATGAAATTTTCCAAATGCTGTACCAACTTTAATAATAGCTTCTGACATCTTCCGTATGATAGATGGTAAATCAACTGACTTGTAGTTTCCTGCTTTCTGGCTTCCTTTTTGAATAAGGAGTTACATTTGCTATTTTCAAATCTAATGGAACTTCCCTGAATCTAGAGAATTTTGCAAAATTAAAACCAATGGATCAGAAATCTCACTAACAATTTCTTTTAAAACACTAGGAAGAAGTCAATTAGGACTCTGGAATTTTTCAGCTCACATTACTTAGCAAATTGTTGGAATTATTTCACTGGTGAGTATAATTTTCTTAAATTTCTCCCTTTTACTTCATCATTTGTAACTATGTCTGGGAGATTCCTTGTATATGCTGTAGGAAAGATGGATGCAAAATACTTGTTCAATTCATCTGCCCCCTTTTTATTTTTCATTAACTATTCCCAGGCTCACCCTTCTATAGGTCCATTACTCACTTTATTAACTCTTGCTTTTTAAGCATCTATTAAAAACTCTTACTTTCTGTTTTATATTTCCAGATAGTTTCTCTCCTTGTTAATCCTTCATTGTTTTATATATTCTGTCCAATCTTCTGACCTATTAGGCATCGTTGTACAATTATATGCTTTCTCTTTAAGCACTTGGAGTAGTGTTTAGTTTGGTCTCCTTCATTAAGGAACAATGCAGAAGCCATAGAGAAAATGCAACAAGGATCTACCAGATTGATCCCCAGGATAGTGGTATTAGCATAAGAGGACAGATTTGGGAAACTGTCCCTACACCTTCTTGAGTTCAGAAGAATGAGGGGTACTCTCATTGAAACATACAAAATTCATATAGGGTAAGACAAAACCAAGGTAAAATTTTCAGAATAAGAGTGTGGTGAATCTTTGGAACTCTCCACACTAGAGAACTGAGGAGGTTCAGTCAATGAGTATATTCAAGACAGAGGTCAAGAGATTTCTGAGTGTTAAATATATCAAGGTATGTGCTCGTAGTGCAGGACATTGACATTGAGATAGTAAATCAACCATTGTTCGTACGAATGGTGGAGTAGAGTCAAAGGGCAAATGGCCTCCTAATACCTCTATCTCCTGTGTTCTTATGATCCGAAATATCAGAGGCAGTGGAACAGCTGATGGTGAGATACAGCTATGTGTTGCCAGCATATGTTTGGAACTTGGATGATTCCACTGAGGGGCTGCATGCAGAAAATGAGTAGGAAGCAGTCAAAGATATATTCTGGTGGGACTCCAGAGTTAACAGCGTGAGGGCAGGAAGAGAAGCCATTGAAAGTGGCTCCCTAGCATGAATAAATAGGGATGTAACCAACAGCAAGGCTACTGAACTCGACAAAACGAAAGAGAAACATTGGAGGATGTTATAGAGGTGGAGGAAGTAGACAGTCTTTGTGATGGCTAAGGTATGGGGTTGGAAGGTGAGGTCAACCACATGTAAGGCTGGAGATAGATTGAAAAGGATGAGGTGGGATAGCTTGCTATAGTCACATGAGAGATCATTTATGATTTTCACGTAGACTGTTTCAATGTTGTGGAAACCTGATTGAAATGTTTTAAATGGGATGACACATGTACAGATACTGTAAGTCTGAAATATTCAGGTCAGGCAACATCTGTGGAGAGAGGCAGAATTAACATTTTAGGGCAATGATCTTTTATTAGAACGGGGAAAGTTTTTGAAAATAATAGATTTTGAGTAAGGAATGGATGGGAAAAGGGGTAAAAGGAAGTTCAGATGAAAAATCATCAACCTGAAAAATTAACTCTATCTCTGTCTCTCCACAGATATTGCTGCACTAGCTGTCTATTTCCAGAACTTTCTGTTTTTATTACTTAATATGGATGCCAATTTAATTAATACTGACACAAGTATTCAGCATTACCCTTACCCTCTGATTTGGTAGTGAACCTGGCTTTGAGCTTAAAATGGCTGCTGGGAGTTTTATTTTCTCTCTCCTTGGCTGGTTAGCAGCATCAATTATCAGGCTTTTGTTGAACATGATGTTATTTCCATCAGCTGGTAGCTCTTCAGGTCTGTATTCCACCACTTGATTTTCTTATTAAAGTGAAAGTGTACACAACACAATCAGACTAGAACACTAATTAACATTCTTTCTTTTGTGGCAAGAAGAATACTAAAATTAAAACAAATTATATATTGTGTATTTGTAATCAAAACATACCCTTTTTAATATATTTTTATGTATTTGAAGAAATTCATGACAACTCACCAGGTGAAACATTAAAAAAAACCCCTAAAACTGGGTTATGTAGCATTTATAGTTTTGATGCTAATAAAATGGCACGGCTGTGCTAAACACATTTTATGCCAAATTCAATCTTGGCAATGGCATCCATGTGAGTATTAGAACTGGCACACAGACCAGGTTGATTGATTTTCTGAAGAAGGGTCCAGGCCCGAAATGTCAGCTTTCCTGCTCCTCTGATGCAGCTTGGCCTGCTGTGTTCATCCAGCTCTACACCTTGTTATCTTAGATCAGTTGGATGACTTGATATCACCAATGCCATTTTCAGCTTCACCAATTCAGCTAATGCCATGTCAGAACATACACACCTCAAATTTATTGTACAGCTGTAAGAACATATTGCACACCAACACGAGTTAATATGCAACTCCTTTCAGGTAAATTGTTGATTAATTTCTACTGGCTCTGTTTGAGGCTGTGGAAGTGTCTGGTGGTCTGTAAAGTTTGTTAAAGTTGGTTATGACAGGGAGTGATACTGCGTGGTGCATGCGGAGAAGATCTAGATATTAACAAGGAATTAGGTCAGACCAATGGTCTCAGTTATGGTGCTGTAGTTACCATCTTTCTTAGGCTACAGAGAGGGTAGTGGAGCAGAGGCAGCAAAGAAGAGGTTAGGCTGTGAAAAGTGCTCTCAATAAAAGATCTTATCTATCTGGTGTTTTCTGAAAGCATTTTTCTTATCTCCATCTAAGCAGATACAGTTTGCCTTTTGTCTGTGTTTTGTAAAGGATGGACTAAGAGAAATTTGCAACCTCTTGCAATTTAGACTTGCAACCTCAGTGAAGAGAAAGTTCAAATTTTGTTGGTGGCTATAAGAGTAACAGGCCTTAATTTCTTCACATTAGGAGCAAGTGACATTTATAAGTTCTCCCAGTTTGTTGTTCACTGCTGCATAAGAAAGATGATGAACTAGACAAACTATGCTGGAGGGTGCTGCTGAATGTACTCACCCTGGTCAGAGAGGAATTGGCAAAGTGCATATGTAACTTTGCTGTAAATATCAGGCTTCTCCAATGATATCATCAACTACTCGTAAGTAGTTTTGTGGCAGCTATAACGAAATGCTGAATGCACCACATTACAAACATTGCCAATCATTAAATGTGTGGTTGGTGTGCAAATATGCTCAGCATATTTTTCTGGTGCATGCCTGTTAACTTTGCTGCTGTCATGATGATGCATTTATCCCAAGCCACTTTTCTCCATATTTAAGCCATCACATCAAATCAGTGGTTGACTCCTGGGCAACAAGAAATATCTTCTTAACACCTAGCTCTGTCACTTTGTTTCACAAGCCAGTCACATGACCAGCTCTCTTCTCACTCAGTCACCTGCTCTCATTCTTTCTCAGACAATCCCTTGGAATTGAGGATGACCTGCATCTGGTCTAGTTTGATGGGGTCTAAGATGGCTGATAAGCCCAATGAAGAGCGTGTGGTGAATATGGACCTCTTACAACTTGTCTTCCTCTCAATGTGTTTAGTCCCTTATCAAATGGTGCCTTTTACACTTTGGTCACAAGTCAAACAATCCCAGGAGTCAACACGAATGTTGAACCTCTCAATAGATGCTTTGAGGTAATTGCTAAAGCATTTGTCCCAAGAGGATGAGTTCTGAACAGAACCATTGCTTTGGGAGCGTGGTGTCAGGCGTACAAATAACATGTCCCAATCAGTGCAGCTTGTTTTTGATTCAATGATTGGCAAATTGGCCTGGGAAATGATACTGCCGTTTAACTGGTTTTGTTACCAGTGGATTTGGAAGATCTTGCATAGGCACAACTGGTAGCATTTCTCTAGTGCTTTGAGGTGCTGATATGGGTTGTCCAAGTCTCTGAAGCATATGGGATCAAGGAAGTCACTGCTTCCTGGTGATCTATGACTTGAGTTTGGAGTTTGAGATCCTGTTTCGCAAGTACTCTTTAATTTAGTCAGTCTGAAGTTTAACTGGCACATTGCAGAATGGGGTGTGGGGCAGGGGGTTCTGCGGTGGGAGCTGGTTGGAGGGGTACATTTTTCAATATGTTTCAAAGTAGGAGTCCTTCGAAAGGGTCGATAATGACCTGGAGCTCAGGTTGTGTGTGAGCATGAACACGTGTCACTGTCATGCTGAAACAACCATGTGGGACCAGTATGAATTACAAGGAGAGCCATTTAGTCAAACCATCACAGATGAGACCAACTGGGGCTCTGATGTAACGGTTTTGCTGCATGGATCCTTGTGAAGGGGGCCTACAGTACTTACCGACATCTGTGTTCCAATAGTAAGTGAACTATTATAATCTTCACAAACTGCCGTAATGAAGGTACAGCTCTTGTCACCAAGCTGCAGGATGTGAGTTAACTTTTGTAGCAGTACTAAATATGTGAAGCTATGAATCTTAGATGTAGGTTGTGCATTATAGAGAATGTTCAAGGAAACCCAAAGATATTTAAATCTTTTTCATAAAAATGCAAAGAGCAAGAAGATTGAAAAAGGAAAAACTTTTAAAGTCCAAAAGGTTAATGTGTGTGTGGAGGAAAACAATGTAGGTATGATTCTTAATTAATACTTTGTCTCTGTCCTTCTACTTAATTACAATGTCTGAATCATCCCTTTCTTGTAGAAGTGTGCCATGCTGAACTGGATCAACAGGCATAAAGATAATATTTGGGGTCTTAGCATTTATGAATGTGGTAAAATTGCCAAGGACAGATGTAACCTATCTCAAGTTGCTTAGCGAAGCAAGGGAGAAAGTAATGGAGGTTCTGATCATCACTTTTTAAACCCTCTCTGTCTACAGATGTGGCATCAGAAGGATGCTAGAGGAATGCTAATATTATATCATTGTTTAAATAGGGAAGAAGAGGAAATATGGAAGTCAGCCCAATCTTGGTGATATGTGGATTCTGGAAAACATTCCGAGAGGCAGTATAAATCAGTATTTAAAACAATATGGACTAATCAAGGGCAGTCAACACAAGTCTTGTCAGGCTAACCTGATTGTGTTTTTGAAGAGATTACAAAGAAGGCCAAGTGCGGGTAGAGAATTTACAGTTGTCTTTTGACGAAAAGTAAGACCCTAGGGAAACCTAAGGGAAGGTGACAAATTGGATTGAAAATTCACTCAGTGACAGGGAGCAAAGGTGATGGTTAACAGATGTGCTTTTGACTGCCAGGCTGTTTACAATGGGATTCTGCCGGGTTCAGTGCTAGATCCTTCACTATTTTTAGTTTATATTATAAATGTGGGAGGCATGTTAGAGAAATTTCTGGATGATACAAAAACTGCCTATGTGGTTGATAGTAGGAAGAAAGCACTAAATTGCAGGATGAAATCAAAGGAATGGTCAGAGAGTTGGTATATCTGGGGAGAACTAATAAGGACTCGGCATACATGCCGCTTAATGTATAGAGGGGCAGAGAAAAGTACAAACCTATGTCCATAGACACTGAAGGTAGCAGGAACATGAGATAAGGTGGTCAAGAAGGGATACAGAATAGCTCCTTTCATTGGCTGAGGCGCAAAATGTCAGGCCAAAAAAGTTAACGTTAAAAATTTCTAAAAATCTGTTAGACCACCATTAAGAGTAACTTCTCACAATTCTGGTCACATTACAGGGAAGATGCTAAAGGAGAATTTCTTTTTACTAATAAGGTAGTGTTATGAAGTTATGTAGCGTATTCATGAATTGGAAGGCAGGAAGTTAGAATTTGTTGGTAAAAATGATAATGGGGAAAAGCAGTGCATCGTCTCTTTAAAAGATGCTGTTTTTTTCTCTGGTTCGAGATTTTTTAAATAGTACGTCTGTGAGCAGCAGCTGGAGAATGCCAGTACAGAAAGTACCCAAAATTGAAACGTTTATATTGAAAAGTCACACAGGTTTTTTTTTAAACCAAGATAACAGTTTTGAATTTTAGCTAATCAATTTGGACCAGGCCCTGAGATACCAAAAACTAATCGAATTTAAAACTGATTCAGAGATAGTAGGAACTGCTGATGCTGGAGAATCTGAGATAAGAAGGTCAGAAAGAAGGGCCCAGACCTGAAACGTCAGCTTTCCTGCTCCTCTGATGCTGCTTGGCCTGCTGTGTTCATTCAGTTCTACTGATGGTTACCAAAAACTAATCAAATTTAAAACTGATGGTTTAGTACCCTGAAACCAATCATGTTATTAAAATATTGATGTGTCATTAGGGGGTATACAAAGATGAGGGCATTTGGAAAATCAGAGCCCTGTAATCTGAGGGGAGAGCCAGCCCGCCATCTGAAAAATAAGCCCCAAGCTCTCACAAGAAATCATTAAGCTCTGTAAGAAAGCACCGTCTTATTGATAGAAGGTACCACGGCATTTTTAGCTAAGAGACTTCACAGAGAAAACATCCCTGACAGTAGAATCAGCAGAAGAAAGGCATTTGTGGTGTGAGATCAATAGAAGGCAGAGGGTTCCAGAAGACACAGTCTGTGCGAACTTGGAGAGATTAAGTTTTAATTTATTAAAGTTAATTTATTAAGTTTTAATTTATTGTTGTCTTATTAATTGGGTTTATATAAGTGGGACATGTTTATTTGAACATGCATTCCAGTAGAGTTTAGTTCAGTTAGGGTGTAGTTGGTAGTCTAATGGGGAATTGTTAGGTTTGTTAGTATTTCTGTTAATTTGTTCATTATTAGGGTTAAATAAATAAATACTTTCTTGTTATTTAAAAAGTGGATCAGGGATTTTCTCTCTTTTAACCACACTTTTAAGAGATTATGAGTGGAAAGGTGAGCTCTCTGGGTGTTTCAACGGAACCTCTAATTCTGTTATAGCAGATTGATTGGAGCTTGTGTTTTAGTTTAATTATCAGAGGGGTTTGGCCATTCCCCCTGACCCCCGTAACAAGTGGTGAATCTTTGGAATTCTCTACCATGGAAGCTTAGGTGTTTAGTCTATTTAAAGTAGAGGTTAATAAATTCGTATGGGTAATGGGAAATGGGATAGTGTAGATAAAGGGAATTGTGTTGTTTGATCAGCAACGATCATATTAAATAACAAATGGGCTGAATGTTCAATTCTTATGTTTCTATGTGGTTGTACTCAAAGACATTTCAGAGGAGAATTATGAGGATATTGCTAAGAATGGAGAACTTCAGCTTTGAGCAAAGACTGTAACGGCTGAGACTGCTTTTTATGGAACAGTGGAGGCTGAGAAGAGATTTAATCAAGGTGTACCAAATTATGTGGGGGAGTGGAGAGGTGTAGATTTCAAGTAACTAAGTAATTGGCAAAGGAGGAGGAAAACATTTTTCAGCCAGAAGATGGTTTCCTCCCACAGTCCAAAGATGTGCAGGCTAGGTGGTTTGGCCATGCTAAATTGCACATAGTGTTCAGGGATGTGTAGATTAGGTGGGTTATAGGGGGATGGGTTGGTGTGGACTTGTTGGGCTGAAGGGCCTGTTTCCACACTGAAGGGATTCTCTGATGATGATGACGAGAATGTGGAATCTGATAGGGTGGTAGAGACAGAAACTCATTACATTTGAAGAAATACCTAGATAAATACTTATAATGCACAACCTATAAGACTTATGGCCAAGAACTGGAATGTGGGCTAAGGCTGGATAGCTCATTTTTGGTTGGCACAGAAATGATGGGCTGTAAATGCCTAGGTATTTATCAGGGCTGGTGAGGAGTGAAGCTGCCTGTGATTCTAGAGGTTCTTTTGTAAGGTCAGGGCATGTCACTGAACTTTTTGTGAAAAGATCTTCAGAACTAGACTTCTGGAATCAGTCACAATGATTGCCTGCTCCCAATGCTTTCTTCGTAGCTCTCTGGAAGTCCTCCTAGACTTGTGAGGGAAGAGGACATATTTTTCTAACCCATAGTTGTAGCTGATGATCTTTGAGCATACTTGTGGTCTGTAGCACCATTTTCACTCTTTCTCCTACCCCCCGGAACATTTTTTCAAACAATTCTCGTTGTTGTTCAGAATGCCTCTCACCTACAGGAGTAGAAGGTTGGCTTTAAGCAGTGCCAGCTAAGCGGAGCTAGCATCTCATGTATTAGCCCTCTGAAACTTGCAACGACTCTGTAGCAGACATACTAATGGGCTACAAGCTGCCATTATTTAAATTAATAATTACAAGTAAGATGCATGACAAAGAAATTTGCAGATGATACAAAAAACTTGCTGTGTGGTTGTTAGTAAGGAGGAAATATGCAACATACTTTGCATTGGGCTGCAAGCCTTTAGAATTTATATTCACTGCAAAGATGTGCAGGTTATTTGTCAGAAATACATTTAGCTGCACCTGGTTCTCTATAAGGCAAATGCACCTAATAGCATGGCTAACAGGTTGGATAACACTGCAATGAATAATATGACTATATAGCTCCTCCATTTGTCCTCCTTTCTGCTGAAGCTTTTACATTCAAGTGCACTCAATTACTGACATGACTTCCTTTGACGCTGTAAGAGTTCTATAAATTTGTATACTACTTGGTTCAGAATCACTTGTCATGTTTTTTGTTTGCTTGTTGTAATCTGATTTTATTTTACAGTCATTTCTCATTCACCAATTCCTTACTTAGCGACAGTCCTACTTCCATGCTATCAAGAAAAGCTAAATGCTTACTTTCCCTTTCAAGCTGCCAACTACCGAAACAGTATTTATTAAAAATTAGAAAAGAACACTTTTTTAAAAATTTGATAACACCTTATCTTTCTCTAAAATATGAATTTACAAGAGTTTGGTACTGACTTGAGCTAATGTCTTTCAAGACATCTACAGGAATGGAAAGCGGTTTGTGCAAGAAACAACAGTTGTATATCTTCTCAGAAGGTTGCTCATCAGCTCTTTGTACAAGGCAATTTGCTGCAGTTTAAGAAAATAAAAGCATCATGGGTTAAATTACAAACAAAAACAGAAATTGCTGGCGAAACTCAGCAGGTCTGGCAGCATCTGTCGGAGAAAGCAGATTTAACATTGAGTCTGGTGACTCTTCATCAGAATTGTTGCCCAAGTTCATTCGTGTTTTGCATTTTAGTCTGTTGTAATGATCGTGTGAGAGTAAAAGCCCTTGACATCAAGGCCACTTTTGACTGAGAGTGGCATCAGGGAGTCTTAGCAATACTGGAATCAATGGCTATTGGGGGACAAACTCTCTACTGGTTGGAGCTATAATTGACACATAGGAAGATAAATGTCAGTCTTCTCTACACCAGAACATCGCTGCAGGAGTTCCTCAGGGTAGTGTCTTAGGCCCAACAATCTTCAGCTGCTTCATCATAACCTTCCCTCCAATGTAAGGTCAGAAGTGGAGATGCTTGTTGATGATTGCACAATGGTCAGCACCATTCGTGATTCCTCAGATATTGAAGTAGTCCATGTTCAAATGCAACAAGATCTAAAGAGTATCCAGGCTTGAGCTGACAAGTAGCAAGTAAAATTCGCACCACATAAATGCCAGGCAATGACCATCTCCAATAAGAGACAATCTAACTACTGCTCCTTGACATTCAATAATATTATCATCACTAAATTCCCCACTATCAACATCCTGGAGATTACCATTGACCAGAAACTCAACTGAATTCACCACACAAATACAAGTGGCCACAAGAATAATTCAGAATCTCAGAATACTACAGGGAGGAACCCACCTCCTGACACCCCAAAGTCTGTCCACCATCTACAAGGAACAAGTAAGAGGTGTGATGGAATACTCCCACTTGCCTGGATGAGTGCAGCCCCAACAGCACTCAGAAGCTTGACATCATCCAGGCCAAAGCAGCCCGCTTGATTGGCATCGCATCCACTCCCTCCACCACCAATGCTCAGTAGCAGCAGTATGTATGATCCACAAGATGCACTGCAGAAATTCACCAAGGATCCTCAGACAGCACCTTTCAAACCCATGGCCACATACATGTGGAAGGCCAAGGGTAGCAGGTACATGAAAACACCACCACCTGCAAGTTCCCCTCCAAGCCACTCACCATCCTGATTTAGGCTATATCACTGTTCCTTCACTGTCACTGGGTCCAAATCCTGGAATTCTCTCCCTAAGGACATTGTGGCTCTTCCTACAGCACATGGACTGCACTGATTCAAGAAGGCAGCTCACAACTACCTTCTCAAGGGCAAATAGAGAAGGGCAATAAATGCTGGCCAGCCAGTGCCACCCATGTCCCACACAAAAAAAAACAAGGGTCTAGGAGGTGGAGTTGGCATTCGTTTGACTCCTAAAGAAAGGCATTGTTCTGGCACATTAAAAGAAGAGGGGTGACAGAATCAAGGCTTCAGGTATGGTCATCAGCAGCCACCACTCTTGCCCTATGCCCAGATATTCAATCATGCAAGATTAGTGCAAATTGAGGGGGTCCCTCTCCATAACTGACAGCCTGCCCAGACTGGTTAACTATTTGGATAGGGTGACTCTCTCATCCCAGCTGGAGCTGATATAATTGCAGCCCAGGCAGGAATACACCCTTAAATTGTCAGTCATTGTTCATCTAAGGACCTCAACTGACAGTGGGACAGGAATGTAGAACTTGAGCCTTCCCACCTGGGAGCCACTATTGGCAGAGATAGGAGGGTGATGAGATTCTGGCTCAAACATCTTGTCCAATTAAGTTCCTTTCCCTCCTCCGGGCTTTGAAGTTCTGCCCAATGTCAGGAACAAATAAAAGAACAGGCAACTTTATGATGCTTCTGTAAAAACATCCCAAAATATCAACTTACACTAATAATCTAATGAATTAATTCCAGTGTCTTACATGGAGTAGAATGGCATGAAGGTGTCATTGTCTGTGGCTGTTGAACATCAGGTCTCATTGGACAAGTTGTCTTTGCCTCTGTTTCGTGAGGACAGGTCTGATTAAGGAGCCTGTTACAATTATCTGATGAGCAAAATGAAGAAGAAATTTTATTTTCAAAGTTTCCCGGTGCAAACAAAATATTATACAAAATATACAAAATTGCACACTTAGCTAATTTACACCTGTAAATTGAAATCAGCATATCTAGGTCAGACATATTGATGGATATCTCAGGTAGGTCACTGTAGAACAGAATTTGTAGATCAGGTCATCAAGACACATTTGGAGGCCATCAGGTAAAACTCAGGTAATGATGTCAGGCAAGGTGTTTAGCAGCTAGAATTGGCAAACGTAGGTTCAGGATTGGGAGGTTAGAGACTGAGACAGGAAATGAATATAAATCAGAACGGACTAGTGAACTCCCAACACTGGCCTTTAATAAACATGATTTGCTATTTGAAATACAGTAGCATTGGACTTGCTGTGAACAATATCATCAAAGGTTTGTCTATATTTTCTTCTTTTCTTTCCCTTAGTTTCTTGGAACATATAGTGCATATTAAATTCCATAATAACTATGGTAGATTTCCATTTTCCACCTACATAAGATAGTATTTGGAAAGTCAAAATAGTATAAAGAAAAGCAGTGAAGCATTTGTTGAAGAAATGACTGGGATTGATGTAAACACTATTTTGCAGCAGTTTTGTGTTTTCTGGCCAACAGATGAATTAAAAAATAATTTACCTGGAGGGGAATGTTGACACTGAGAGAGCGCTGCCTGTTGGATTGTATTGTCTGAACTTTGGAAGTTGCACGTATCTGTCACTGTTCCATGAAATGGCATTGGATAAGCTGACCTGTTGCTAACATCTGAAAAAATAAATTAAAAATGATGCTTGTGATTGAAGAGAGTCTGTTATCCTAGGTGCCTATTAATTTAAAAAAAGTTCTTTTAAAGAACTTCTGTTTTGCTGATCTTCTATTCAAGCTATTGTTCTTTGTACCCATCTTTCACTAGATAATATTGACAGGCTTGTGAGATTCATGTGCACCCCCAATTTCTTTGTTACCTCTGTTTTATCCTCCTTTTTTGTTAATTTTTCCACAGGAGCACTGCTTGTCCATTGGCTTCAATCATTTGTGCCCTTTGATTGCTATATATTCCTGTTTCAATTATTTATCTGTTTTATCTAAATGTGATCATTATTCTCCAGATTTTGATTTCTCAGATATTGTTTGTGCACTTCTTTAACACAGAATGCTCTCTGTAATTCCTCTAACCTTGTTGAATGTATTTTGCCACCAAAGCTTTGCACTATTTCGGAGGTTTAGGAAACTAAAAGTCCCTATTAGCCCTCCAAACATTTCCATGGCATATTTATCTGAATTCTGATTCGAATATTTCCAATACAGGAAGTTTATTCTCTACTGTATCTGATATGTTGCTGGTGTTCAACCTCTGGTAATGGTTTGCCTGCATTATTGTTGCTAATGTCAATTGTTTGATCACAAGAGCTTTCTCCTATGCATCCTAATTGTTGCACCGGAAGTGATGTACTTCCACTAAATTATTATTCATTCATACACATATTAAATATTCATACTTTTGCAACTTTGAACTTAAAACCAATTTTAGGAGAAATATCTTTCCCCTATATTCATGCTAAAAGCAAATTGCTTTGCTACCAAAAATACAGAAATAGGTTCACAACACCACAAAACTAACTGTTCAACTGCATTTCAAAAAACCATATGTTGCCAAATATTATAATTTCCAGATTGAAGAAAAGGCCTTGGATTTTGTGTTGAAAATACTGGTGCGGCAAAAAACATTCATCAGAACGTTAGGGCATACATCAGACAGCACCTTCTGTTACACGTGAAGATCTATATATAGTCCATTTTATTCTGCTCTCTGTCCGCATTTGCTATTCTAGTAATGCTCTGAGAAAGTATTATTAAAATACATGTAAATGTATAATGTTATAGCACTTATTATTTCCTGTTAAACATGAAAAGAACAGTTAACACGAGTGTATTCTTTTGTCTTTTGTGTTTTCTCACAGCATGCTAAGCCATATTTCTTGCCAAAGAACCTCTCTGACACTGAAAACCTAATGTTATGAGTGTGAGATCTCATGCTTTTAAAATTCAATTTATATTGGGGTTTAACAAAGAAAACCATTTAGTTTGACCTTTTCTATGTGTTTCTACTTTCCATTTCTGGCAAGTTCCGTTTTTCTTTCTTCTTATTATTTTGTTTTCTGTACATAATTTAAATCTTGTTTATTCTTCCATATTTCTACTTCCTGGGTTAGATTCTGTGAAGCTATATTTGATGAATGTTGAAAATATGTGGAGGAGTTGTAATGTCTAATTAACCCATGCCCACTGACTGCAAAACAATCAGCATACTGTCTCACATTAGTCTGTCTATCTTTGATCCAGGACCGTTTGGCTCTTGACCTTATATCAACCATGTTCCAACCATGGCCAAAACAACTGAACTTGAGATGAGAGGTAACTGTCTTTGACATAAGAGATGACTAAGTATAGCACCAAAGAGTCCCAGAAAAACTGAAACCAATGGAAATTGGGAGAGAACTCTCCATTATTTGAAGTCATGCCTAGCACAAAAGTGGATTGTTGTGATTATTGGCGGACAGCTATCTGAGACATAGGGCATTGCTGCAGAGGATGTTTGGGGTAGATATGTTCAATCTACCTTTTCAGAGATACTATTACACACCTCTTGAACAGGTAGGACTGGTCCAGAGGTAAGGACAATATCATTGTGCCACAAGAGTTCTAAGGGATTTTTAGGGTCAATATTTTTAATCAACCTGTTCAGACATATTATGACTTTCCTCTGAACTCAGGTCTCCTGATGAAGAGGTAGAGACACTACTCCTGCACCTTCGGTAGTATTCAAGGCCTAACCATATTCAGCAGCTTCATCAATTACCATCCCTCTACCATCAGCTCCAGTGGAGTGTTTGCTGAACTGTATAGTGTGCACTACCAGGACTGCTGCAAGTAGTCCTTCAAAGAGGCCAAATGGGTCGCTGGACCAGATAAGTTGGGGCATTTGCCAAGGGCATTTTTACCTCAAAGAGGGATAATTTAGGGATAGTAGGAACTGCCAATTCTGAAGAAGGTTTCAGACCCGAAACATCAGCTTTCCTCCTCCTCTGATGCTGCTTGGCCTGCTGAGTTCCTCCAGCTCTACACCTTGTTATCTGGGATAATTTAGGGGCTGTGTTTAATGGATGTATGGGTAAGATAGAATGGCAATTTTATCTTCTGCTCTCTGCTTCAAAGATAGCACCTTTTTTTTCTTGCTGTTTTAAAAATTTGTTAAAGGCTGTCTATCCCTCAAGTGCCAAACGTGTCATGGTGTATGCAGGATAATAGTGCATTTAGTTAACATTGATGATTTATTTATACTTGGTGGGTGAGCATATTATGGTTTCCATTTCATAGTGATGAGCTCGGGGCATGGGTGGTAAGGTGCTGGGTTGAAGCCTGCTCAATTTTACATGCTCCCGTGCTAAAAGGTTGCGTTTCTTGTGAACGTCCTCACTATGTGGGACAGTGATAGTATTTGTGCACAGCTTGGCAGTGGAAGGGAGGTGCCTGGAACAAAGTTGGCAGTATAATCCCAGTGGATAGGGAGGAGTCAAACTCCTGAGTGCAGATTTACTGAAATAATGGAAATTTCACCTCCTGCTGAGAAGATCTTTAAAATATTTGAATAAAAAATTTAGAATTTTGAATTCTTGACTTCACTGAGATTCTTTCCCACATCCCAGTTGCTGTAAGTACTCACTGGAAAAGAGGTGGCTTTGCACAATGGACTGCTTGTGCACGAATGACCTCTTGGTAGATTAATGGTGACTGCACTGACGTGTTTAATAAAAAGTATTTCATGTCCAATATCTCCCTGATCAAACTCAATGTGCAATGTGCATAAGGGAATAATCTCTGTAAAGTTTGGAACTCATTGTGAACCTTGATGCATCTCCAGAAAACCCAATCTGTGTCACTGGATGCAGGAGGCTATCCTTATAACAGAAGGAAAACTTGCCACAGCAAACAGAATGTCCACAGTATCCACATATGCACAAACGCATCCTCGCGAAGTGATATAGAATCATAGAATCCCTTTGGTGTGGAAGCAGGCCAATCAGCCCATCCAGTTCACACTCCCCATCTGAAGAGCATCTCACCCAGACCCATTCCCCTACCCTATCCCTGTAACCCTGCATTTTCCATGGCTAATCCACCTAGCCTGCACATCCCTGGACACCATGGGCAATTTAGCATGGTCAATCCAACTAAACTGTCTATCTTTGGGCTGTGGGAGGAAACCAGATGAACCGGAGAGAATGTGCAAACTCAATACAGACAGTCACCCAAGGGTGGAATCGAACCTGGGTTCCTGGTGCTGTGATGCAGCAGGGCTAGTCACTGAGCCACCGTAACGCCCCATTACTGACCCTGTCTGAGAAGAGAGCACAGTCATCATAGACGACTTCAATTGACATGTAGGTTGGGTAAATCTAATTAGTACTGATGTTGTAGAGGACATATTTTTCGAATGTATGCAGGATGGTTTTCTAGAACACTACTTTCAGGAACCAACTACGAACGATTAATCAATAATCTTGCTGCAAAGGATCAATTAGGAAAACATGATTACAGTATGATAGCATTTTACATTAAGTTTGAAAGTGCTCGGATCAAACCCAAAGAAAGGCAACATGGAAGATGGAGAACTATGTTAAAAGGTTTTCTGATAAAAAGGTAATAGCTAATATTTAAATAACTAATAAACAGTATACAACAAAAATATATTCCTTAACTACATGAAAACCCAACAAACAAAATGCTCAAAGTATGGTTAATGAAAGAAAACAAGAATTGGATTAGATCAAAAAAAAGCTTACAAAGTTGCCAAAGAAATGGTAAACCTAAGGATTGGGAAGACGTTAGCATTTCACTCCAGAGATTTCACTCTTTATGTCTGTGATATAAACAGTAATAGGAAGAGAAAGGGAACTGGTGTACATTTGAGATAATTGCCCTCTTATAACAAACCTTCCTACCTACAATAGTCTTTTTAGCTGGAAAGAGCCTCCTCAGTGAATATTTAGTGGTATACACTTTTTTCATTCTCCTTTATCTAACATTAAACATGATTCTGAGTATTTATTATGTTAAGTGATTAAATTTATGATATTTTGAGACTTGGTTCAGACATTATCTGACTTTTAAAATGATTAAACTTGATGAATTTTCAACCTGATTCTGATATCATTATCTGACTAAGTTGAATTTAACTTTTTAATATGATTTTGTTCATATCTGACTTCTTATATATTTCTCAAATTTCTACAACTTCTTAGCATGATTCCATTCAAATTTATGTTTTTGAAAATCCTGCTTATAAGCATGATGCTATAAAAATTATGCACTTTTTTAAAAAAAATTATGTGTGCGCCTTTTGCCAATGTCATTTTGGATTCAGTGAGTTAACTTCTACTCACACCATCATACATCTTATCCTTTACACCTCCATGAAAATAATCTGCAGAGCTATACTTGGGCCCACATGAAATCCCCTAATATCTCATTAAAGTTATGGGAAAGAACTTCAGATTAAGTCGATTGGATTTTGGAACGCATCGAGGATGAGCTTAGAGGTGGTGGGAATGCAGGGCTACAAAACTGCAGAGGAATGGTGGGATGGAATGTCTTTGGCTTCAAGCAGCCAATACCATTTCACTAGCACTGGCCCAGGCACCCTCATACCCTACTTACTTGGTTCAGGGCAGTATCATTTCCAGGCACTCTTTTCTTCCAAGTGCAATATTAGGAAAGGCCCTCTGACTGACTGGGAGCAGTTCAGTTGGATGATTTTCCTTTAAAAACAGTACATTTTTACAGCAAACGATTTATTGATTGATCACTGTAAAATGCAGTTGAGAGTCTGGCTAACAATTTAGACAGAGTCACCCTTAGCTTTCCGATCTGTCTATTTAGCTCGGAGGGTCGGCGTGGGTTTCCACACTGTAGGGATGCTATGAAGAAGCTATGAAGATATTGCATAAAAATAAAATTCAGTCCAGTAAGTGAGCACTGATTTGAGATCAATAGTGAGAACCAATTCCTTACTACTGGCTGCAAAATTATCAAAGGTATATTTTCCCAGGTAAGTTAAGAAAGAATTAAGATTGAACACATTATTGGTGAAATGTGAATGGTGAGTCACTGTAGTCTTATGCAGTCTCAAAAACAATATACTAGATTTGCTAATAGATCGCTGAACATATTACCTTCTGTGGCATATTGAGAAGGAGAAATTACAATCTGTGTTAAGTTATCTGGTCTTTTGTCTGTGTCTGTCCTTGTGTGTTCTGGCATTGGATATGTTGATTGGTTACTAACATCTGATAAAATAAGAAATGTTAGTTAACAATGCTTTTCTGAAGCAAGAGACTGCTAGCCTATATACTTCGCCTGACGAAGGAGCAGTGCTTTGAAAGCTTGTGATTTTAAATAAATCTGTTGGATGATAAGCTGGTGTCATGTGACTTCTGACATTATCTGCCCCAGTCCAACATCAGCATCTCCACATGGAGCCTATATACTTGTCATACTTGCAGCGATTAACAATTGCATTTAAAAGTACATTTTCTCCTTTTCCTATATACCCAAAGTAGGAATTTGGCATTATAAAAACAAATTATGATGTCAAAATTGTATTGTCCCTGAGTGCCTTTGCTTTTTTTTAAAACTCCTTGCCCTCAATGGATGATAGTATAAGGTAGGGGTGGAGGTTAGATAGACCTTAGGATTAGGGTAAAAGTGCGGCACAGCATCGTGGGCTGAAGGGACTGTACTGTGCTGTACTGTTCTATGTTCTATGTTCAGTGTGAACTACAGGTGTGTGCAGAGTAGAAGGCAAAGTGCTTTGATGCTTCAAATCATGACATGTGGTAGGCCTGATTCAGTTATTTCATCCTGCTATATTTTTTCCCAAATGTTTGTGTAGTAATTCATACTAAAGTAGTTGAAATTAGTCCTTTACCCCGATACGTGTATTCACAGTTATCAATGTAAAAGAGCAGAGCTGAAGAACTGAACTAAAAGATACCTCATAATGTGCTTAGTTCCATGCATATTCAAGTAATCCAAGGTTTTATTCAATTTGTTCGAGAGACTGGTCATGGGATAATGGGTGCTGCTGACCAGGGCCAATTGCCAATTCCTAGTTGCCACTGAGAAGGTGGTGGTAAGCTGCCTTCTTAAACCACTGAAGTAAACCCACAAAGCTGTTAGCATGGGAGCTCCAGGATTTTGACTTCAAGACAGCGAAGGAAAAGTGATATAGTTCCAAATAAAGTTGTGTGTGGGTTGGAATGGAATGTGCAATGTGGTTATGTTCCTTTTTTTGTATTTTTGCCCTTCTGGATAGTAATGGTTGTTGGTTCGGAAGGTGCTATCTGAGGAGTCTTACTAATTTCTGCAGTGCATCTTGTGAATGGTACACCCTGCTGATGCTGAGAGTCAATGTTGGAGGAAGTGCATGTTTGAGGATATGGTGCCAATCAAGTTTTTCTGCCTTGACCAGCTGCAATGTTGTACTAATGATGTGGTTACTAGATTCTGCCCATTGAGGTGACAATGAGCTCACGGAGAGTACATCCTCTGAGGGATCTGTGACTTCTTCCGATGTAGAAGACGAACTGATAGAAGAGGGGCTGGTCTCTTTAGGGCAGAGGCTGTATGGTGCCATTGGTGTCTGCGTAAGAGAAGAGAGCAACCAAGTTGTATAACAGGGGTAGAAGGTTAAGAACATGTTCACACTGGTGGTAATGGGATAGCAGTACAGCACAGCACAATGAAACATATTCAATTGCCTCGACTTCGAGATTCTGTAATTTGCATCTCAGCAGTCTCAACACTCTCCTGCAAATTCAAAGATTTTCTCCTCCTAGTAAGTAAGGAGAAAAATACCTGTTTTGCTGTTTTGGCCCTGTTATGAGACATTTTCTCCTGCAATAACACAAATGGATATATTGAGTGAGACAAAAATGGCTAGAAGAGTTGTTAGTGATGGTGCAGGAGCTGTAAAACTGGCAATCTTTCCTGAATGAGTAGAAATTGCAGAGGGCCAGGAAAGCTTCGGGAGGATGAAATGGGTGAGCCATTAAGAGCTGGTGCTGCATACAATAGAGAGAGTAGACCATTAGCCTTGGTAGGATGTGTGTGCAACAGCAAACTTAGAGTGAACTTGAGGTAAATTACCCTTGCAGAGCACTGGTCCTGAGATATGAGGACAGCCCTCCTCTCCACTGCCCCGTCCAGCAGGATTCCAGATCCCTGTCCATAAGCTGGGTTGCCAAATACCCTTTCTCAGCTATCTCCTTTTGGATTGAAGTCAAGTAACACATTTGAAATGGTAGTTTCTGGCTTGCAGGATTTTAGCTAGTTTGCAGCTGGGGTTTAAGTATGGTACCTCCCATCAGCAAAAAGCACTTCTACTTCTGTGATCACATGACGCAATAAGCAGTGCAGCTTGGATGCACAATTATAGAGGTGAACAGTTAAAGATTGCATGAGATAACACAGTGTGGAGCTAGAGGAACACAGCAGGCCAGGCAGCATCAGAGGAGCAGGAAAGTTGATGTTTCGGGTCAGGCGAAGGGTCTCGACCCAAAACGTCAACACTCCTGCTCCTCTGATGCTGCCTGGCCTGCGTGTTCCTCCAGCTCCACACTGAGTTGTCTCTGACTCCAGCGTCTGCAAATCTTACTATCTCTGGAAGAATGCATGAGACAAGTTGCCCTAGCCCAGAGAGAGAAACCCTCATTTAAACCCAAAAATTACACATTGCCAAAATTCAGCCCAGTTTCTTTTGATGTTACAGTAGTTTCATCTCAACCACATAAAATGTTTCAGGATTTCTCTAATTCTATATGCTTCAAAGTACCCCTGAAAATAAAGACGTTCAATTTTAATTTTACATGATAATTACACAATTTCAACATAAGATAAACGTTCAAAGTAGATCAGATCAATTGGTCATAGTGAAGTGTCATACATTTACCTGTACCTGTATTAGGGGAAGCTGAAACCAAATCCTTAAAAAACTCTGGCACCTTCATCTTCTGATTAATTCGAAATGACTCTGATAAATCATCCATTTCAAGCTCCTGTACAAAATAATTTTTGATAATGCAAGATTCATACAGATTTCAGAATTGAAGCTGAACAATGTAAAACAGAACACAAATAGAAATATATTTGGAATGCACTGTTCTTCTCCATTTCATGACCACTATTTTGTGCGCAGAAGCACAGCGTAGTTACCATAATTGAACAGAGGAGTTAGAGTTGCAGAATTATTGGGTCTTGGGATTTGTTTCCATCAACTTGGCAATGCAAAAATAATCAATTAATATCAGATTACTTTGACGCAAAGAAGTTAAGAACTGTGGTGGAGACGAAAACAGAAGTCAGATTTCAAATAGAAGCAGTTGTGTGCTAAAAGTCAAGTTGGGCTAGGAACAGATTGAAGGTCAAATGGAGAGGATGGCATTGGAGGTCAGATGACGGGGGAAAGAGGCCCGAACCCCTTGAGGAGAGGTGCCGAATGCAGGGTATGTTTCTGACTCCCTTGGTCAAATGTGATATCCTGCTAATCGCGACTCTACAATCATATAGGTATATTAACAAAACACCTGTTGGTTGCAGCTTAATTGGCTATCCTAAGGTCTTGTTTTACTACGTGAATTTTAGCTCTTGGGTCACGATCATTTGGTCCCTTAATCAAAATTGCTGGGGCCTAACATCTGTTTCAGATGCGGACACTGCAAAACAGTACTTTTTCTTTTCCCACTTTGGCAGATTCTGGCTAAAGAAACGTGCATGCTTCTGTTCTATCATATTAGGTTATAGCACATTTAGAAGCTAGAGAATTTGGAGAAATAAATTGTAATATCTTGAAAAATGTCCATATTACCGGGGAGTTGGTGCTGGATGTCTTAAAACACATGAAGGTGGATAAGGTATATCCCAGAACTTTGTGGGAAGCTAGGGAAGTGATTGATGTCCCCTTTGCTGAGATATTTGTATCATCAATAGCCACAGGTGAGGTGCTGGAAGACTGGAACATGGCCAATGTGGTGCCATTATTTAGAGGTGGTAATGAAAACCCAGGGAACTATAGTCTGGTGAGCTTGATGTCAGTGGTGGGTAAGTTGTTGGAGGGGATTCTGAGGGACAGGATTTATATGTATTTGGAAAGGCAAGAACTGATTAGGTCTCAAATTTGATTGAGTTTTTTGAAGAAGTGACAAAGAAGATTGATGAAGGCAGAGTGGTGGACATGATCTATATGGACTTCAGCAAGGTGATTGACAAGGTTCTGCATGGTAGACTGGTTAGCAAGGTTAGATCACATGAAATTGAGGGACAGCTAGCCATTTGGATACAAAATTGGCTTGAAGGTAGGAGACAGAGGGTGGTGGTGGATGGTTGTTTTTCAGACTGGAGGCCGGTTACCAGCAGTGTACTGCAAGGATCCACTGCTTTTTGTCATTGAAAATGATTTGGATGTGAATATAGAACGAATGGTTAGTAGGTTTGCAGATGATACCAAAATTGGTGGTGGAGTGGACAGTGAATAAGGTTATCTCAAAGTGCAAAGGGACCTTGATCAGACGGGTCGATGGGCTGAGGAGTGGCAGATGGAATTTAATTTAGATAAATGTGAGGTGTTACATTTTGGTAACGTAAATCAGGGCAGGACCTGTACACTTAATGTTAGTGTCCTGGGGATTGTTGTCGAACAGAGTTGGGTTGCAGTTTCATAGTTCCTTGAAGGTGGAGTCACAGGTAGACACGGTAGTGAAGAAGGCATTTCGTACACTTGTCTTTATTGGTCAGTACATTGAGTATAGGAGTTTGGAGGTCATGTCATGGCTGTACGGGACATCGGTTAGACCATTTTTGGAATATTGCGTTCAGTTCTGGTCTCCCTGCTATAGGTCTTTGACCAAGGGAGTCAGAAACATACCCTGCATGCGGCACCTCTCTTCCAGGGGTTCTGGCCTCTTTCCTCCTGTCATCTGACCTCCAATGCATCCTCTCCATTTGACCTTCAATCTGTTCCTAGCCCAACTTGACTTCTGATCTTTTAGCCCACACCTGCTTCTATTTGAAATCTGACTTCTGTTCTCGTCTCCACCACAGTTCTTAACTTCTTTGAGGAAGTGACAAAGTTGATAGATGAGGGAAGGGCTGTAGGTGTGAAATACGTGGACTTCAGTAAGGTGTTTGATAAGGTTCCCCATGGTAGGCTGATGGAGAAAGTGAAGTCGCAGGGGGTCCAGGGTGTACTAGCTAGATGGACAGAGAACTGGCTGGGCAACAGGAGACAGAGAGTTGTAGTGGAAGGGAGTTTCTCAAAATGGAGAACTGTGACCAGTGGTGTTCCACAGGGATCCGTGTTGGGACCACTGTTGTTTGTGATATATATAAATGATCTGGAGGAAGGTATAGATGGTCTGATTAGCAAGTTTGCAGATGACACTAAGATTGGTGGAGTAGCAGATAGTGAAGGGGACTGTCAAAGAATGCAGCAGAATATAGATAGATTGGAGAGTTAGGCGGAGAAATGACAGATGGAGTTCAATCCAGGCAAATGCGAGGTGATGCATTTTGGAAGATCCAATTCAAGAGCGAACTATACGGTAAATGGAAAAGCCCTGGGGAAAATTGATGCACAGAGAGATCTGGGTGTTCAGGTCCATTGTACCCTGAAGGTGGCAACGCAGGTCGATAGAGTGGTCAAGAAGGCATACAGCATGCTTTCATTCATCGGACGGGGTATTGAGTACAAGGGTTGGCAGGTCATGTTGCAGTTGTATAGGACTTTGGTTCGACCACATTTGGAATACTGCGTACAGTTCTGGTCGCCACATTACCAAAAGGATGTGGATGCTTTGTAGAAGGTGCAGAGGAGGTTCACCAGGATGTTACCTGGTATGGAGGACGCTAGCTATGAAGTGAGGTTGAGTAGATTAGGATTATTTACATTAGAAAGATGGAGGTTGAGGGGGCATCTGATTGAGGTCTACAAACTCATGAGAGGTATAGACAGGGTGGATAGCAAGAAGCTTTTTCCCAGAGTGGGGGACTCAGTTACTAGGGGTCACAATTTCAAGGTGAGAGGGGAAAAGTTTAAGGGAGATATGCGTGGAAAGTTCTTTACGCAGAGGGTGGTGGGTGCCTGGAACGCGTTGCCAGTGGAGGTGGTAGAGGCGAGCACGATAGCGTCATTTAAGATGTATCTAAACAGATACATGAATGGGCAGGGAGCAGAGGGATACAGATCCTTGGAAAATAGGCAACAGGTTTAGATAGAGGATCTGGATCGACGCAGGCGTGGAGAGCCGAAGGGCTTGTTCCTGTGCTGTAATTTTCTTTGTTCTTTGTTCTAGGTAAGGTTGTTAAACTTGAAAGGGTTCAGAAAAGATTTACAAGGATGTTGTTGGGATTGGAGGGTTTGAGCTATAGGGAGAGGCTGCAAATATTTTTCCTGGAACACTAGAGGCTGAGGGGGTGACCTTATAGAGGTTTACAAAACTTTGAGGTGCATGGATAGGGTGATTAGTCAAGCTTTTTTTCCCACTGGAAGGGGAGTCCAAAACCAGAGGGCATAGGTTTAAGGTGAGAAGGGAAAAATATAAAAGTGACTGAAGGGGCAACTTTTTCACACAGAGGTGATGCATGTATGGAATGAGTTGCCAGAGGATGTGGTGGAGGCGGATACAATTACAACATTTAAAAGGCATCTGGATGGGTACATGAATAGGAAGGGTTTAGAGGGACATGGGCCAAATGCTGGCAAATGGGATTAGATTTATATATAATCTCTGGTTGTTATGGATGAATTGGACTGAAGGGTCTGTTTCCATGCAGTACAGCTTTATGACTCTACAATAGCAAAAAGTCAAAATCGGAAGTAGATTTGTTTGGCAAGTTACTAGTACTGAGGTTCACACATTGAATCTTTCTCCTGCACTCTATTCTGATTAATTTCTGAGAAGCAATATATTCATATATCCTGCACCGAAAACCGACAAAGGTTAATGTGAAGCCACTGGAACCTGGCAAATCATGCTCCTCAATTGGGAATATGTTTTCCTGATGTCCAGAAGTTCCAGATCAGATTTTAGGTTGATGTAAAATCATGGTTCTGAATGTTTACTTACAACTGTTCCAATAAAAATGGGAACCCTTCTCATCAGCAATATCAGCAAATAGCCTACAGGGAGGGAGATGCAACTTAATGATTACTGTGCAGTTTTTAAAAATGAAAATGTTCAATAAAATTCTCCTGAGAATATAAAACTGCTCTAACATTCCATGCATGGTGATCGTAGCATTGATATCCAGTTCTAGAAGTCACTGATGCACATGAACCTTGCAGGCCCACGCAGCCAGTAAGAACATTAGAGGGAATGCTGTTTGTCACATGTGGGAATCATGGTTTTATTCCACACAAGTTTCAAAATTAAGGTCAAGAAGAATCTTGCTTTCACATCCTCAGAGAATTCCAAACTACAACACAACCAATGAAATATTATTGAAATGTAGTCAATGTTATAAGAAAATATGGGAGTTAGATTGGTCACAGTGCAATTCCACAAACAAATAAAGCAAAGAACTGTTGATGCTGGAAATCAGAAGCAAAAATAGAAATTGCCAAAATAATTCAGGAGGTCTGGCAGCATCTGTGGAGAGAAAGAAGAGTTAATGTTTCGGGTCCAGTGACCATTCTTCAGAAGTGATTGAGCGTAGGAAGAGGAAAAGGTTTGTATAAAGGCTGAAAATGAGGTGGGGTGGGGAGTAAACGATAGGTTTAAATGGAGCCCAGAGAGAGTTGGGCAGACAGAGGAGTTTAAGGTTAGCCTGGGAGAATGAATTGCTGCTAATGTGGACCACCAATAGCTGAACAATGGGTCAGTGTAATAGCAGTCCATGTAATGACAAGGTCTGGTGTGTGGGCACTGGGACCTTAAAATTTTTGAAATCAATATTGAGAAATTGAGTCCTGAAGACTGCAAGGTCCCCAAATGGAAAATAAGATGCTGTTCTTTCAGCTTGTGCTGAGCTGCACTGAAACATTGCAGCAAGCCTGAGACAGGGATGTTGGCCAGGAAATATGATGGTCTGTTGAAGTAGCAGGCAACAGGAAGCTAAGGATTTTTTATTTTAAGATAAGATGTAGGTGTTTTGCAAAGTAGTCACCCAGTCTGCATTTCATCTCCCCAATGTGGAGCAGACTGCATTGTGAGTAGTGAATACAGTAGACTACATTGAGTAAAGTGCAGTTAAATTGCTGCTTTACCTGGAACATGTGTCTGGGACCTTGGTTAGTGAGGAGGTTTGATGTAAAGAGGCAAGTGCTGCAGCAATATGGGGAGGTGTTGGAAGTACAGGAGGAGTGTACCAAGGTGTCCCAGAAGGAATGGTCCCTGTGGAAGGCTGACAAGGGAGGGAAGGGGACTATGTGTCTGGTGGTGGCATCCCACTGGAGATGGTGGAAATGGCAGCTAATCATCCTTTGGAATTGGATGCTGGTGGGATGGTGAGCGAGGGCCAGAGGACTCTATTGCTGTTGTGGGAGGAAAGAAAAGGAGTAAGGGCCAAAGTACAGGAGTTGTATCAGACATGCCACATGGTGGTGGGAACTTCTTGGTTAGACAAGAAGGTGGACATTTAGGAGGCCCCCTTGTCGAAGTTGTCATCATCAGAACAGAGGCGATGGAGACGGAGAAACTGGGAGAATGGAATAAAGTTTTTAAATAAAGTTTTAAAGGAAGCAGGGTGTGAGGATATAAAGTCAAGTAACTGTGGGAGTCAGTGAGTTTGTAGTGGATATTGGTGGCTAGTCTATCCCCACTGACTTCCAGTTATTTTAACTTGGACTTTCAAGTGCATTCACCCTGCTACAACACTAGACCAGAGTTTAGTTACAAGCCATGCATGTAGAGAATACAGTTCAACTTAATCCTAATTCTCCAAACTGCATTCCCTGCAACAGCTGCTCTTGACTGAAAATGCAGAGCTATCTCCTGTATTCCCAAATAACCCTTATTCAGTAGTGCAGTATCTTTCTTAGAGAATTTCAGTAAACTTGTGAAGTGTGGCCTACCATTTCTATGATCCTGATGACTTCCCCTGTAAACCTTTATAGTCCTTGGTTTGCTTTCAATTGTTAGGAGTATTGTTTTGTTTTTATAGAAAGATCCAATTCGTTCTCTTTTGATCAGTCAGATACTGCATATATTATGATGGTCATCCTTTTCTGATCAATGAGAAAACAGTTACAAACAGGCTTAAAAAGGAAAACTGAAAAAATACCTGTGCTGAGTCCAAGGTCTTGCTCACGTCAGACTGAAAGTATGATGGAACAATCATGTTCTTAAGAGCTAGTTTGGTTCCTTTTACTTCATCAAGCTCTTGCCTGTCAATGAAAAATTATAGCTGTAATATATTAATATATATTAGTATAAAAACTATATTAATACATCTGGTGCCAGTTACACGCAGTCATAATATCCAGAAGTACACATTTTAAGGTGATCATTGGTCAGAATCAATAATATCAAATGCTAATTCCTTCCATGTCTTGGATTTCTTGGAGGTTTTACAGTCTTTTTGCAAAGCAATCTTGAAATTGTTTCTCTAATAATCATTTCTGACAACTAATGATCTAAACACTTAGCAAAGTAATTTGTTAATTCTTACTTTTTTTACCCACATTATTGTATGTATGTATGGGGAATCATGATTGGTGCTGAATTCAAGCAAACTCACAACTTAAATACCAAGCACCACATAGAAATGTAAAACAATGATTGTTAAATAGTCTACAGGACATATATGGTAGTATTTCTCAACAAAACAAGCATTTAATATTACTTTTCCAATATTATTCCATGGAAGGAAGAATGCTTGGCAAAATTCAAATTGTTGGCTTAGGCTTGATTTGTTTCATTATTTCAATTCTGATTACCTTGAACCCAAAATCTAAACAATGAAATCTTTGGTCAACATGGAAAATTCCATTTAGTAGTTTAGTGGGGACTTATGGGTATATTCTACACCCAATTCTAAAAATTGCTACTTTTGATTCTAAGTAGTGCAGTATCTTTCTTAGAGAATTTCAGTAAACTTGTGAAGTGTGGCCTACCATTGCTATGATCCTGATGACTTCCCCTGTTAACCTTTATAGTAAGGTAGAGCACAGAGAAAATGCAGAGGAAAACAGGTGCGAAGAGTGAACTGAACTGTAAAATATTTCTTTTTATCCATTCATGGGGCGTGGATACCTAAAGCAAATTAACATTTATTCTGCAACCATAAATTCCCTCAATAGCTGGTTCTGAGCCGGTACCTATAAAGTGTATGAAGACATACAGTGCTATAAGGGTGGGAGTGCCAGATTATAAATGAGTGTGCATTTCGTTAAGAGTCTGAACAAGGTAAAATTGGGCTAGTATGTGATCCCATTCAACCTGGCTTGTTTCAAACCAATTCTCTTTTAAACACAGGCCTAACACTGTAGTTAGCACCACATGGTTACTCAATAAGGTGGTGTGAAATTGACCAATCAAGCTGCCACTTCTTTGTTGATTGCAAATAACCAACTCTGAGTACTTGGTTTAAGGCATCACAAAAACATCTGTTTTTGTTGTTGTGCATACTACTGATTTTGCTAAGATGCAAAAGTTGCTTGCACTTGGTAGCACACACAGAAGGGCATATTTGTGTAGAAAAGGAGGAGATTGTATACAGAATCGTTAGTTTGAGGGGTTTGATAATTAAAAATCAAGAATCAAGCTGGAAGTTGCTTGCAATCAGTCCTCATTATGTATTTCCATCTATGCTTGCTATATGACAGTGGTTCAAACTTTCTTGCAGTTGACCGGGGATGTTGTTTTTAAGTAGTTGTTCTTAAGTAGTTGTTCTATCTCTTACTGATCCTCAAATTCACGGTATAAGGAAGCGCATTACTTATACAAAGTGTGTACCATAATTATGAAAATTTGTTGGTTTCACTGTGGCTTTATGGAGTTTGATGGAGTCAATGCTAAAGGACCTGGTATTTGCCCTGGGATTAATAATTTTTTTGCAGTACCAATAAATTTAGCTAGGGGCCACATACCTGAATATTTTGATAGGTTTTAGAAATCTACTCTTATGTAGAGTGGTTAGATATGGAATAAGGAGAAATAATTAACATTCTGGAGGAACTATATAACTGATATGTATCATTGTATTGGAAAGCCTTAGCTTTATGATTTGTGTGGAATAGCTCCCAGTTTTCCATCATAGTATATTTAAATTAGCACCTTTCTTAGTTCCTTACATAACTGTCTTTCCTTGCTTAGCTTGCTATTACCTGTATTGTTCTAATCTTTGTGGCCAGCGAGATGTCTGTTTCCATTCTTTGTTGCTGCATGAATGGAGAGAGAAATCAAGTTATAGAATATTAAAATTACTGATATATTCATATATAATTCATTACAGGCCTATTCCAATTAAAAAGTGTTTTCTGTAAACAAACTGTGCAAATGAATTATTGCTTAACTTCTTGGTGCTGAAAATAAAACATGGAGCAATAACCAGAGCAATATGAACATATTATCATTCCCTAACAAATGCCAGTTTGGAAATTTTCATTCAAAGTTGTATTTAGCATTATTGTTTGAATGTCATAATTCCGTTATTATTCTTACTGGTACAAAGAACAAACCTGTACATGACAGGAAGTGATTAGAAAGGCAAAAAAAAAATTGGAAACAAACACAGAGGAAAAAGAATATTGACATTGATTTCAATGGAAATTGAATATAAAAGTAGAGACATTTCATTGCAGTCAAAGGTTCAAAAAAGGTGATTGCAGAGATGGCAGAGACATTGTATATAGTGTTCTAATATTTCTTGGATCTGGAGGGGTCCCAGTGGATTGAAAAAACAATTAATGCAGTACGATTATTCAATTAAGGAGGAGACTATAAGCCTGTTTGGCCAGCATCTGTTGCAGAGAAATGTCTAGAATCCATTGTTAAGGAGGTTAAAGAACAGAATGATTAGAAAGTCCATGTACCAACCATGATTTTGTAAAATGGAAATTGTATTTAACTAATTTATCGGAGATTTTTTTAAAGGAAGCGACAAGCAAAATGGATAAAAGGGAACCTGTGCATTTAATGCATTTGGATTTCCAAAAGGCATTTGAAAATATGCCACATTAAATGTGCCTACACAAAATAAGAGCACATGAAGTCAAGATTAATATATAAGCATGAATAGAAAAATGATTAGCTAACAGGAAGTATAGAACAGGGATAAATGGGAGATCTTCACATTGGCACACCTGGTTGGAGTACCATAGGAATCAGTTCTGAGCCGTCAACTATTTACAAACTATGTTGATGACTTGGATATTGGAACTGACTGCATGGTAAATAAATTTGCTAATGATGCCAAGATAGGCAAGAAAGTTTATTGTCAAGAGGAGGTGGAGAGTCTGAAAATCAATAAATGAGCTGACATACATTTGGAAGATGGCGCTTAGTAGAAAAGTATGAACTTGCCCACTTTAACAGGAAGAACTGAAAAGCAGTATACTATTTAAATGGAGAAAGACTGCAGAACTCTGATGTAAAGAGGAATCTTGGTATCTTGAAATATGAACCAAAAAACATAGTATGCAGCTTTCAGCAAGTGATCAGGAAGGCAAATAGAATTCTGGTGTTAATTGCAAGTAAAATGGAATACAAGAGTAGGAAAAAAATTATTGCGCTTGTACAAGATAGTACAAGTAAGACGACACCTGGAGTACTTTGTACAATTTTGGTCTTATTACATCAGAGGCAATTCAGAAACATTTCTCTTGATTTATTCTTAAAATGAAGGGCTTTTGTTATGAAGTAAGGTTGAAAGGATTAAGCTTTTATCCATTGGAGTTTAGAAGGATTAGACCTTATTGAAATATTTATAATGCTGAGTGGACTTGACTTGACTTCCAGGGTGGTTCCTGGAAGGATATTTCCATTATGGTTAGACTAGATTTGGGGACATGGTCTAAGAATAAGGGTTATGCCTTTTAAAATAGAGATGAGGTGATATTTTTTCTCTCAGGGTCATTAGAGTTATGATCCCAACAGAAGGTACAATGGGAGAGATAGTAGGAACTGCAGATGCTGGAGAATCCGAGACAACAAGGTGCAGGGCTGGATGAACACAGCAGGCCAAGCAGCATCATAGGAGCAGAGAGGCTGACGTTTCGGGCCGAAACCCTTCATGTGGGACATGTCAGACCCCAGAGTAAGATCGGGCTTGATATATCATTTTTAAAAAATTTCATTCACGTGGTGGTCAGTCACAAAAATATAGTGACACAAGGCTACAGAGTTTCTTTAACAACAGAACAGAAGATTATTACACAAAGATGGCAACTAAAAATGAAGCTATCTAGATAGAAGAACAGTTTAGAAAAATCTCAAAAAATCTGTAAAAAAAAGTGTTCAACCTATTTCTCAACACCATTAATTTAGAGATTCAAGTACATAGAAATTACCCTTCTCAAATTGTTAAGTTCTATTTAACTGATTCTCTAGGTCCCTTTCCTATGAAGTCTTTTCTGTAGTGGTCTACAGCATGGAAGCAGGCCCTTCAGCCCAATTTGCCCATGCCTCCCAGTTTTCACAATTAAACTAGTCTCCTTGGCCTGCGTTTAGTCAGACTCAAAGGGCTGAACATCCTGCTCCTAAGTTTGATTTCTAAGTTGGATGTTAAATATCCTACAGCAGTGAAAAGGAGCTGGGGAGATAGACGTAGTATTCTGACTAATATTTATCTTTTAACCAACACCCACAAATTACTATATCTGCTCATTACCACACTGCTGTTTGTGGGAACTTGCTGTATATAAATCAGCTCTGCATTTTGTACATTACAGCAGTTAATCTGCTTCAAAAGGTACCAAACTAATGGTAAAGCACTTTGGAAAATCCTGAGGTTGTGAAGGCTGTGATACAATACAAGTGTTTTCTTTTACTATATGCTATTACCCAAATACTGTGTCTGGAAAAGTTACTTCCAAGCAATTTTCATACTAGAATGAACTGCTTAATGAGGGTCTTTCATTCCATAAATACAGCTGGTCATTCAAATTATCTCTGTGTTGATGTTGATCCATGAGTTTTATGGTATGGAAAACTAAACAAAAAGGAGAGAAATTTCATGGGTTTGTAAAAGTTAGTCTGACATACCTTTCCATGTTTACTTTCGTCCAATCACAGCTATCTGTCTCTGGTGTGCTCTTTGCAGTGGATCTTACAGCATCCTCATAAATTGAGGCCACATCAACTGTGACAAATATCAAAGTTAGTAAGTGTGTAGAAACTGCATAAGCATTATCAGATTCATTAGATCACACTAATATGTTTGTATTATATATGTATATTTTTAAAACTGGTATTTCCATAGCCCAAGCAAAGTGATAACTTATTATAATTTACTGTAAAAATTGTGTTAATAGTTTACATTTTCAAATCATAAGAAATTAATAATGGGAAAGAATTTATAGAAATCTGTGGATATCTCTGCCAGCTGTTACTAATTCCATGACAATCTGACAACACAATAGGCAATGTTGGACTACTGTTATAAATTTAGTTGACTTAGTCTCCATAACAGAAGTTTGAAGTGCAATGTGGATGTCACCTATTGATTCTTGATGGAAAACTGAATAGCTTTCTGGCTAAATAAAATGTAACAATACACACATGTAAAAATATAACAAAATCTTCAGCAATCATAACACAGATTTTTGCGCCGCATTCATTTTTGCCAACATTACACTCATTTCCTCCACACCAATTTATTCCATCTGAGTGAAAACAGCCACCTCCTAAATCTGCCCTTTCACCTGCATATACCTGCAAAAGATATATGGCTCAAGGATTTACAATCCTTTCGTTTCTATCTGTCATATATCCCAAAATAGATTAACTCTGTCGCCTTCCTGATAATATCATCTCTGATGCAGTTCAAGCAAGCTCAGCTGAGTGATGTATTAGCCCCTATTCGCAGCTCGAAGGCATCTGTGGTATTAAAGCTGAAAGCTTTGTTGCCTGACAACCACAAACATAGTTGCTATGTTGCTTGATCATTGTGCAAAAGGTGGCATAGCACATATAGAACTTCCACATAAAACAAATGTTTTGATGACACAGTTATTCACTCAGTCCCTCTGGGCTGGATTACTCATTGAAAATATGGTCGGCCTCACCTTTCTTTGACACTGCTTTTTTGCCTACTGGTCACCTTCTCTCTGCATCAAGCTATCCAAAGGAAGAATTTAATTGGGAAATGTGCCCTATTCAGTAATATTCCTTTTCATGGATGGGCGTTAAAAGTATTTCAGTGGATATCCCAAACTGTCAAGCTGCCTGGTGAGGGAGAAATGAATTACTCTGGTTCTTTATTCATTTGCTTCCTTGGTTGGTCACAACAAGGTTAATTTATAAAGGATTCCCTTCAGTATGGATACCTTTCTCCCAGACCAAATGAATTTAGGCTTTAAAAAGAGCTACTATAGCCAAGTTTTCTTCAGTTAACAGAAGGATGATCTTATTATTCACTAAATATAGGGAGAAATAATAATGCAATACACAGATTACAAATGAGGACAGTCCAAAAAAAAGTTAAAAGAAATATAGTTTAGTCTATGGGTCACTTATGAAGAGTAGATAATAGAATATTGATAGCAAAGCAGTTAATTTCAGGATTCTTGGCTTTGCTAGTTAGTTTACATTTTCTTTGTCCATTCTTCTTTTTGATGGTAGCCTGACTGGAAGCACTCAGAGGGAAGAAGTCCCTACCTCTGTCCTGTTTGACTGGCTTGTTGGCCAGCTGGCTTCTAGCAGTTAGAGTGAATGACCCTTTACCTGCAATACAGGGACGACTACTGGATGGTTTTTTGACTGTGATCTTCACAGCACAGTGGTGCTCGAACCCAGGTTAGTATATGAGTACCTCAGCTTCTTCTACAAGTGCACACAAACCAGGGTTGAACTGGCTTTTAACCACTATTCTTGTGTATTCTTGAAAGGTGAAGACAGAAAACATGTGTCTTATTTAAACTTTAGATTTTTAGTGCACTTCTCTCATTTTAAATTTATCCCTTGAAGCTTCTGTGACACCTTGTCAGGTGAGACCTTCCAGAGTCTGTCTGTCTCTGAAGACAGCCAGCGAATTTACATCAATTGTTATCTTTTGGCTCTATGTGCTTTTATTAAAAAGAAACATATTGTACATAAAAGATCAATATGTCTTTAAAAGTTCTGAGAGCATGATCTATCGTCAAGTCAACAATGACCATTTGATGGATAACTCAGCATATTTTTGGGACAAAACCCTTGAGAAATCATGAAAAATACAGCTAGTCATTGTAAACTGACAACATATTGTCATGCAATAAGAATTTTGAATTGAATTCTTCCATTGAGTGGGTCAATTCAAATTTCATTTTACTGTATGTGAATTACATTGAGAAATGGACAAGATTTTCCACTAAACAAAAACTGAAAGAACTGTGGATGCTGTAAATCAGGAACAAAAACAAAGTTGCTGGTAAAGCTGAGCAGGTCTGGCAGCATCTGTGAAGGGAAAAACAGAGGAAGGGTCACTGGACTCGAAATGTTAACTCTGTTTTTCCCTTCACAGATGCCGCCAGACCTGCTAAGCTTTTCCAACAACTTTGTTGTTGTTCAAGATTTTCCACTAGTCTGCGCTGGCTATCCTGCAAATGGTAAAACCAAGGAACAGCATATTATACAAGCTGAGACAAGTGCATATTGAGTTTCAATGATACATCAATAATAGTTTAAAAATCATTACCCTGCAAGCTGGCCTCATCCACAAAACTACACTCTTCTACAAAACTATTCCCAGATTTGGAGATAATACGCATGGCAAATTTGTTCATTTCTGCCCATTTGGCATTGTTCAAGAGATAGTAGGAACTGCCGATGTTGGAGAATCTGAGATAACAAGGTGAAGAGCTGGATGAACACAGCAGGCCAAGCAGCGTCAGAGGAGCAGGAAGGCTGACGTTTTGGGTCTGGACCCTTCTTCAGAACCAAATCCGAAACATCAGCTTTCCTGCTCCTCTGATGCTGCTTGGCCTGCTGTGTTCATCCAGCTCTACACCTTGTTATGTCTGGCATTGTTCAAGACAGCTTTTCAAATTAAGCTCTTATCTGGGCACTAGAAGGCACATTTTGAAAGTTCTGAAATACTAAAAAAATTCAACTTATTGAGAACATGACTGGGATACACCAATGAAATTAGTAAGTAGTCCATTATAGCTATTGAAAGTCATGTGTAATGATTTAAAATCAAGATATTCCTAGGTGGTAGACTAGATCATTCCTACTGAATGATGCAGCATGTTCGAGAGGCCAGAATGCCAACTCCTGCTTCTAATTCATATGCTCATGTGAGTCCAAGGCCATTGGCCATGTTGAATTTTCAATATATACATGTGAAGAGGCAGATTTAGGAGATAGTTCTTCTCACTAGGGAAATACCTGTGGGGGAAAAAGTGGGTGTAGTGCCAACAAAAATGGACACAGGATGAATTCTGACCCTTAAAATTGCATTCAATTTTACACAACTGACAGATACACAGAATGTAGTTATTTCATGGCTCTGCATTGTCATATTACATTTTTAGAAATTAAAAATGTTCATTTGGGGTTACATTGAGTCCAACATATCCTAGAGTGTAAAGCTATTGTTTATGGATGTTCCCAGTTATCCCATGTTTGTATTAGTCACAGAATCTAAAATCTTATGTTTTTTTTTAAATAACTGAAACATTACCACAGAGTTTAGCTTTTTTAAAGTTTACGCTGAAGATTGTTGAAAAGAGGCATGAATTTGCATTGTAAACATGTGGAAATGTACCTTTGTTTGCTTCTTTCTCTTCTGTTTGACACACTTCTTCATGAGAGAAGGACTGCACAGGAATGATATTGGTAATTTTGTGATAATGTTAGAAGTACATTCCAAAAGAAATTAATGGCAAATAAATCTACAGTATAAATCCATAATGTACAATAACTGAATACACATTTATAGACACAGAGAACTTTTACAATTTTTGTTTATCTTGTTCTTGAATCTGGTAATAGACTAGTATAGTTATTCTTTGGAACAGAAAGTAGTTGGAACGTAGTGGCATTATACTATATACAGAGTGGGAAGAGGAGCAAGTTGAACAGATTATGAGGGTGCCCAGGGCAAAAGAATATGGTAGTGATAATGGGTGCAATGGAGAAATAGATATGTAAATTAGGTGTTAATGTTAGGTGCGAAATGTTTAAAAAAAATGCAAAGTGCAATGCCAACAAGACACAAATAAGACACAGCCAGGACAGCGTGAGGGTGGAGTAAAAATGGCATACAGAGGTCAGACACAGAGGTGTAGAACTCAGTTTTGAGTCTTGAAGGTGGTAAAGTGCCTAAAGAGAAAATTAAATGTTGCTCGTCTAGCTTGCGCTGTGCTTGGATGGAAGACAAGGACAGAAATGTTATCATGGGAGCAAAAATGGTTTATTGAAATAACAAACAATTCGAAGGGCAGGGTCATTTCTATGGAGTGAAGGTGACCTGCAAAACGGCCACTCAGTCTGTGTTTGGTCTTGCCAATGTAAAGGAGACTGTATTGTGACCTGTGAGTACAGCTGACTTGATTGAAAGAAGTGCAAATAAAATAATGCTTCACCTGGAAAGTGTTTTGGCAGTCTTGGACACAGGTAGAAGGTTAATGGCAAGTGGTATACCCTTTGTGATTGCACAGGTAGGTGCCATGGGACATTAACAAAGTGATAGAAGAGTGGACTGCAATGTCATGGAGAGCGTGGTCCATGTTGAATGTTGACAGTGGGTGGGAAAGGAAAATGTGTTTGATGGCGGTATCATGGTGGAATATGATCCTTTGAATGCAAGACTGGTGTGGTAGAAAGTGAGGATAGGGGGAATCCTATCGTTGTTCTGAGAAGGAGAAGAAGGGGAAAGTGCAAGAGTGCAAGAGATGGGTTAGACACAGATGAGGTCCTTGTGAACTATAGTGGGTGGGAATCCTGGTTTGAGGAAAAAGGAACACATGTTGGATGCACTCTGACGTAAGGTGTCATCATTGGAACAGATGTGACTGGAAAAATGGAATGGTATCTTTGCAGGAAGCAAGGTGTGAGGAAGTGTAGTCAAAGTAACTGTGTGAGTCAGTATATTGGTGGGCATGCTATACGCAGGAATGTAAACAGTGAAGTCAAATAGAGCAAGAGAACAGTCAGAGATGGACCAGGTAAAGATGAGAGAAAATGAAAATTGGAAGCAAACTTTTCTAACACCAGACAAAAGCAGGAAGAAGCATCGATGACATCATCAATGTATTGGAGAAAGAGTCGTGGGTATCAGTCCAAGTAGGAATAGAACTGGGAATATCTCATATACCCCACAAAGAGCCAGGCATAGCTGGGACCCAGTGGGATGAGTTAAAGGAATGTTGTTCAAAATAAGAACCAGCTCAGCCAGGGAAAAGACGGTGCACTGGATGGGGACCATACAAGTCTCTATTCAAGGAAGAAGTGGAGAGTCTTTAGACTAGCCTAATGGGGAATCAACACGTGGAAGGATTGCACATTCATGGTGAGTAGGACGTGGCTTGGATCAGAAAACTGGAAGTTGTGGGGTTGATGTAAAGCATCAAAAGAAATCATGAATGTAAGTGAGAAGACATCAAACAAGGAGATTAAAATTGGAATCAAGATATCAATCAAGAATCAAAAAATTTGAATCAGTATGACAGTAACAGTAATAGTAATAGAAATGATGGTCCACATTGTTACGAAGTTGGGTACAGTAACTGTGAAGTGGAAGGCATGAAGCTAAAATGTGTGGTTCCTTTAAGAGATTTTTGCTTTGTCTGTACTTAGAAATTTAAAAATAAATGTATGTCTGTGAGCAGCAGCTGAAGTTGCCAGTACAGAGAGCCTCAAAAAGTGAAACAAGTGTATCAAAAGTAAGCCTTACAGGTGGCAGGCAAAACAGCAATCTTGTTTTGATGTTTGTGACAACGAGTTTGAATGTGGCTATTAATTTAAAACCAAGCTCAGCGATTCAAAGCTAATTGAATTTAAATGTCATGGTGTTGACAACCTGAAACCTATCATATTGTAAGAATTTGATTATGTCATTATGGGAATATAAGAAGTGGGCATTTGAAAAATCGGGGAGAGCCAAATGCCATCTAAAAGAGAGAGTCATCCGCCACCTGCCAGAGTTAGCACCATTCAGCTCTCAGAGAAAGCCCATCTAATTAATCAAAGGTACCACAGTATCTTAGCTCAAAGTCCATATTGAAGAAATTATAGAGCTAAAACATTCCTGACAGCAGAATTAACGGAAGAAAGATGTTTCTGAAGAGAGCGGAGACAACAGAATAGTCCAGCAACAGTCTGTGCGAATTTGAAGAGATTAAGTTTTAATTTATTGCTTCTTATTAATTGGGTTTATAATAATGGGACTTGTCTTTATTTAAACAGCATTCCACTACAATTTAGACCAGTTAGGAAGTAGTTCGTAGTCTTGGTGGAATTGTCGATTCATTAGTAATTTTGTTCATTTGTTCATTGTTGAGTTAAATAAATAGTTTCTTGGTACTTGGAGATCAGGGATTTTCTTTCTTTTAACCACTCTTTCAATAGATTACAAGGGGAAAGAGGAGCTTATCTGGGTATTTATGGGGTAACTATTATAGGGGAACCCCTACTACTGTCATAACAGATTGGGGTTTGTGTTTTAGTTTAATTATCAGAGGTGTTTGGCCATGTAACAACATGGATAACAAAAAATTTATTCAGCAAAAGAAAAGTTAAAGGAGCGAAGGACTAACTAAACATGTCCATGTATATGATAGACTGGCCAGGGATTGCTGGCCATGTAATCAATAGAAAGAAACATAGTGAAAGGAAGTGAGCAGAACAGTGGTTAGCACCGCTGCCTCACAGTGGACCAGGGTTCGATTCCAGCCTTGCATGATTGAGCATGTGGAGTTTGCAAGTTCTACCTATATCCATGTGGGTTTCCACCAGATGTTCTGCTTTCCTTTCTCAGTTCAAAGATGTGCAGGTTAGGTGGATTAGCCATGTTAAATTGCCCTGTAGTCACCAGGGATGTGCAGGCTAGGTGGATTAACCATGGCGGACATGGGGATACGGGGTGGGAAGGGGAGGCATGCTCTTTCGAAGGTCAGTGCAGACTCAATGGGCTGAATGGCCTCTTTCTGCACTGTAGGGATTCTATGATTTCAAGTCCAAACACAGCTCATTCAAATTATGTCTACCTTATAAGAAAAGTCATCAGTACATAATTGTATCCTAACAAAATTGTGGTCTCATTCAGGATTATATCATCATCTTCATATTTCACTTGCAGGGTCCTTGTAACAGAGGTGTGAATGCCCTCAGGATTGTGATGAAGTAGTCAATTTATTGAACAGAAGGTCTTCGGGTATATGGCTGTAATCCAACTGCCTAATTTGGCCAAGTCAGCATATATATCATTGGTTTAGTAATGCAAAGAATGCATCTGAAGCACCAGAGGTGGAAACCATTCAGTCTTTTCTCCTGCCTAGCATATGTTGCCTAGGTGTTATCACAGTAAAGAAGTGCACAGAGGATGCAGTTTTGGTCCTGTTTGACGTTCTCAATCAGGTTACTGTTGCTTCATATGCAGTCATTTAGCTTAGGCATAACAGATGCAGTTTTTATGATCCGTGACACATTAATGGAGACTAGGTGCATGAAACACTCACAACTTCCAGTGTTACTTTCTGAATGCTGACAGATGGCAATATGGCAATATCCTGGACTGTGATATTTATCTTCCTGATGCCAATGGTCAAACCAAAGTCTTTACAAGTAGATTAGAGTTTTCCATTTGTTGCTGGTATTCTTCAGTATTGCTATTTATAACTGATATACAACGTCCTCAATTTTGGATGAACATGCCCCACCTATAGGTTAATTAGATTTCATTTATGTAATCAGTTATTTCAACTAAACAGGTTAGAAAAACAACATGATTACAAATTATTTTAGGGCAGAACTTGTTGCATGGTAAACAACTCTATCCAAAATAATACTGAGAAATTGCCTGCCAGTTTATCCTGTAAGTGTTAATTCCTCTAAACAAGAACTAAGACTGTTTCTAGCTGTCTTGTATAAGACAGAAATACTTTGTAATGGACATGAGGGACAGTGCAATCGACCACACCACTGCTGTTTACTTAAGGGGGTTAAAGAGGAATTTTTCAGATTTTATTCTCCTATCTGCTTTTCTCGCCTCTCTTTTGTTTACGGAATGTTATATTATGATGAATAAACCATCACAATTGTGTGGGATGGACTGAATGGACAAATAGGCTCTTTCTTGGCCATTATTACCACGTTTTTGTATATTTTATTTCCTGATTCATATGCTTACCACGACTATTTAACTACAAATGTGCAGTTTTTGCCTTTATAAAGTTTTTTTGTACGAAGTGTCACTTGGTTAATAACTAGACCTGCATTATCAGCGATGCCTAGCTTACTTTGGTTTTCTGTCAATTAGAAGTTACATATATTTCTGACTGACTATTTTGGTGTCTGTGAGGCATTGTACTAGATCAATGCCAATTATGAAATTGATATTGTGATGAGATACACAGTCTCACATGGAAGTGAGGGACATCATAAATAAACAGGGAATGTTAGTGATGGGCTTCTTCTCCAAACTGCCTCATATCATCGCATTAAATTCCAGTTGGATGAACCAGTCAAATAGCACGGTGATCTACAACAGAGGCTTCTTACCCGAACCAGTTTGAGCAGATCAGCAGCATGCTGAAGCTCTTCGTCATTCCGTGGCTCTTTAAGTGCCATTTCATTTTGTTCTTCTTCCTCTTGTAGACTGCGTTCGATGTACTTCTATAATTAAACAAATATAGCTGTGAACATCAGAAAATGTCTGGTTTGTCTAGGTATGATTTTTTGTTATATGTGATTTAATGCATCAGACTAAGACCAAATTCTAAATTTAAAATCATATGATTCTCACAAGCTTGTGGAACCACATCAGCAGAGGGGAAATACTATGCAGGGTTCCTTTACACTTGATTTATTTAATGAACAAATGAGGGTGAAGCAGGATTTTTATGAACCCTTATCCCTTTACTGGATTTATTGAGCCCAAAACTTTTGACGGTCTTGGTTCAACATTGAGGTGATCCAAAAAAGCTGCAGTCAAGGTGATCACTGCCTTGAAGACTTTTCCTTATGGTTATTTCAATGAGTCAATGGAGTTATTATTAGTCAATTTGCAGGGCATCAGCACATTCATCTAATGATGGAAGTTTAAAGTGAACAGCTAAATAAAGTTCTCTAGACATGAAATGAAGTATAAGTTCAAGCCTGATAACTCTTCTGGATAGTAAAGCTCCCGAATCTACATGAGATTATTGATGGAGTGCACATATTGCTATCACATTTGTCCCTGCATTAGTGTAGCCTTTCTCATAACAACTTAACAAGTAGGAATGGTCCATTTGGTCTCTTAAGCCGGCTTTTCCATTCAACAAGATCATGAATGATCTAACTATGGCATTAACTAACCTTACCTGCCTTTATCCATAATTCTCATCTAACACGTACATCAAAATCTGTTCAATTTGTCTATGATTATATTCAATAACCCAGCCTCCACTTTTGAACGTCTTTTGGGTAGAGAGTTCCAACCATAATTCTGCTCCTAGAGAAGAAATTCCTCCTCATATCTTCATCTTAAACGATAGACCCCTTATTTTACAACCGTACCACTTAGTCCAATTCTGCTATAATACGAAACATTGTTTCAGCACTTACCCTGTCAAGAAGCCTCAGATCTTATATTTCAGCTCTAATTTTTCTAAACCCCAGTAAGCATATGCCTAATTAAACAGGCAAATGGAGGAAGAATGTTCCCAATGACTACAGGTGCAGAACCAGGGCTCACAGTCTAAGGAAACAGGCAGCCTATTTAGGACTGAGATCAGGAGAAATTCCTTCACCCAGAGAACGTAAGCATGTGGAATTCTCTGTCACAGAAGATGACTGAGGCCGAAATATTGAATGTTTTCCAGAAAGAGTTAAATGTAGTTTTTGGGGCTAAAGGATCAAAGAGTATGGGGAGAAAGTGGGAACTAAGTTGGATGGTCAGCCACGATCATATTGAATGGTGGGGCAGGCTCAAAATGCTTAGTCTCCCATTTTCTCTGCATCTATATTAACCTGCTCCACCTAACATCATTAGGTAATCTCTAATCCTAGGAATCAACCTAGTGCTCCTTCTCTTAAGGAAGGAGACCAAAACTATACACAATATTCAAGAATGGCCTCAACAATGTTCTGTATAGTTTATAATGAGACTTCCCAACTTCTATACAGTCTCATTGTAATAAAAGCCGATATTCCATTTGCCTTCTTAATTAATTGTTGCACCTGCAATGCTAGCCAAGTCAGGTCCTTAATAATGCAGCTCAGTCACAGAATTATGGAATTTTACAGCATGGAATTTGTGGTCATATGGAAGTTCTCTGAAAAAGATTTCTACCTTTAGTCCTATTACTTTGTGCCTTCTAACAGGGAGGCGAACACCTAGTGGTACTATCGCCACTGGGACCCTTAATTCAGAGACCCAGATAATGTTGTGGGTTCCCAGGTTTAAATCCCACTATGGCAGATGGTGGAACTTGAATTCAATTTAAAAAACATCTGGAATTAAGAATCTAATAAGGACAATGAATCCATTGTCGACTGTTGATAAAAAAAGACCATCTGGTTCACTCATGTCCTTTAGGGAAGGAAACTGCCATCCTTACTTAGTCTGCCCTACATGTGACTCCAGACCCACAGCAATGTGGTTGACTCTCAACTGCCCTCTGGTGAATTAGGAATAGACAATAAATGCTGCCGAGCCAGAGATGCCCCCATCCCGTGAATGAATAAAGAAAAATACACTTTTAAGCTTTCCTTTTACAAATATTTATCACTTTCTCTTTTAAAAGTTTTATTGGATTCTGTTTCCATCACTATTTCTGGTGGAAATTCGATGAACAACTGACAGTCTACATGAAAACCATCCTCCTAGTCCCCCATTTCCTGATTATGGCTCTGAATTGATGGTTTTAAATTGTCCCCAAGATCTGCAATATATTAGGGTGGGGACAGGATGGGACCAAAGATACTGCTGGAGAAGCATCCTGGTTTGTGAGGTTCCTGGGTGGGTAGTTCACAACCTTTAAAAAGGAGTATTTAGACGTGTACTTGAAATGTCATAACATTCAATGCAATGGGCTGAGTGTTGGAAAGTGGGTCTGGTGTAGATTTTGTTGGTGCAGATTCAATGGGTTGAAGGGCCTCTTTTGTACTGTATAGCTCTATGATCAAGTGGATTTTGTTGTACTTTATTCTGCATAGAGCTTCTGCCACCCCAAAAGAAATTTGAATGAAAAACCTTAAGACAATTCTGCAATCTTTGCCGTATTTCTGGGTTTATGGGCTCATATTGAAATAGCTGACGGACTTCTAGAACAGAGGGACACTTTAAGACCGGAGGAGATGAAATGTCGACATGCTCAGTTTGCAGAGTGAAACGGTGCATGCCAACAGGTGGTCCTGGGATCTTGCACTGGAAACAGAAATGAAAAAGGAAGTCAGTCTTCTTGTGTCAGACAAGAATCAGTTAAAAAAAGCTTTCTACATCTATAACTGCTACATTCAAATCGATACAAACAATAATACTACATTTAGATTAAAAATTCTTACTGCAATTTCAAAATGTTCAAATATTCTCTTTGGGCAAATCCACATTGTCTTCTGCATTCTACGGGTTAGAATTTTTTTTTAACCTTTAGTATTTTTCTACCCCTGTAGAAAATATTGTGGTTAATTTAAACTGTCCGCCTTGCCAGAAGCTGTGGAGGGGTGACAGCAATTAAAATGGATCTGCGGATTTCTTCATTTCAATTTAGCAGACTGTAATTTTAAATTCTGGTTTTGATTTCAAGTCTTAATACTGGAGTGTAGAGCTTTTCTTAAAAAAAAGGGTTTCCATGTGAGCCAGGAGAAGCAGACAAATTGGTCAGCGCTCACAAGGTTTTCCTCCCTTCCTCAACCATGACTCCCTTGATGATCTCCTGATGCGCTTGCCCTTGGACTAGTGATTGTTAATCCATAGCTCCCAGGAGAGACCTCTAAGCCACCCAGTTTTAATAGTGCAATTACTGCTTTTCATTAACTTTCCAGCTTCCTCAATGAGGAAGTCAGCAAGGGGCGTGTTAATGAGGCTTGACTGTTAAAAGTGGCTGGACCTCCCTCCTACCCTGCCCAGATCAGTCAAATGTATGCAAATAGTTTTCCTGAACAGGAGTTACTAGGAATTGTTCCTAGTGGTATAGTTTCATAGATGCTGCCATCCAAAGAACATCTTACCAAGAAGCCAGTGTTCATGCATAAATCAGAGCAATGAATATTGGTCAGTTATACGATTACAAAAGTGTTATGGCCAAGTGAGAAGAGGCATGGAATGGTTTTCTTTCTTTTTCCATTCCCTGTTTGGTTGTTGCAGAGGTTTTGAATTTTAAAAGGATGCTGATTGCCAGTTCAGTATGTACTTCTCTGTTTGAAGTTTCAAAGATATTGGTTAGACAGGTACTCTTGAGTTAAACACACATTAGTTTTGTTGTTAAAACCCATTTTTGTAAAAATATTAAATGTACAAATGTGTCCTACTTCCCACTGATACATGCAAATTCACTCACTCATTCACCCAATCACCAAACATGCAAAAAGAAATATTGCTTGAAAAAATACTGGATGTTAGACTTGGCCAAGTCAGATGCAGTCAAAAATTCAATGAAGATACACTGCTGTAGTTGGATGTTTTGGTTCTTACTGAGCTAGTTGCTTTTAAGTCATGGCTTTGCTGGAATATTCCCTTTTCTCCTTAAATCATGAAGCAGCAAATCTAATGGCTTATAAAAGAGTGTTTCTGGCTAATGTAGGGATGTGACCAATTTTTCTCAGTAAAACTGGGTTTAGTACTTTGATACAATGTTGGAGAGAGAGATGTTCAATTCGGAAGCTTGTATATTCTCTGCCTAGATCGCAATTCCAGAATCCACACAAAAGGTTGAATGACATAATCTCTCCATGTTGATTTTATATTCCAAATAATATAGAAGACTAGCTCATGTCTCACACAGCATCTCCTTAGCTTTGTTTAGTGGCTGTAGTCTTGATTTTTTTTAATGTTCTAGGCATTAACTCCTGCATGATCTATTCTTGATTGATAAGATAGGGAAGAGCTGTTCATATCTACAGAAATTCCAGTGTCCCTATTGGGGTCTCTGTAGACTTTATGTCTCCGTGAAGTAGAATGTGACTCCATAAGGCAAATTAGAAGCTAGTTCAAGGTAGTGTCTTTTGCAGCACGGCAGCTCAGCGGTTAGCACTGCTGCCTCACAGCACCAGGGACCCGGGTTCGACTCTGCCCTCAGCCAACTGTCTGTGTGGAGTTTGCACATTCTCCCCATATCTGCGTGGGTTTCCTCTGGGTGCTCTGGTTTCCCCTCAGTCCAAAGATGTGCAAGTTGGGTGGTTGGCCATGCTAAATTGCCTGTAGCATCCAGGGGTGTGTAAATTAGGTGGATTAGCCTTAGGAAATGCAAGGTTACAGGGAAAGGGTGGGAAGGGGGGGCACGGTGGGTCTGGGTGGGATGCTCTTCAGGGGAGGTGTGGACTTGTTGGGCCAATTGGCCTGTTTCCACACTGTGGGGATTCTATGATTCTATGAAGCGTGTTTGTTCGTTAAAAAAATGGCTCAATATATACTGATGAAATTACAAGTTTTGTTATTGTCCTGTCACCACACTGGAACATTAAGTCTGATACAGCTTATGTCATTCGTGTGTGTCAGAACTGAAAGCTGGTGTTGTCTTCATCCATTTGCATGCACATTTTGCCACTGATTCCTGAGAAACCCTCTCCATCCTCTAATGGAACTCACTGCCTTGTTCCCTTATTCCTGGGTATGGTGAACAGTGAGGAAGCATAGTGGTGCTCAGGAGGGTGGCAGTGATGTGTTAGGAATATAGCAGACAAGTTTTAAGAGTGAGTCAGTGAGTAAATCATAATCCCAGAATTTGGATTGATCTAAAACATTGAAGACATTTATTTTACTGGACCTATTCTTTGATGCAGGCACTTAGCTGCAGCATCAATGGGAGCACTGTGGCATCATGGACTGCGAGTACACCGCCTGAAGTGTCTGCTAGAGTTTCTCCAGAAATTTCTGCTTTAGTTTCAGATCTCCAGCATCTGTAGTTCTTTCTTTTAGCTTACAAATTAATATTCTGTGTAGCACACAATGAGCTAGCTTGAATTTTTCTGCACCAACACATTGATATATACACATTTGCAGCAAGAGTCTCTTGATGATATTGAGTTATGAGGTCTCCTATGCTAAATAAGTATGTGGTGGCAACGGCTGAGTTCTGCTAACTTAGAACGAATTGAACGAACAGCACTCGCACAACAAAAGATTGACATAAACGGAACTATTGCAATGCTCTTATCCAAAAACAAACGCCTGGAAGATCAGAAGTTACACCTTAAATTATCCAATTGTCCATACATTGATTATTCACAATAGTTCCATATGTAGAGAAGACAACAGGGTTAACTGAAAAATATATTTAAAAACAATCACAGCCCATGAATTTTGTGCCATTCACAGTAAATTGCTAAAAAAAAGACCTATTAATGCAAGATTTGGTTCTTGAAGATTCTCAAAAACTGAAGTAGTAATAACTCCAGAATTAGGAATCCTGAATAAAAATGACAAATGAGAACCCAATCCTCTCCTGTAACTAATATATTCCTTTAAATGTCTAGAGTTACCTCTACTTGAGGAAATGTGTCCCATTGTCTTGATCGAAGGTTGTGGGGGATAATGTTGTCTATGTCCTTTTTAATTAACCAGCGTGATCCAATGTCTTCAGTGGATGGCTGGAGAAATGTGATACCCAGGACAGCTGTTTGGAGTAGAGATTGAAACAGCTTAAAAAAATGCATTAAAATATTTCCATTGAAGGAATGTGTTTTTAAATGTTTTTAGCATGAAAACTATGCGTTAGATTCAAATTCTGTTTCATGCCACATTATAAATAATTACTTTTATTTTTTAACATTATATTTTCCCAGCATTTCCAATTTATAGTTAAAAGGTATGATGATTTCAAATATTTATTCCAAGTGTATTGCTTCTACATTTGCTGATGATACAAAGATAGGTGGAGAAGAAAGCTGTGAAGAAGATGAAAATAGGTTGCAAAGAACCTACACTCCAAGGTCTTTTTGTTCCGCAACACTCCCCCAAGACCTTACTATAAATGTTTAAGTCCTGCCCTGATTTGCCTTTCTAAAGTAAGCACCTCATATTTCTCTAAACTTAACTCCATCTGCCACTCCTCAACGCATTGGCCCATTGTTACTTCTTCAAAAAACTCAATCAAGTTAGTGAGACACAATTTCCCAGCACAAAGCCATGCTGATTATACCTAATCAGGCCTTGCATTTCCAAATACATGGAAATACTGTCCCTCAGGATTCCCTCCACCACTGATGTCAGGTTCACTGATCTAAAGTTCCCTGGCTTTTCCATACCACCTTTTTTAAACATTGGTACAACGTTAGACAACCTCCAGTCTTCTGGCACCTCACCTGTGGCTATTGATGATACAAATATCTCAGCAAGGGGCCCAGTAATCTCTTCCCTCGCTTCCCACTGTGTTCTAGGGTACACCTGATCAAGTCCCGCAGATTTATCCACTTTTATGCTTTTGTAACGCATTCAGCTCCTCCTCCTCTGTAATTTTTCAAGATGTCGCTATCTATTTCCCCACGTTCTCTATCATCCATATTCATCTCCACAGTAAACACTGATACAAAATACTCGTTTAGTATCTCCCCCATCTCCTACAGTTCCACACATAGGTAGCCTTATTTATTTAAGAGGCCCTATTATCGACCTAATCACCCTTTTGTCCTGAATGTATTTGTAGAATCCCTTTGGATTCTCCTTTACCAAAGCAATTTATGTCCCCTTTTTGCCCTCCTGATTTCCCTCTTAAGGATACTCTTTTGCATTTATACTCTTCTGTTATTTTGTTCTTTTCTCTTCATTCTTTCACAGGAAATGTATATTGTAGACAATGCTAGCATTTGATACTTATTGCTCAATAATTTTAGAGGGCAGTAAAAAGTCAACTATTTTGCTATGGGGCTGAACTCACATGTAGGCCAGAGCGGCTAAGAATAGCAGATTTTCTTACCTTAGGAATTTAGGGAACCATATTTTTGTTTACAATAATCAATGGCAGTTTCATGGCCACCACTACTATGACTTGCTTTCAGTTTCCGATGAATTTTAGTTCCATGAATACCATGGTGGGATTTAAATTCATGTACCCTGATCATGAGCCTGAGCTTCTGGATCACTTATGTAGTGATTCTATCATTATGCGACTGTTTATCCTAAATCATGGTCACTCTATTTTGCAACTGTGGACAGCTTTCAGGTACATTCCCATATTAATTCTGTGGTCACACCAACAATGTTCCTGCCTTCTGACCTGGGAATTCTGGTAGCTGTTCTTTTAGAACGGCAGTAGTTGGACAATAGTATGCATGATATAGGTATTCTTCTACATCACTAGATCGAAGTAGTTCAGTCCCTGAGCCATCAGCGTGCAGAATAAAAAACCTGCCAGTTAAAAGAAAGCAATATTAAATCATTCATAAACAAATCAATGGGTACTTGAATACCTATAATTGTTACAAAATCAAAATAGAGCAGTTCCTGGAACAAAATCAAGATATGTTGGACAAATTAGCAGATCTGGCAAAAACTGAAATGGAAATTAATCTGTTATGTAGCTGAAATATCAAAAGAGTTTTGCAACTTGCAAATTTCAAGTGGTGCAGATTTTCAGGTATAGAGTCATAGAATTATACAGCATGGAAACAGACCCTTCAGTCCATGCTGACCAGCTATCCTAAACTGATCTAGTCCCATTTGCCAACACTTGGCCCATATCCCTCTAAACCCTTCCTATTCATGTGCCGATCCAAATGCCTTTCAAATGTTGTATTTATACCCGCCTCCACCACCGCCTCTGGCAGCTCGTTCCATACATGCACCACCATCTGTGTGTAAAAGTTGCCCCTCAGGTCCCTTTTAAATCATTTCCCTCTCACTTTAAACCTATACCGTCTAGTTTTGGACTCCCCTACCCTGGGAAAAAGATCTTGGCTATTCACCCTATCCATGCCCCTCATGATTTTATAAACGTCTGCAAGGTCACCCCTCAGGATTTTCAAAGCAATGTGGCACTCAGAGTCTTTGAGACAAGAAAATTCTGTTGACAACCCTCTGATTGGCTAAGCTTATAACAAAGCTGTAAGTGCATTGACCGTCAGAGACATCTGAAGTCTGTGAGCTGAAAACACCTTTCTCTCCATCTTGGTCCACATCAGAAAAAAGAAGAAAAACAAGAAAGTTTAAAAGAAAGAATTCTAACAAGCAAAGACTTGAGTCCATCTGATCAATTTTAAGGTGAGAAATGACCATTCCTTTATAGGCAACAGCAGGTCATTATTGCTGAAATCAAAATTAGTTGTGGGGAACAATAAAACACACTCTTAAGATCTGGACTTTTGATCTGCAGAATTTTATCTGCCTTGTTATTTTATCCACCTATAAGATTTCTGTAAAACTGACTTATTTCTGTCTGTCTTAATCATGATGTGTGTTTGTTTGTGTGCGTGTGTGTGTGTGTCTGTGTGAGTGAGCATTTTGGGATTTTAAAGGGTCACAATTTAAATCGCATTGTAGCAAATCAGAAATCCTCTTTTTTCTCTGCCATTTGTTAAAGTCAAGTGTGTTACAATAAATTGTTATTTTCTGTTAATGATGAAGTCTGTGGTAAACCGCTTTTGGCCTGAAAAACAGTTAGTCAGGTAAACTGGTCATCTCTAATTGGGATTTTACACATTTTATGATGGCTTGTGGATTGGGGTGGGGGGAGGTCATTATTATTGGTACACTCTTCCCAGTTAAGTTGGGTCAGGGTACAGCATCTTTTGAATGCGGATAAAGTTAGAATGGATGTACTGTTAGGATAAGTAGTAAAGGATAAAGGAACAGATAGCAGATATCCAGCCCTAAAATAAGATGACGTGAAAAGGAGATAAAAGCATCCTGTAGTTGGAGGAGGTATCCCTGATAGATTTACAAGGGTCAGACTGACAGAATTGGCAAATAAATTAGAGGTAGAATTGCCTGCCTGCTCAAGCCAAGAATACATCTGATCAAAATAATAGCAAATCAGCCAGGACTGGCGGAAATACAGAGCGTTGAGACACTTGAGCTAGGAAGGAGTCAATTACAGTTTAAGCAGTTTGAATATGAAAAAGAACTGAAGCAGCACGAAATAAAATAAAGGGAGTGGAACTTAAAAAAAAGATTTGAAACAGAAATAGGAGAAAGATAAAGGACTGGTTATGATATTTTTGATTAAGTCCAAATTGCCATCAAGTTTTTTGGAAAGTTTTTCTCTGTGAGGCCGAGTGCCTTTACTTGGCATATATTACCAAACTCGCCTCATTAACTTCTTATCGTGTGCTATTCTCACAGCAGCTCGCCATTCAGCAGATATCCTTTTGCTCTCGCCATCTTTAAAATGCCATTGTGCATGTGTATTTGCATTGCATTCTGCAGCAGCTTTGTTCAGTCAAGGATATTTCCAGAAGATGTTGGAGAAAGGGAAGATGGCACCATGATTCTCTGATAGGGACCTGGAAGTCAAGGGAGTGGTGCAAAGGAGTGAGTTCTCTTCTTGTAGGGTCAGAGCAGACCATGCCACTAAACCCTGGCAGACTGCTTCCAAGTTGCCACCTGGGTTAGTGCAATCTCCACGGTGGTGAGGAATGGCTAAATGTTCCTTAAGACTTTCTCTGCTGTGTAAAGATAAGTACCACATTCTTCTTTCTGCTACCTCACACTCTCTGTGTCTCTGCTACTGCATCCTCCTCTCACTAAGACTCATCCTCAGCCACGCTCACTGTTGCCACTTACATCTTCCCTCATTTGCTGTCTCTGTCCCAACTTCTAACACCACTAAAACTGCAAACCTTCTGTGCTGCTCACTACCTCATCAACTTTCCACCAGCCAAATCAGTACTGATGACTGTGCCACCTACTTTCATCTCACTCACTTCCTCCCTTTCTCTCATTACAGGAGAAGGCAGTCCATAACAGAAGGGAGAGAACTTAAACTGGTGGATGGGTGCTAATAGTAAACTCTTTACCCCACATGAGGGGTGAATCCTGACTTCACAGGAGAGGACCAGGACTCCTTCTACCGACATACCAAAATATCGGTGTTCCATGAACTGAATAAGAACCATTCTTCATTCAACTGTAACTCACAGACTAACCTCATTGTCATTCATGGCATACCATTTCTAGCCATTATCTGCAATGTCTTGTCTCTTTTTTCTGTCTGACAGGCACTGTCAGCATATCCATCACCCCCATGGTGAAATGGCCATCTACCTGAGAAGTTACCTCCTTGACCTCTGAAGACGTGAGTACTGAGGCCTCAGCATAGGCATTGGTAAGGCTCAAACATGGTGCAGGACTGAGATTGACATAGCATGCTTTCATGCTACAAGATGTATGCTCACTTGACTGAGTACTGTTGATCAGGAAGGCAAGCTGTCTCGTTGTGTGACTGTGAATAAGCAGGTGAAAGTCACCATATTGCTCCTGGACTCTAGGACTGCCCTCTCATCCAAGAGAGATGGTTTAACTTGGTGGTGGTTTAACCTGAGGGTTACCATACCTCAAGTCAGGAAAGAGACTGAGAAGGAGAGTCCTTCATGGTAACCTCAGCCAGTGTGGGAATTGAACCAATGCTGTTGGCATCACTGTGCATCACAAACCAGCCATCCAGCCAAGTGATCTAACCCAAGCACTCTAAGTGAGTGAGCACTAAGACAGCAAGCAAGCAGTGCCAATGCAGCCTAGTATAATCCTTTACTTGGCCCCTGTCCCTGCACACAGTCTCCCTGATGTAACTTTTCAACGCTACCTGGCGGCACGTCTTGCCAGCGTATTGGGTAGGTGCCAAAGTGGTTGTGAGGAGTTGTACATGCTGAAGTCTGTGCTTCCTCAAGCCATGCTGGTGTATTGGATAAGTGTCATGGTGCTTGTGTACCAGCACTGATTACCATTCTGATTGTTTTCAACATCTTGCGTGTATGGCACATTTAACAGTATAGAAACCTGAATGTTCATGAAGTGAGTTGATCCATCAACAAGGTATTTAACAAGCAATAATCCCCTTTAATTGGTAATTCACTGCAGTCTAGCAAGAAACTCACCATATTGCTTGTCAGAAAGACAAAAGATGAAAAAAGGATGCTCCGATTGCTGAAATTGGCCTCGCTGGACCTCTTGTTTGATTTCGCCACAATCTCGCTACAGCCCATGCCACCCAAATTCCTATAAGCTTCTGCCCAAAAAGAATTAATATTTAAATGCTGTAATTAGAGATTCAGGGGAGGAATAGGGATAGAAAGGGACAAAGAGGAGAAAGAAAACGAACACTGGCTTAAAATGATACCACTTAATAAATATATGACAGATATTGAAGAAGGCTCTGATAGGGAAAATCCTTGTTATATTCTTAAGTCCAGTAAGGAGTTTGTATAAGCTCTACCAAAATTTAAGGATAAGGATATGGAGGTACCCTTTCTGTCATTTCAGACAATAGCAAAACAAATGAAGTGGCCAACAAGAAACTGGACATTGCCCTTGCAGAATTGATATCACAGCACCTAAATTTATGCATCACTGTCAGAGGAGGTTTTTAAGGACCCTGGCACTACATTAGTTCCTGGAGCATACATGCAAAGCTTTGAAGTTTGAGGAAGCACCGTGGGCAAACCCACATTTAAATTAAAAGGGTAAAGCAAAGTAATTATTACAGTTGGATAGGTGCATTAGGAGTAATTACTATCTCTTAGAGAAATTATTCTCTTGAAGAATGAAAAAACTCACCACCTTTTGTAATAAGAACCCATGTTGAAGGGTTGCAACTGCTTTACAGACAAAAGAAATGTTATGAGCTGATGCATAAAACAGGCACCCCCATAAATCTGAGAAGGATAGAGGATGGGACAGTGAAAGGACGCAGCCAGGGTAAAGAAAGGACAGTTGGGAATGTCACAAGATCGACTCAGAACAGAAAGGAAGGCACTGAGAGAGATGACAAAAATCAAAGGCCTAAGTGTTTCCACTGTAATAAAGTGGGACATCTTTGTCTGAAATACTGCAAGTTGCATGGGAAGCCTATGGGACCTAAAGACGATGCGTAAGTGTGAGCCAGAAAAAATGAAATCTACAGAACATGTGAAATATCAAATTGCAGCTATAACTGTAACTATACAATGAAGTAATCACTGCCGTGAGTGCAGGATTGCTGAATAGAGTAGACAAAAGATATGAAGGATTTCTGTCAAAACAAAAGGTAATCATATTTGACCAATCTACTGATTTCTTTGAGGTAGCATGTGCTGTGGATAAAGGGGAACCAGTGGATGTACTGTACAGGTACTCAGATTTCCAAAAGTAATTTGATAAGGGCCCACATCGAAGGTTATTGTGGAAAATAAAAGTTTATGGTACAGAGCAGAGTATTTTTCAATGGATTGAAGATTGGCTGGTCAACAGATAGCAGAGGGTAGCTGTAAATGCGTTAGCAAGATGTATGAGTGGTGTACCATAGAGATCAGTGCTGGGAATTTAACTATTAAAATTTATGAAAACGACTTAGATGAAGGGACAGAAGGTATGCTTACCAAATTTGCTGACAACATAAACATAGGTAGGAAAGTAAGTCGTAAAGAGGACTCAAAGATCTTACAGTGAAATATTGATAGGTTACATGAGTGGGCAAAGATGTGGCGTATGGAGTATAATGGGAGAAAGTGCAAGGTTGCCCATTTTGGCAGGAAGAATAAAAAGAAAGATATTATCCAAATGCTGAGAGAATTTACAGCCCAGGGATGCAGAGGGATCTGGGTGCCCTTTGTGCATGAATCGCAAAAAGTTGGTATGCCAGAATAGTAAGCAATTAGGAAACGTTATTAAATGTTACAAGTTATCATAAGGGGAATTGAAAACAAAAGTAGGGAGGTTATGCTTTGGGTATACAGGGCACTGGTGAGACTGCATCTGTAGTATTGTGCACAGTATTGATCATGTGATTTAAGGAAGGACATAAAATGCATTGTAGGTAGTTTACAGAAGGTTTACTAGACTAATCCTGGAAATGATGGAGGAAGGGGAGGGGTTGAGAAAAGGTTAGACAGGAAAAGCTTCATTGGAGATTAGGAGAGCTACAGGCGACTTGACTGGAACATATGATCCTGAGCGGTCTTGACAGGGTAAATTGGAGAACATGTTTCTTCTAGGAACTATGCAACTAGGGGCCACTGTTCAAAATTAAAGGCTGCCTATTTAAACAGATGATACTTCTTTTTCTAAGAGTTGGAAATCTTTGGAGCTCTCTTCCTGAAAAGGTGGTGGGAGCAGTGTCCTTGAATAATTTTAAGGCAGAGGGAGATAGATTCTCATTAAGAAAGGTTATCAGAGTGAGTGAGAATATGGATTTGAGATTACAATCAGATTAGCCATGATCTTACTGACCATGGGATAGGCTTGAGAGGCTGAATGGTCCTCTCCTACTCCTGATTCATATGCTTGTATATAACAGGGTCATGACCAATGTTCACACTGGGACAGCTTACTATTGTTGCTGGGCAAATTTAAAACAATTTAACAGGGAAATAAAAATCAGAATGTAACTTTAGAAAGGAAAAACAAGTTGAACAAAGTTTGGAACAGCGCTAGTATAAGAAATAGTAATGTATTTGGTGGAGTCTGACTAAGAGAAATGCAATAAGGGCTAAGTTAGGTATGCTGTGTATGTTTGCAAATGCATGATACATGGCAAATAAAACAGATGAACTGCAGTTAACCACATGGTAATATGAGATCATAGCAATAGCAGAAACCTGCCTCAAGAAAGGATTGAACTGGGTGCTAAATATTCCTGCATTCAAGGTGTTCAGGAAAGGTAGGGGAGAAAAGAAAAGGAGAAGGAGGCAGCAGTAATGAGTAAGAATGCTAAAGAGAAAGGACTTCCAGATAGAATAAAGACAGAGTCCATTTGATTAGAGTTAAAAAGCAACAGAGTTACTCTATTAGGTGTATAAAAAAATAAAGGAACAAATTTGAAAGGAATCATAGAAAGATTAAAATTATATTGAAGTGAGAGTGGGATTAATAAACTGAAAATTTTCTTGATCTGTTTGATTCCAGTTCAACAAGGAAGGGGGTTTTGCTGCATCTGGTCCTAGAGAATAAGATGTATCAAGTGGAGCAAATGTGAGGAGGGGACATTTGGTGAACAGTTGCTGAAAAGATAAACATGTTGCCAAACATTTTGTCTTTCACTCATCAGGACAAGTGCAAAAATGGTAAATTTTAAACAATCATAACAGGTCGTACTACAGGAGTATTTTGTCCAGTCATAAAATTTAAAAAAATTATGTTAATAATAGATTATACATTAGTAATAGTCAATTAGCATTCCTAATTACTCACTGTACCTGCAGAATTCAATACACAAAAATCTGGAAGAAAAAGGTAGGCAAATTCCAACCATATAACCATTGTTGAGTGTCACAAAAACCTGTCTAATTGCGGTCCGTCATCCCTGGAACCATTTTTGTAAATATTTTCAACAGCCTTTCTGAAGCCTTGTAGGGAATTCTTGTAGGGAAGGAGATCTGCCATCCTTACCTGCTCTGGCTTACATGTGACTCCAGAACCACAGCAATGTGGTTGGTTTTTAAGTGCCTTCTGGGCAATTAGCAATGGGCAATAAATACTAGTCCAGCCAGTGATGCCCACATCCTATGAACGGATAATAACATTTTAGGAATGATGGAAGGCTTCAGAAAGGCTGTTGAAAATATTTACAAAAATGATTCCAGGGATGACGGACTGCAATTATGTGGCTAGATGAGAGAAGTTTGGTTTGTTTTTAGAATGGAGAAGTTCAAAAGGTGATTTGATGGAGATGTTTAAAACCATGAGGAATCTAGATAGTGGCTATAAAGAGAAATGGTTCTTATTGCTGGAAGAGTCAAGAACCAGAAAATGAATGGCAAAAGAACCAGTGTCAACATCATGAAAAGTCTTTCTTGTACAGTAAATAATTAGGAGCTGGAATACAATATCTGAGCGTGTGGTGTAGGCAGATTCAATCATGGCTTCTAAAATAGAATCGTATAAACTCAAAGTGAAAAATAATTGCAAGCTATGGTGAGAAATGGATGCAAGGAGGAGTAATGGTGGACACAGATTAGCCAAACTGCTCTTGACAAGAAAATGCAAATGGGCTCCTTGTCTGTGGCAACAATTCTATCATTCTATTATTCTTGCCTTGGAGATATCTTTAATAATTATTGACTGATTATTTAATGTATATTTGTTCTTGAACATTTATAAATTTATAACAAACCTTGGGGCATGTTTTTTATAAATGACAGGCTCATGTTCAATCACGAGTTCTTGAAGTAGAGCACCTTCTTCCTCTTTCTCCTGATTTCCATCATGAGTGAAAGTAAATGTATTACCATCCACCATTACCTAATGTATAAAAATAAATAAACTTGAAAAATCCGTGTGAAATCCTATTACTAACTGTCAGTAGATATGTGTTGTTACTGATAACATCCTTAACATCATAAGTAACTAAAACTGTGGCTTATTTAAATGTCGACTCGGCATCTTGCTGCAAGCCTGTGTAGAGCAGGAGGCTTTGAGGAGTTAGGAGAAGAACCATTTGTTGCAGAATACCTAGCCTCTGACTTGTTTGAATGGCCACAGCATTTATGTGGCTGGTCGTGTTAAGCTTCTGATTTATGGTAACTCCCAAAATCTTCAGAGAGGATTGCAATGATGGTAATATCATTGAATGACAAGGCCAGATCATTAGCCTCATTATCATTGTTGATGAATATTACTGGCACCAGAGTGGTCGAAACGTTACTTGTTATGATCCTAAACCTGGATGATGTCTGGGTCTAATAGAGTGCAGGTATGGATTCCTTTCCAGCTGTTTTCATTCCCTTAAGATTCAAATTCTCCAAACAAACCGTATGACATGCTGCATATCTTCACTCATACCAACGGTCATGTTTCACTGCCTCCCTGTTCTCTAGTATGTTGACTTCAAAGTTTTTGTTTTCACCCTCAAATCTCTCAAGAGCATAATTCTACAAACCTTCATGGTCTGCTCCCGCTTTGCCTACCATTCATTTTGTTTTCTCCTAAAACTTAAACTACTTCTTTTGCTCTATTCATTGCTGGCCGCTCATTCAGAAACTACAATTTTGCACTCTGAATTCCCTGCCTAGTTTCCTTCATCTTACATGCACTTTCCTGGTTTCGGAAAACCTCCTCAAAATCCTCTCCTTAACCAAGCTTTTCTTTCTTCTCTTTTTTTACCCCTTGCTCTACCTGTTCAACATCTGTTGCTTCTTTTCTTTCTGATGTGACATCTTCCTATGTGTGATGAACACAATAAAAATGCAAGATAACATCTTAGCAATAAAACCAATAATATCGACAAATACATAGGCTGACATTTTAAGATACATGGATTGCATTATTGTGTGTCGAGTACAAAAAAACTATGAAAGATAAAAGCTGGATTGTACAATCAGAGTAATTTCGAATCTGCACTTTGTCAACTGCTGTCAATGCATATAACACACAAATTAGGGACAGATATAGGCGAGTGACTCTTCAAGCCTGCGTCACCATTCAATAAGATCTCGGTACATTTAGTGGTGTTCCAAATTCTACATTCCCATCTAACCCTGATAACCATTGATTTGCTTGCTTGACAAGAATTTATCTACCCTCACCTTCAAAATATTCAATGGCCGTACCTCCACTTGCCTTCCAAGGCAGAGATCCAAAGTTGTAAAGTCCTCAGAGAAAAATTATCCCTAATCTCTGTCCTAAAAGGGCTACCCCTAATGTTAAAAGTGTCCTCCAGTTCAGCTACAAAGAAAAACATCTTTTCCACGTTCACCTTGTCAAGACCTTTCTGAATCTTATAGATTTAAATCAAAACACCCCTCACTCTTCTGAACTTTAGTGAAAACAAGCCCAGTCTGCCAAATGTTTCCTCATAAAACAACCCACTCATTTTCCAGAAATCAATCTAGTAAATGTCATCTGAACCATCTCCAGCACATTTACATCCTTCCTTAAATGAGATCAAAACAGTACACTGGAATTGAGATGTGGTCGCGGCAATGTCCTGCAAAATTGAAACTTAATGTCCTTAAATTTATGTTCAAATCCTCGTGTAATAAAGGTTAGAATCTTTTTATCCTTTCTGTTATGTGCTGTACCTGCACATTAACCTTTGTTAGGTTAGAAAACCTAGATCCCTCCGTATCTCAGGATCTGCAGTCATTTTCAATTTAAGTAAAACTGCATTTTGGAAGTATCAATAAAGGTAAAGTTCTACAGAGGGAGGGTGAGGGAAGGGAACAACAATACAGACAGAACATGGGATGCCCAATTGAGAAAGTGAACCAATGATGGCGAGACCGCCACTCTTGCTTTGTCCATCTCACATCCATGCTGCGTAACTTGCCAGGCTTTGCTTCTATCTTTGACATTTAGAGAGTGGCCCTTAGGTGACCATTAATTGATCAGCAAGGGACTGAGTTGGGCCAGGGTTAGGCAGATGGGCCTATTGCAAAATTGCTGACAGGTTCAGAATGGGAGGAAGGGTGGTGGGAAGGCCAGATGTGGAATTTCACGTGTGCCCCAGCCTCCAAAACTGCTAATGGAAGCCTATTAAATTTGATTTCTTCTGAGTATGTATAATCTAGCAAAAAAAAATTATAAAATTGTAGAAATACTCAATATTAGTGTCAATACAACACTGCCATGGTAAGACGAAAGATTAATCAAAGATTTCAATTCTGTTTCATTGTAATGAATTATATTTGTCTTAATTTTTGGAGGCATTTTTCATCCCTGTCTCCTTTATAAGAATTGTATCTATACTGTCAGCTGGTCTGGATGTTAGTATAAAAACGCAGGCGGAGTAAAACCAAGGAAATGAGGGGATCTATAGCTCAAGTTATAAAATATGGAATTCTACGGGACCTGGAAACGATTTCCTTCAGGATCCATGACTTCACAAATGACTGGCGATGTACTTTTCATAAAATACGCAGCAGGCTGCAGCTCCATGTTGCTGATAGTAGGGTGTGTTATGACATCATTATTTGCTTCCGATGTGTACAAGGCACAGCCATCCTGATCAACTGAAAGGCATCCAGAACTTGCCGGGAAAATCTTAAATATAAACAGCAGATCAAAGTTAAGAACAATAGAGATTATACAATTGATACCCTTTCTGATCCACGAAAACCTGTCAGAAAGGTATGGTGATATATGATTGATTTTAATTTATTTATAGACTGGAAATGTCAGATGGGAAAGGATTAGGATTTCAGAGAGTTCTGAGGAATGGTCACTCGACTCAAAAGATGCTGTCAGACCGCTGAGCTTTTCCAGCAATTTCTGTTTTTGTCTAGGATTTCATAGAATATTTCCAGGATAGCTTTTTAGAACAGTGTCTTTATGGAGCCAATCAGAAAGAGGCTATAGACATTTGATATTGTAAGTACTGATCTTACAGACTCATAGAGATGTACAGCACGGAAAGAGACACTTAGGTCCAGCTCGTCTGTGCCAATCAGATATCCTACATAGGTCTAGTCCCATTTGCCAGCATTTGGCCCATACCCCAGTAAACCCTTCCTATTCATAAACCCATCCAGATGCCTTTATAATGTTGTAATTGCACCTGCTTCCACCACTTCCTCTGGCAGCTCATTCCATAAATGCACCAGCATGTCCCCTATTTGCCCTCCTGATTTCCTTCTTAACTATACTCCTACTATCTTTACTCTCTTCCAGGGATTTACTCGACCTCTGCCCTCTACACCGGACATATGCTTCCTTCTTTTTCTTGACTAAAACGTCAGTTTCTCTAGTCATCCAGCATTCCTTACACCTACCAGCCTTGCCCTCACCCTAACAGGAACATACTGTCGCTAGATTCTCGTTATCTCACTGTTGAAGGTTTACCATTTTCCAGTCGTTCCTTTAGCTACAAACATCTGTCCCTAATCAACTTTTGAAAGTTCTTGCCTAATACTGTCAAAATTGGTCTTCCTCCAATTTAGAACTCTAACTTTTAGATCCGGTCTATCCTTTTTGATCACTATTTTAAAACTAATAGCATTACGGTCACTGACCCCAAAGTTCTCCCCCACTGATACCTCGGTCATCTTCCCTGCTTTATTTACCAAGAGTAGGTCAGGTTTTGCACCTTCTCTAGTATGTACATCCACATACTGAAACAGAAAATTTTCTTGTACATACTTAAATTCCTCTCCATTCGAGCCCTGAACACTATGCCAGCCACAGGCCATTTTTTTTATTTATTCATTTTTTGGGATGTGGTTGTTGCTGGCTGGGCCAGCATTTATTGTCTGTCCCTACTTAGATGATGGTGAGCTGCCTTCTTGAACCGTTGCAGTCCACCTGCTGTGGGTTGACCCACAATACCATTAGAGAAGGAATTCCAGGATTTTGACCCAGCAACAGTGAAGGAACAGCGATATATTTCCAATTCAGGATGGTGAATGGCTTGGAGGGGAACTTGAAGGTGGTGGTGTTCCAATGTATGTGCTGCCCTTGTCTTTCTAGATGGAATTGTGCATGGGTGTGGAAGGGTTTCAGCCTGAAATGTTGACTTCCCTGCTCCTCAGATGCTGTCTGATCTGCTGTGCTTTTCCAGCTCCACATTTATTGACCCGTAAGACGCTGTCTGAAGATCTTTGGTGAATTTCTGCAGTGCAGATAGTACACACTGCTGCTATTGAGCGTCGGTGGTGGAGGGAGTGGATGCTCATGCCTGCAGTGCCAATCAAGTGGGCTGCTTTGTCCCGAATGGTGCCAAGCTTCTTCAGTGTTGTTGGGACTGGGGTCATCCAGGCAACTGGGGAGTTTTTCCATCACACTCCTGACTTGTGCCTTGTAGATGGTGGACAGGCTTTGAGGTGTCAAGCGGTGAGTTACTCGCCACAGTATTCCTCTGACCTGTTCTTGTAGCCGCTGTGTTTAGGTGGTGAGTCCAGTTGAGTTTCTGATCAATGATAACTCCCAGGATGTTAATAGTGGGAGATTCAGTGATGGTAATACCATTGAATGTCAAGGGGCGATGGTTAGATTGTCTCTTATTGGTCATAGTCTGGCAGTTGTGTGGCATGAATGTTATGTGCCACTTGTCAGCCCAAGCCTGGATATTGTCCAGATCTTGTTGCATTTGGACACGGACTGCTTCAGTGTCTGAGGAATTGCAAATGTTGCTGAACATTGTGCAATCATTGGTAAATATCCCCACTTCTGACCTTATGATGGAGGGAAGGTCACTGATGAAGCAGCTGAAGATGGTTGGGCCTACGATACTACCCTGAGGAACTCCTGCAGAGATGTCCTGGAGCTGAGATAATTGACCTCCAACAACCACAACCATCCTCCTATGTGTCAGGTATGACTCCAACCAGCGGAGAGTTTGCCCCCAGATACTCATGGATTCCAGTTTTGTGAGGGCTCCTTGATGCCACATTTGGTCGAATGCAGACTTGATATCAAGGGCTGTCACTCTCACCTCACCTCTGGAATTCAGCTCTTTTGTCCATGTTTGAACCAAAGCTGTAATGAGGTCAGGAGCTGTGTGGTCCTGGGGAACCCAACCTGGGCGTCACTGAGCAGGTTATTTCTGAGCAGGTGCTGCTTGATAGCACTGTTAATGACACCTTCCATCACTTTACTGATGATTGAAAATAGACTGACGGGACGGTAATTAGCCGGGTTGGATTTGTCCTTCCTATGTTTGGAAAGTTAAAATCCCCTACCGTAACCATACTATTATTCCTACAGATAACTGAGATCTCCTTACAAATTTGTTTCTCAATTTCACGCTGACTATTGGGGGATCTACAGTACAATGTCAATGAGGTGATCATCCCTTTCTTGTTCCTCAGTTCCACCTAAATAACGTCCCCGAAGGTATTCCCAGGAATATCCTCCCTACGTACAGCTGTATAGTCATCTCTAATCAAAAACACCACTCCTCCTCCTCTTTTGTCCCCCTTTCTATCCTTCCAAAGCCTCTACACCCAGGAGCACTAAGCTGCCAGTCCTGTCTATCTCTGAGCCATGTCTCTGGAATTGCTATGAAATCCCAGTTCCATGTTCCCAACCATGCCCTGAGTTCATCTGCCTTACCTGTTAGGCCCCTTGCATTGAAATAAATGTAGTTTAATTTAACAGTCCTACCTCGTTCTCTGCTTTCTTCCTGCCTGCCATGACTTGCTCTTTTTCCCAACTGTACCGGTCTCAGACTGATCTCTTTCCTCACTATCTCCCTGGGTTCCCCCCCCTATTACTAGTTTAAATCCTCCCGAGCAGCTCTAGCAAATCTCCCCACCAGTATATTAATCCAGTTCCAAGTCATGTGCAATCCGTCCTTCTTATACAGGTCATCTCTACCCCAGAAAATATTCCAAGGATCCAAAAATGTGAATCCTTCTGCCCTGCACCAGCTCCTCAGCCACACAGTCATCTGCTCCATCCTCCTAGTCCTGTCCTCACTAGCTCATGACACCAGGAATAATCCAGATATTACTACCCTTGAGGACCTCCTGTTTAATTTCCTGCCTAACTTCCCATATTCTTTCCTCAGAATCTCATCCTCTTCTCTTCCTATGTCTCTAGTTCCAATGTGTACAACGACCTCCTGCTCCCTCCACCCTCCACTTTGAGAATATTCTGCACCCTCTCTGAGATATCCTTTATCCTAGCACTAGAAAGGCAACACACCATTCTGATGTCTCGCTGTCAGTCGCAGAAACGTCTGTCTGTGCCTCTGACTAGCGAGTCCCCTGTCACAATCGATCACTTGGAACCTGATGTACCCCTCATTACGATAGAGCCAGTCTCGGTATCAGAAACCTGGCTGTCAGTGCTACATTCCCCTGAGAGTCCATCAGCCCCTACATTTTTCAAAACAGCATACTCCTTTGAGCTGGGGATAGTCACAGGAGACTCCTGCACAACCTGCCTCTCTCTCCTATCTTTCCAACGGGTAACACATCTACCTGACTGTTTATCTCCCTTCCTGCAACTGCAATCCATCACACCCCCTTGCTCCTGTAAATTCCTCATTGCCTTTAAATGCCACTCCAACCGACCCATGCGATCCAATTGGATTCGCAACCAAACATGCTTCCTGCAGACATAATCACCAGTAACAAAGAAATTCTCCCTAATCTCCCACATCTGAAAGGAAGAGCACATCACTCTACTAAAGGCGATCTTTGCACCATAACAATCTACAGACCCAGAAAATAACACAATCTTACTGCTCTAAGTAACATTTCTCTAGGCTAATTTAATACGTATGTTTTATATTTTTAAAGTTTAATCAAGACACAGATCTCAATAAAACATACAATCAAAAAAGAACCTACTCTACTAACAGTTATAGATTTACAAAGAAAAACAGTAAGGTTACACGTTAAAAAGCCACTAAGCTGCTCCCCTGCTGTGAGCTCTCCCACACAGGTTTCTCCAAGGTCAGCTGTGAATTTCACTGTTTGTTGATTTTTCTTCAACAAACTCCGATATCCAGACCCAGAGATACTTGAAATCAAACAGCAAAACAGTCAGCTGTACAGATTCACTGTTTGGTCAGACAGCAGTGCAGGTTTATTTCTCTGTTTGATTCACTCCTCATGTGGTCACTGCTTTTGTCTGTCTTCCTCCTTTTTAAACTGCCATAGTGAAGGTTCCCACCAGGCAGCATGATATGATTGAAGTTTACATTCAGTTTGAGAGAGAAAGAAAAGGGGTCCAAAACTATTTTCTAAAAATTTAAATAAGATATTAGGAAAGCAGAGTGGGACTGAAGAGAAATAACAAATTAGGTTAAAGGATTGATCAATACAGATGCAGAAACAGGCATTTAAGGTATAGGTTGAATCAGAGATAGTAGGAACTGCAGATGCTGGAGAATCCGAGACAACAAGGTGTAGGGCTGGATGAACACAGCAGGCCAAGCAGCATCATAGGAGCAGAAAGGCTGACGTTT